CAGCTCATCTACTCAATGCCGAGGCGCCTCAGAGCCTGTGAGCAAGCCCAGGGTTACCAGACTAAATATTGAGACTCAGAGCATTCAATTGCTGCAATCAGATTCAGTTTTCACCGTGTGGTTATTGAGATATTGAGGTGTGAATATTCACTCAAAAGTCAAGATTGCGGCCCAAGCTTTTAGCGCGAACAGACTTCTGTCCACTCACTGTATGTACGACAGCCTGACAGCTATCATTCGATAGGCTTGGAAGGGTGGGTATGCTGCCCTATTTGCTGGAACCGGACCCTTGTATGCTGTCGGGGACAGCTTGCTTCGCTCGAAATCATGAGTGGACAAAGGTCGCGAAAAGTCCATGGTTTCAGCTGCGGTCCCATCTGAGCCGGGACAGCATAATGCAATAAATAAGCCACCATTGCTAAGCAGATAGATTGCGAGGAGTTGGGGCCCAGTTGCAAAATTGTGCCGACAGTGATCCACGGAGCAGTTGCGAGCTCGCAGAGGAGCTACAAAATGCTCGAGTTTCGGCTTAGGAAAGGTCAACGCGTGATAAGAGTCCTGACAATACAACTTTCAGTCTTGACTGATTCCATGCAAAGCCTGATGGGAGATTAACGCTGTGACGAGCTGTGCCGGATGCGGGGCTGCATCTGCATGCCCCACGAGCAGGCATTAGCGGCCGGTGAGGCCAAGGATCGCCGTTGTGACATGTATACTGCCCTGAGATACTGTTGTACTAGTCGCGACTGGTTGAGGGGCAGTGCTCTCCTGCTGGAGGTTAAGACGTCAGAGTGTGTCAACGAAATAGAGCCACTCGTAGCGGCTGATATGTGCATCGCGCACATGCTGAGCCAGTACCGAGCTCGCACAGGCCACATTTCGTGGCTTGACAGCACTTTCTTAACGAAACACCAAGTCGATGCGTAATTTTCGAATGTATTCTTGATGCCTTCGTCTAGGTTTTCGTCCCTTTTCAGATGGATATCACCCCAACGCCATATAAATCAAATGCAAACAATCGTTTTGATCCAAGTGGGCAGCTTACCCAACCCACCTTCTCGCGCTCCTGAACATGCGGCTCCATGGGCCAAGCTCACCCCAATCCTCAGTCTTATCCTTGGGAATGTAGCTGCCAACCTCCTTGATAATTGTACGCTCAGGGTGAGGCATGAGCGCAAGTACGCGTCCGCTTGTCGAGCGCACGCCAGTGATGCCCAGTGGTGAGCCGTTGGGGTTGTAGGGGTAAGCCTCGGTCTGCTTGCCGTAGTTGTCAACGTATCGCAGCGACACCAAGTTCTCCTTGTAGAGGGTCTCAGGTGTCGAGGATGCTGCTGCCGACGCGGAGAAGTGCGCGCGACCCTCTCCGTGAGCTGTGACGATGGGCAATTTGGAGCCATGCATGCCGTGAAGGAATACCGAAGGCTCGTTGTTGGGGCTCTTGGGGTCCATGACTTCGACCATGCAAACACGCGCTTCGTACTGCTCAGAAGCGTTGCGCTCGAAAGTAGGCCAAGCCTCCGCGCCAGGGATCAGCTCCTTCAGCTTAGACAAGAACTGACAACCGTTGCAGACACCAAGGGTGAATGTGTCTGGACGCTCGAAGAAAGTCTGGAACTCCTTGCGGGTGTTAGGGTGCAGCAAGACAGATTTTGCCCATCCTTGACCAGCGCCAAGGACATCACCGTACGAGAAACCACCGCAAGCCGCGACACCAACGAAGCCAGCAAGCGACACACGCTCGGATATAATGTCGGTCATGTGGACGTCAATAGCCGAGAAGCCAGCCATGTGGAAGGCAAAGGCCATTTCGCTCTGGCCGTTGACGCCTTCTTCTCTGAGAATAGCGACACGCGGCTTGGAGGTGAAGGCAGATGAAATGCTGGCCTTAAGTGGCAGGATGTTCTCTTGCGGTTTGAAGGTGAGGTTGTAAGACAGACCAGGATCTTGATCGTCAACAATACTTGCAAACTCCGCATCCGCACACTCAGGGTTGTCACGGAGGCGCTGCATGCGGTACGAGGTCTCAGCCCACCTTTGCTGGAGCCTTGAGCGAGTGTTGCGGTAGACGGTCTGGGAGCCCACAGCGATAGACAGGCCCTGCTTGGAAGCCTCAGGAACGCGACCAATCTTCTTGATCATACCCGGAGGAGGACCACATGTGGCAAAGCAGCGGTTGAAAGCAACCTCATCCTTCTTCCTGACCTGGAAGACAGCACCGAGCTCTTCGTTGAACAGGGCTTCGAGGACGTCCTTTGGTTCGCTCGATCGTGCTACGCCGTCAAGCATAATTTCCAGACCACATCGGCCAGCGAACATCATCTCGACCAGAGTGGTGAACAAACCGCCATCTGATCGATCGTGGTAGGCAAGGACGATGCCAGATTCGTGCAATTGCTCAACTGCATCAAAATAGTCCTTGATGATATCGGCATCGTGGACATCAGGCGCCTCGTCTCCAACTTGTCCGAAAGTCTGGGCCAATGCTGATCCACCAAGCGCCTTCCTACCGGCTGCAAGATCGACGTACATCAGGACTGTCTCACCAACATCTTCGAAACGTTCCAGGGCAGGCGTCCAGGTTCGGTCGATACGGTCGACAGGGGCAAAAGCGGTGATGATAAGTGACATGGGCGCTGTGACCTCCTTTGCATCGCCGTTGTCTGACCACTTCATCTTCATGCTCATCGAGTCCTTGCCAACAGGGATCGATATGCCGAGACGTGGGCAGAGATCCATGCCAATAGCCTCAACAGCCTCGTACAATGCTGCACCCTCACCAGGGTGGCTACTGGCCGACATCCAGTTGGCGGACAGTCTGACTCTGGATAGCCTATCGAATAGACTTGCTGCAGCAATGTTCATAAGAGACTCAGCAACCGCCATCCTGGCCGACGCTGCGGCTGAAATGAGAGCTAGGGTGGGCTTCTCACCCATTGCCATAGCCTCACCTGTCTTGACGCCGGACATGAGCGATGTAGCTGTGACCGATACATCTGAGACTGGGACCTGCCATTTGCCAACCATCTGGTCACGGACTGTCAACCCACCAACAGTGCGATCACCAATAGTGATCAAGAAATTCTTCGAGCCAACAGATGGGAGTGTGAGCACACGGTCAACAGCCTCTGCTACCAAGCCGTCCTTAGGTACGTCGGGAATGTACATAGACAGGCTGCTGTCGAAGGGAGGAAGCCTCAGCTTTCGTGATTCAACGATGCGAGACATCTTCGGTGGCTTTCCGAACAGCGTAGACATGGGAAGGTCGATGGGCGTAGGATTCTCCTTAGAATCCCTGTCCTTCAGGACAAGTCGCTGCTCGTCAGTGGCGACACCAACAACCGAGTAACCGCAGCGTTCACGGTGGCAGATGCGCTTGAAGAGCTCAAGCTCGTCAGGACCAACAGCCAATACGTAACGTTCCTGAGCCTCGCAGCACCAAATCTGCAGTGGACTCATACCCTTGTCCGTATTGTCCACCTCGCGCAACTCAAAGATGGCTCCGAGCCCAGAGTCGTGGACAAGTTCAGGTAGCGCGTTTGATAGACCTCCAGCGCCAACATCGTGGATGAACAGGATAGGGTTCTTATCACCCATTGATCGACAGGTGTCGATGACTTCCTGTGCTCGTCTCTGGACTTCAGGGTTGCCTCGCTGTACACTAGCAAAGTCGAGCTCGACCTTGCCTTCACCAGACTGCACACTGGATGCAGCACCGCCACCAAGCCCAATAAGCATAGCGGGGCCACCGATGACGAGCAGGTGAGAACCAGCAGGGACAATGTCGGGGTTCTTCAGCGCATGCTGGGGCCTGACTGTACCTACTCCACCTGCCAGCATGATGGGCTTGTGGTATCCTCGAATTTCCGACTCTTTTTCATTTGTGAAGACCTTCATCAACATGGTCCTGAAGTAGCCAATTGTGCAGGGACGACCGAACTCGTTGTTGAACTGTGCGCTACCGAGAGGCGCCTCAAGCATGATGTCCTGACTGCTAGCAATGTGTGCGGGTTTGCCAACATCGCGCAGCTCCCATGGGCGTTCGAATCCCTCGATCAGCAAGTCTGAGACCGTGAAACCGGCAAGACCGGCTTTTGGCTTCGATCCACGACCAACAGCACCCTCGTCTCTGATCTCGCCTCCAGATCCAGTCGCAGCACCAGGAAAGGGCGAGACAGCTGTGGGGTGGTTGTGTGTCTCGACCTTGCAGAGAATATGTACTGTCTCCTTGATTCCATTCCACTCGCCAGTCAGGTTGTTAGGTGCCCAAAAGCTCGCCTCTTCGCCATTCAGAACTGCAGCATTGTCGCTGTAGGCACTGACGACGTGTTCTGGGTGCTTCTGGTGGGTGTTGCGAATCATGCCAAAGAGCGAGTAGGACTTGTGCATGCCATCGACCGTGAAGTCAGCGTTGAACTGCTTGTGTCTGCAGTGCTCAGAGTTGACCTGGGCAAACATGAACAGCTCGACATCCACAGGTCCCCTCTTCAGCTCTTGCGTGTACGCCTCAACGAGGTACTCGATCTCTGACTTGTCCATAGCTAGTCCAAGTTCACGGTTGGCATGCTCGAGAGCTGCCTGGGCGCTGTTGTACTCATCGAAGCTAATGGTGGTAGCCTGCGCAGGCTCACTCTCACCAAATATAGCTTCCAGGTTCGGTGCTCTACGGTCGATGGTCTGGGTCATACGGTCGTACAGGCGGTCGCGGTTGGGGATCTCATCAGCCTCGAGCTGACGGTCGAAAGAGGCGGCGATGACCATACCACGCTCAACACGCTTGACAGCATTTTCAAGCGTGCAGGTGCGCGCAATCATGGATGCCAATGAGCTCCATGGTGAAATAGTACCTGCCCGGGGGCAGATGTAGAAGAGTACTGTTTTATCGTCCCTCGGCTCACCACCACGGTGAACGGCGTCAAGAAGCACCTGTGATAGGCGATCATGGGTATCTGGGTACTCGCCATAATGCAGAAGCTGCTGCAGGGTGTTGAGCTCAGTGGTGCTCAACTCGCGCAGGGGGTTGACAAAATGCGCCCAAATAGAGCGCACTTCAGTCGCGCCAATCTCCTGCGCCAGCCGCTTCAAACGGAAGTCGGAGTGGGCGGACGAGCCCGGCAGAATCAAGTAGGGGCTCTCGCTGGACGCCATGCTGGACGACGGCAGCGCCAATTTGTATGACAGAAGAGTTGTCGGGGGATTCCGAAGAGGGATGCCTCTGCGAAGCCTCAAAGACCTGAAAGACAACCATCGCGGGGTCTTTCAAAAAATTTGGGCGCGGGGCAATTGCCTGCGTCACTAGCGCGGCGCGTTATCGGCATTCCTTCCCACCGACGCGTCCACCATTATCATCGCTCTGGCAAGCCAACACCATCAGGTTCAAATCTGGCTGAGCCTACCCACAATGTGAGTGATGACGCAATGACACCGGAAGTGATTATGTGCGGTCTTGTTATCGAAGACCAATGGTTCTCTTTGTCTCATTATCAATCCATTACTGCGTGGTCTATCTGGTATCTTTGAGGCACCTGTGCCATACTTCAAGGTCTAAAACATTACATAACCAACGCCGGAACTATGTTGAAAGCAAACGAAATGCTAACAAAGGCTTAGAAATGAGGCGTGTTCAGCGCCATAACGCAGAGCAGTCCAGCAATGAGACCAGAAGCTGGCAGCGTAACGACCCAGCCCATGAAGATGAAACCCAGCTGGGCCCAGTTCACAGCCTTCAGGTCGTAGTTCATCAAGGCTGTTCCGATGAGAGCACCGGTCAAACACTGCGTTGTCGATACTGGGAGACCCAGGCGGGAAGCCAGTAGCACGGTGATGGCAGCACCCAATTCAGTAGCGAAACCACGGGTAGGACTCATCTGAGTGATCTTGTTTCCAAGGGCACGCATGATGTGGCTGGCTTAATGTTAGCACCGATACGATGATATGAGGGTAAAATGAGGCAACTTACTATCCGTAGAACCAGAAACCGAGACCAAGCAACAGGCCGGCGACGACCAGCATCCAGATGGGAGTGCCCGACTCAGTGGCAATGACACCCTCCCTGTATGTCTGGTACACAGCAGACCAAGGACCGACAGCGTTGGCAACATCGTTGGAACCGTGGGCGATGGACATCATCATGGCAGAGATGACTTGGCAGTAGGTCCACATGTGCTCGACGCGCACATCATAACGGTTGGCGCGAGCGTGGATGTCACGAAGCTTGTCGCTGTCGTGGGTGATGACATCGCGGGTAACACCCTGGAGCAGGCAAAACTTGAAGTAACCCCAGAACTTCTTGGGATTGGCCCAAGACAACTCCTTGACAGGACCAATAAATCGCTCGTACGGCTCCAGCTGCTTGCGCTTCTTCGAGAGCTGAGGAACAGCGTCTGGCTCATTCTTGATCTTTTCTTCCAAAGCTTTGGCCTCCTCGGGTTTGGTAGGAAGGCCATCTTTGCTGCTTCCTGGCGAACCCTTTTGGATGTCATCAACACCCTGTGGCTGCTTCTCCTCGTCGTTCAGTCCGTTGGTGTTGCGCTGTCGCAATTCCTGGCCTTGAGCACGAACCTCACCATAAGCATCGGCGTAGTAGTTCTTTACGTACTCGCCGTCAGCCTTGCCGGCGAAGTAGAGGGGAGGGTTCTCGCGGAGAAGCAGAGGTCCGAGAGGAATGTGCCAGATGCGCATACGAGCGTCTTTCTGGATTAACTTGCGCTTGAGGTAGGGCATGAAGAAGATGTAACTGAAGATTAGGACACCAGCGAAGACTCCAAGAATAATACCAGCAGCCTTGCCAGCACCAAACTCCTCGAGAGAGGGCGCCGTGGGGGTTTCGACAACGATAAACAAAGCCAGGATAGCTCCCGTGGCAGCGAAGTACCATGGGATGAGCCTCATACCCCACTTGAAGGAGTCTTCCCGCTCAAGGACGGCGTACTTGACGGTGCCGAAGATGATCGCACTGAACCCACAAGCGATGAGAGGTGCGATGGCCCAACTAGCAGCGACTTGAGAGACGGAACCGGACTCCCAACCCCAGGTCACTCCAGCGTTGGTTGCGAAACCGACACCAACCAGAGCACCGACGATGGTCTGAGTGGTAGAAACGGGCATACCAGCACGCGTAGCGAACATCAGCCAAGCAGCGCTGCCAACTTCAGCGCATCCCATGGCGAGCATGAGTGTGCCAGGTTCAGCAGGAGCCTGGAAGCGTTCGATATTGATGATTCCGTTCTTGATGGTATCGGTGACACGGGCTCCAAGAGCAACAGCTCCGACGAATTCAGTGACAATGGACAAGAAACCGACTTGTACCATGGTCAAGGTCTGGGCAGCCACAGATGCTGGAGATTGTCAGTACGCCACCATGGCCCTCAGTCCACAAAAATCAACCTACTGGCATAGGAGTTGGCGACATCGTTGGCACCGTTACCGAACGCAGAGAAAACGAAAGCAATAGTTGTGATCGCAAGGATCCAGTCGTACTTAGCAGTAATCGCGGGCGCCATCTTGAATCTGACGGACCGAGAGACTCAGAGGGGAGGATGTCGAGTATCTGCTGAGAAAACTATCGACCGCAACAGGCTGCTCGTTCATATAAATAAGAGCACGCGAGCACTTGCCATCAAGTTACGAAATCTGCACCAACACCAACAAGGGCCCTACAACGCAAGATCAGCCAAGCGGAAAGGATTTTCGCTGCTCAGCACGCATGTCAACGACGCTTGAGGCATACCTCATGGTGGTTGGCCGACGCACCCCGATCCGCCCACAGTTGATCCCGCCAACCCGCCAAGTGGCCAAGGTGCTCCGTTCCGCCCTGCTCGGCAGGCCTTGGGGACTCCACAAGCAAAAACGCCTGCAAGTCAGGCGTTTGCCAATCAAATCCTGATGTTCTTGCACGTTACGAATTAAAGGGTTTCGAGGCATCTTGACTCTCGTGTGAAGTGCTGCCACGAACTGGAAAGGGATGGTTGCATGCACTTGCGGCATGATACTGTCAATCTGCCAAACATCAGTCCTCGCTAAGACCCGTTACAGATGCCGTTACAGCCGGATTCCGACGATGTTACAAGACGTCTTTCGTGGTGTTGAGGCTGTACCATCTCAGGTCACGTGCCGTGAGACCACAGTCAATGTCCGATGCGAACCCACACTTCGATGCTGAGATGGCCTTGTCCTTGGCTTGATTCGCCAATTAGAAAAAAACTCGAGTCCCTCGTGGTAAGCCTCCAGTCAAGTGTGGTCTGCTGGACCGCAGACTTCACTCCCTTATAACGAAGAACCTACTGTGAGCACGCGCAGACAAGACTCCAAATTTACGAAGATATGTCGTCGGTGGCTTGTTTCCAATAAGGCTCCGCACATAGAATCGGAGTGCTTTCGTTTGCCGCGCGCTCTTGATGTCTTGTAGTGCTCTTGACATTCTTCATCATCCCTCCGACTTCCGCCAAACTTAGCCAATGAATACGATTACTCAAGCCCACGTTCTCGTTAGACCCTATGCGACGTCGTCGTCTCGAATACGCAAACAAATGTGACTGTATGATGACTCTGGGGCATCATCACCTTGTCTGATAGATGTATAGCTGCTGCGGCGATGTTGATATCTCCAAGAATTAACACAGCAGTTCAGACCTTGCAACCCGTCCGTGATCTTCACTCCAACTACCCGAGGCTCGAGCTGTCAACCCATCAACTACCGAACCACTAACGCAATCCGTATGCTAGTCAGTCACTTGCATCTGCCTCTATCCAGTACCACCTAAGTGATCGCGTGCTCCTTTCACAACCACCCATTTTCTTCAACCCCCAACGGATCTTCCTCCGATTCTCAAAGATCACCAGCAACGGCTCAACCAACGCGTTACAAACCGCGTATCGCCTAAAGTATTTCGTGTACACTTCGGTCCGACTCTATACGATCTACCGCAAGATGTACAGCGATTTTCTGCATAGGGAAATGTGTCGTCTGTGCACCTGACCAATGAAGCAAACGCAGTGATGAGCAGCGAGTAATGTGCTTTGATACTCGACTTGTATGGTAAAGAGGTCTTATACACATCGTGAGAATCTCCCTGCGCCTCTTGATGTCCAAATCGCTCACGAGGCTGCATCGACTGAAGCCACAGGCTTGGGGCTAGGGATGAATGCTGCCAGATTGAGTTAGTATCGAATGTCAAGATCATCAACAAAACGAACTGTAGCAAATGGAGACCAGTGATAACACCGTAGAAGTCGCAGTTCATCGGAAATGTCTGCTAGCAACACTCACAGGTCGAACAAGTGGCGAACGTGATTTTGGTCTTTCTGTGAAGACACGCCCTTAAAACGACGTCCCCCAAGTGCTCTTCCGAGAAGGGACCCAACAGAGTGAATGTATAGATCACGTGAGTTCGCACAAGCAACGCGTCCCTTCTGTGCTTCAAATCACCGAAACTCGGTCGCGCTACGCCAGCGCCGTCGAACTGGCAACTGCAAATCGTCAACACTCACGTTCATCTACTGCATTCTTGTGCGGGCTGTCACGTTGTCTGGGCTCTGGCTCGTAAAGCATCAAGCTTCTTGCCATGCCGATCTCCAACACATGGACCAAGTCTTCAGATGAAATTCGAAAACTGGACAACGATGTCTTCACGAAACGCGCGTTCTCGAAAGGTCTGTCGCTCGACTTGGACTCAGCAGGCGTGATTTCTTTGACTAACGTACCGTAGCTCTCACATATCATCAGCAAGCCGCAGAACATGATCCGGCGGACTATCGAGCCCCGTGGAATACCCCAGCTATTTATTTCGAGATGGGTGAATATTCACTTGCTGTATGCTACACGGGGAAAGCGCTGAGTCTGGCAACTGATGAGACTACTCGCCAGAAGATCATCAATCGGGAAAGCAAGGCCCATCTGCACCTTCAAGAAGTCGACAAGGCGAAGGTGGCTATTGAGGATCTGCTTGATGGAGACGAGAAAAAGCACTGAAGAGTGTACATGAACAGGCAACAAACTCTACAACGGATACTAAGGGTCAGCACGTTCGAAATCTACCTTACTACAAACCTCAGATCGAGATGGTACGGGAGTTCTACAACGCGGGACATGACAAAGCTAACTCCATGCTGGATCCGTTCGTGAAGATGAACAGCTCGCCAAGCGCAATCCTGTCTTTCCTGTATGCGTGAATTGGTGATGCCCGCCATCTATTCCAGACTTTGTAAGCTATACCTTTCGTCGAAACCAAGTTCAAAGCGGGTTTCAAGTTTCACTTTACGATCAACGGTGTTAAACAGAATTATTTGCGAGAGATCTCATCTTCTTCATGCTGCTGGACGAGTTGGCTTCTGATTTTTCACCCATCGAAACAGCGCAGTCCAAAGAAACTTGTTTGGTCTCCGCTATGTTTTTCTACACTTACGCAGGCCACCAAAGGCAAGTGCACTTACCTCTGAGCTGATAGCTCCTGGACAAGAACAGCATGCAAAACAACAACACAGATAGTGTTCGCCAGTGGTCCATCGCAGTGTTTGCCAACGGGCCGTTGCAGTGTTTGCCAGCGGTCCGCTGCACTGATTGTCCAGCTCATTCGGTTAGTTCGGTTTGCTCCCCCAATCCTTGACTGCTATCCCCTTCTACTATATAGTCTCGATCGATTCCAGCCAATAGCTCTCAATATCAATCAATTCAATCATCTCAACCCTTCCACAGATAGCAATACATCATGTTGGGTCACAGCCTCCAATCTAGACCGCACACGCGGTAACAAAGATTGAGTGGGCTCATCTATTTGATCAAGTTGAATGTCGCTCGTTCAGCTTCAGATCTTCGTGTCCATGATACGACTTTGTGATTGGGTTCGGAAGAGGTGTGTACATTCTCGGAATTGCGATACAGGCCAATATACTTCCTACACATCTGCAGGTACAGATCAGCTCGTATTAGGCACAGTTGTGATCTTACCAATTATGCGCTCCTTCACATGCCGGGGTATGGAAAGTTCACCAATACTAGCAGCCGCGCGCTTCTCCTTCAATCCTTCATTCTGGTTATGCAAGATGGCGGTAGCATCCCATATCAACCTCCTGCAGCATGTGGCAGGCCATCTGTCGCTCGCGCTGCTTTGCCACCCATGCGGCCCTCTCCTCTTCCTCCAACCCTCATCGTTGTTCATCACAAAAGTTCTCTCTGTGAAGTATTTCCTTCTCTGTCCCAGTAGCTGCACAGCAGATACTCGTCTTTGCAATGTGTATCCGGTTTTCCATCCTCTTTCTTTCACGTTACTCCACCTAACTTTGTCTGCGAATACATGCTACTTCCTCAATGGCGACGCAAGCACTGACGAACCTTGCCACCCCAACACCCTCTTCACACAATGTTGCGGCTCGCGATCGGATCTGAAAACGCCACGCATTGTGTGAGACTATTTGATTTAAAGAGACAGAGATTTCAATGCTACATGTTTTGATGACCAACTCATTTGTACGCGACGCGTCGAGGTGACGACGTACGTCCTCCGTCCTTCTGCCACAAATCATCACGTCAAGTGCATGTAACAGCGACCATCATTGTTTCCCCCAAGGTGCAAAATGCCCGACTCGAACACAAACAGTACGGGAGGTGCTCTAAGCAATGCTCAGCGAGCCGCCTAAACTTTAAAGATCTGGAAAAGCAACACTAAGGGAACGCAACAACAAGGCGATTGGGCTAGTCGTTGCAGTTGTGGTGGCAGCGAGCGGTAAGCGCTGTAGCAGGGCAGCTACAGGATCTCAGCGACACAGACTTCTCGGGCGATGAGTCAGATAGCCAGGATGGAAGTGATGATGGAAGCGAGAATGGAAGTGAGCAGAAAAGCGACGGTGAGGACGTTGTTGAATGTGACGAAGAGAGTGAAGACAAAAGCGAACAAGACCGCGGCACACCATCTGTTGCGAGCTCCAGCGAGAATGCTTTACCGTCGGTTACGCCAACTCCCACTGCGAACACCAAAAACCGGGCTGCACCAGCTTCGGATCCTGTAACACACAGACTTGCTGAGCGAGCCAAGTCGAAACCGTAACAGAAGCATGTCATGAATGTTGCTGCGGCAGGCGAAGCGTCAAAAGAGCAACTCGAAACCTTCCAGCAGCACATCGATGAGCTGAATGAAGAGGAAGTCTTTCCTACCTCTTCGACGACTCAAATGCCGCTTTCAAAGTTAAAGACACGCTTGAAGATGTCAGATTCATCGGTCACCGGATCAACGACCTCTGGATCGACTCCAGGAAGTTAGATGGCGAACGACCGCGATGGGAAGACAAGCATGAACTCCACAGGTCTTTGCGTCGCGTGATCACTGCACCCCTATGTCGGGAAGCTTCCCAGAAGAGGCTGAAGGCTACGAGACAGAGCCTATCACTCCGGCGAACAAGCCACTGGATTTCCTGCTCCCGGCCTACGAGACCATGTGACGCGTTGTCATGCAATGTTTCATTGAAGTTCAACCCCGGGACACAGGAGACGGCGCAATGTAGCGCCTTGTCCTGACAAAGTATCTCGAAGATCCGAATGATCCACACTGTATGCCCGAAACGTTCCACAAGCCCTCGGAGACTAGCGTTCGGCCGAGCGATATTGCAAAAAAAGCACTTTGACTCTATCCACCCAATCGCCGCGTGCATCGAGAATTCGGCAATGAGTTGGTTCACGCTGACATCGAAGCGTGTCACTGAATCAAGCTTCTTGGTGGCCACAATCCTCTCATATTCCGTCCTGGACGCTGGCAGAACATCTGCCCGGACAAGAGAGCTGAGCGATTTGATGACAGCGCCACAAACACGAATGATGATGCCAATTCGCGCATTCAGAATCTGAGCGAGCAGGATCTGGGGATCGTGCCTTTCGTAACACACTGTACTGCTGATACGAAGGAGACAAGGACGTTTGCTATGAAGATGGTTGTCTTGCTTGTGGCAGGCTTGTGCAATAGGTTGGGAGATGAATGGACGCTGGCGGATACGAACAGTTTGCCTGAGCATCAGATTCCTCTGATTTCTGACTGAGAAGAGTATGGAAACTTGCAGTTGAAAAGGGTTTAGGTATATGTGTAGGTACGGAAACATATCAAGCATAGAGGGTTTAGAGTATACGTACTCATACGAGCGAGTGTTGGGAACTTCTATGTGCTGGTACAGGTGCTTCCTTTGACTCTAAGCATTTCCTTCTTATCCAAAGTAGGCGTCGCATATTAAAGATACCCTTAGTGATTGTGACTCTCTCCGTCACTTGCCTTCCCATGCCCCTCCTACATCAGCATTGATCAGGCACTGTTTATTGTTTGCTAAACGTTCCTTCCTGCATATATGCTCTTGTAAATTCCCTACAATGTACACCAGTCAGTTTCGTTTCACCTTCACGAGCAGTGATTTTCAAGGAACCCACTCATGCGAGCGAGCTAATCCTTCTCGTAGGATGATCTCAATGTAACACAAGTTAGGCCTTTGTAAGACGCGTGCTGGCTGCTGCGATATCATTTGCTCGTCTTCACGGTCTCGTTCCTGAATGTTTGTAGACTGTCTACTCGTGAAAAATTGGGTTCAATAATTAACAACGCTTGTCAGTGATGTTATTGAGAACGTGTATGAGTTACAAGATTTTGTTGTGGCATATAAGAGCGCAAAGCACCCATGAGCAGTAGTTATAACGCCAATGTGTCGTGTCCTTCGAGATTGCTCGTCGTTGACCATCAATACCAGCTTAAAAGCATGAGGCACATTCTGTCGGTATCACTGTAGAGCTCGATCTTTGCATGGAACACAGTCGCACACAATATCCATTCATCCTGGGCGCTTTCGCCTTCCATTTCCGTTACATACGATCTTGAGAACACTCACATCCCCATGATAAATATTCATGCTTCATTACGGCACAACAGCGGGTCGTGCTCGATTAAACCCACGAGAAGTTCCAGTGACATGTGCCAAGGGGCAAGTCATCCATTCGCTGGCAAAGAGTCAGAAGAGACTTTCGGCACTCGAAGCGCCAGGCCGATCGTGGTGGACCGCCCCGTGTTGGTGGCTGTCGCTGCCGTTACAAAGTACGGACGAGAGGCGAACATGGCTCTGTTTGCGACATCATAGCTGGTAGTGACATCGTTGGAACAGCGGTGCTCCTTGTTGGTTGGCTTATGGCGTGAGTAGTATCTGTTGAGCATGTATCATGTACATGTAGATTGGCTTGTATATCCAGACGATCCTGCCGTTGAGTGCAAGCATGTGAAGTCGCTTGTACTAACGCTCTAGATTTGAGTGCTCGGTCCGACTCCGATCAATCCTTCTGTAAACGTTCGCCTTGCATGTGAAGCGGCACGCCAGATCTGGAAGAATGTCGCTGCGAGAGGCGGTTTCACGAACAATCCATGGTGACATTAAAAGGGCAGGAACTCGCGCAACGTATCCTTAGAATCCAAACATGCCCTTGGGTATAGCATTGTAAGGGCACTGATAACGACAGCGGCAGCGGCAGCGGCAGCGGCAATTTCGAGTTCTTCAGGATCCGACGACTTTTGCGGCCTGAAGCGAGGTATAAGCAAGGGCAGTTTTACGCGTACCTGCAGCAAGCGTACCGTTGTATATTTAGTATAGCCGGCTTGGTCTGCATCAACGACCCTTGAAACGGTAGTGAACGGCTCTCAACCGAGACGAGCTCATATGCCGAAGTCATATGGGTGTTTGGTGATCCATGTCGATATTGGGCCCTGAGTTTGAGCCGTCCGAGACCGGGGTGGGCGAATACGGTATGCAAGGCTGCCAGCGATAACGTCCGTCCCATGTTTGTCGCTACCAGGATCTGGTCTATGAAAGTTTGTTAAAGGATTGAGGGATATGCACTCAAGTATTGGCGGGTTGGAGCGACCTGTTTCTTGGGACGGACGGCTGCCGTTGTTACCCTTTGTTGTGCAGGAAGCAATGTGTCCTCTCCAAGGTTAATGGAGACACGGTCGGTGCGGGAGAAGATGGCAACCGAACATCCGAGAGCTTTTTCAAAACTATCTTATACCGTTCCTAATCTAGATCTACGACTTGTGATAGAGCTCTGTCAGCCAGATCTTGTGACTCGTGACAGCAGGAGCCTGTCAATCGTACTGTACGCTCTGTACGAACTCGATGCCACGACTCGTATGAACGAGACTTTCGAGAACCGAGATTAAAGATTCCGCTTCTTATGCACTGTACAGATAGTTGCATGCCTGAACGAACTATATCATGAAGTTGATGTGGCTTGAAGCCTCGTCCAGGGCTTCCAATGCACCCGAAGTAACGATCCACTACCCTAACCATATCTGCTCTAGCTTACTACCCCGCGTTAACTTGCCCCGCCTCGACAGTGGCTGCCAAAAAATTGTTTGCAGCAGAGCCTCACGTCACATCACGATCTTAGCACGCGCCTGCCACGCCTCGCAGTATCACACGTGCCCACGACACCAAGTCTTATAGCTCACCATGTCGAACCTCGACGAAGACTCCGTAGACGAGATTCTCTACCTCGCGCGCGCCAACGAAGCCTCCGAACTCGAACAACTCCTCACAACGCTCTCGACACAGATTTCGAAACCGAAGCACCAGATATTAGCAGAAGCGGTGGACTCGTACTCGCAGAATACGGCGCTGCATTATGCCGCTGCCAACGGGCACAACGGTACGCCCCAACCAGGTCAACAATATACGGTAAGATAGCTAACAAAAGACCAGATGTAATCAAGCTTTTGATTTTGATAAGCACCACGAAACCCGCGCCTCTCCTGAATCTCACAAACGCCTCCGGCAATACACCCCTCCACTGGGCCAGTCTGAACGGGCATCTGGAAGCAGTGAAGCTGCTAATCGAAGCTGGCGGTGATATCACAATCTTCAACAAGGCAGGCCATGATGCTGTATTTGAGGCGGAAGTCAACGAAAAGAAGGAGGTTGTAGACTGGTTGCTTGGGCATGTAGAGGCGCTGGAGAAGAGTGTTGGTGGTGGTGCGAGTAGTGGGGAGGGAAGTGCGGGAGCAGAGGAGATGGTGTTTAAGGCGGGAGATACGAGTGGGCCGATGGAGGATGTTACGGAGAAAATGGCGGAGATGAGTGCTAAGGATAAGGATACCCAGGAAAAGTGAAGAAGGAACAAGGAAAGAACGTGATTGTTTTGCCTAGGGCTTGGAGCACAGGGTATGTGGCTAAAGCAAGAGCCTGCTTCAAACGCGGGCAAAAGATGACCGAGAATATTGAATACGTCACGGTGTGCAGTGTTGCTCATGGTAAACACGGTACATCTGCATTACTGGTACAAAATACGTTGTGCACACAACGCTAGCCCACTAGAGGAGGAGACGTGAGTCGTGCGAGTCAACCTGGGTATAGAAGTCCAACCAATAGCCTTTGGTAGATGACAGTAGGCTGCCAAAAGAAATGCAAGATAAATGACAGCGATTAGCGTTTCGGTCCTGCACATACTATCCTACCTTGAGCGCCAACACGCAATCTCTTCGAATACTACGCTGCATTAGTGGACGTAGCGACTTCACTTGTTCTATTCATCCTTACCGCCCATCGACTCAATCACGCAGCCAAGCACGGCGCTTTTCTTCCTTCTTATCGCGGCGCTTGTCCTTGAAGGCCTTGAGCTCCTTCTTGTTCAGAGTCTTGCCGCGACGCTCTGCCTTAAGACTACGTCCGTCATGGCTGTTTGCTGCAGCGTCTACGTCGAAGAAGGCAGTCATTTGGCGTCTGCTCTTATTCTCGTCATTGTGCATGTCAGGTCCTTGCCCAGCAGTCTGGAATTTGCCAGTGAAGCGGTTGAAGTTCGCCTGTGCCGTGTAGTCGTTTGCATTCGGATTCGGCAGGCCAGCAGCCATCGCTGCCGCAGCTTGAGCAGCTTCCTCTGCCTCCTCCTCTTCCTTTGTCGCCTCCCTTGCATAGTCGGCATTAGGGTCATAACTTCCATGGATTGCTGGATTGTATCCTCCCCATTTGCGCTTGGGTGGTGAGCTGGTGCCGGGTGCGCCAGTATTTGAGGGCAGGGCAGCAGCGCCGTAGGTTCTGTTGAAATCACATATTAGGCTGGAGAAGGAGATATAAGACGGTATTTGTTAGCAAACCTGTCGTACGATGCATAGCTGGTTGTAGTGGCCTCAGGCACACGTGGATTCTCCCATTGTGATATTCCAGTCTTGTTGTTGTAGAAGTACCAGGCCTGCGCAGTGTTGTCCCAGCGAGGTTCCCAGCCGTCGTCTTCTGCGTCTGGCACAGGCTCGTCAGGTAGTGGAGGCGCCTCCTCGTCTGGCAGCGGTGGATTGTCTTCTGAGACGGCACCTTCACTCCGTTCGCTGGGAACGCCTTCCTCTTTTGCTGGAGAAGCTGCAGGCGATGCACTTCGCTTGTGGCCATCTTCGTGGCTGGTGCTCTCACTGGGATGCACCTGCGCGGTTGGCGGCGGCTTGACTTCGTCGGTGGTCATGGTGGTAGCCTAGGTTGTATCTGTATAATGTGGAGGTTAGGACTGATGCGCTAGGAAGAAAGAGGCTGCTGTATGCACGTTGCCGCTGCTGCTGGACGGGATGTCGTAGACGTGAGACAGCGGGAAAGTTGAGGCTCGAAAGAAGCCGTGCGCTGGCTTCTAGGGCCTTGGCAGCAATACTGACACGTGATACTCCACAAACTTCACCTTTGTTCCTGCCTAATCAGGAAGATGTGCCCGTATGGCTTTGTGGAGGGACCACATCGCTTGACGGCGATCCTACAATTTTAAGTCTTGACGCCGTGGTGTCAGGTTCGTGTCTTTGTTACGTTGTGACAGACTGGCGACATCACTTGATCGTCATGGCTCCATTGGAAGCGTGCTGCCGAGCCCCAGTGACTTAAACGCCTCCAAGGGCCTCTTTGTCAAATCACGGAGGCTCATTGAGCGTCGGAGCCGGCAAGCGGTACGCTATGCTTGGATGGGTGCAAATGCTGGTTGTTCTCCACCCCTTTCGCTCAACATGCGCCTCGTGTGTTGAACCGAGGGCAAGGCCTGGGATCGGTTTGGCGCAGGCCAAGCAGACGGCGACATGCACGCAAGGCCAAGGTCAAAGCCGTTGAGAGGAGGGTGTTCCGTCTCGATCTTCTGCTGGCTCAAATCGACTTCCTGCCTCCCCTAACGCGCTCCGAATCGGGTCGTGTGCCGCTCAAGCTAAGCGGGGAAGCACATGTGTCGCTGCTTCACAACGTCAAACGACGTCAACCGCAGTGCACTGCTGCCGCACGAGGATATGGTTTGTTGGGCCAGGCCTGGCACTGTAGGCCCGCCAAACCGAAAGACGAATGTTGGTGAATGCTCTCTTGTCGCCAAGGATGCCTGCCTGAGCTGCTAAATATGCGTCTCGCAGCGGACCGGCGCCAGCATCGTCTACGCTTGCCCAGCCAGTCCGAATGGCCGCAAGGACAGGCCACGGCGCGCTCCAGTAGCGCATCTCGGATGCTTTGATGAAACTCAATATGTGAAGAGCCTATTGGCTGCGGCCCGGCATGGACATGTTCGCCTGCATCACATCGCCGGTGCAGAGATCGACAATCATCAGCGAGATGGTTCGGAGCGCTAGGCGGGGACGGCCTGCCGCCAGATCTGGGGGCTGAGAAAAGCACTCACCATCATCTACGCCATACCTAGCCATACCCCCGGCTGTATTGATCTGGACAGCTACTGCCGTGTCTTGCATCACACCAAACACGCTACGCGGCGAGCTTGCAGGAGAATTCCTCTCCGCTGCGCTACTGCAGTATTGACATCGCAGCCACGGTGCGGACTCCCCACAAGCCTCCCGGGATATGCTGCATTCTCGGTTCTCAAACAGCAAAAACTCCATGACCTGCCCATCATCGCCTGCGCTACAGGGAATCTAAGAGCATAGCTGGCCTGCTCTCATCGCCGCCGCGGCAGCTACGTTCCTGGACCAATTCTTCAGACCAGGGTCTGCCCCTGCCTGCTGTTGAATCTGCCGCTGCACGGCTTGCCGTCGCTCCTTCACCCTCATCTTTGCTACTTTGTGCTAATTGTATTCATTGCTACCGTCTCTCGCCGCACGTCGAGCCACTTCGAACCCGCGCTCGTGCATGCCCAGTCTTCCTTAACGCCTAGAAGTCCCGTCTGCGCCGCAATCCTAACCCTGTATCCGTAAGTGAATCCCGTGTTGCTCCTGTACAACCCCTACAGACGGTCCACTCTACCCTGCCGCTTCGGCTGCAGTTCAGCAGGAGCCGGACGGTGGTCAATCGAAACGCCAGCCCTGCACGGACTCACGGCTTCTTTGACATCTTCTCCAGATCCTAGTCGTCTGCAACAACGCCTCAGATTCCTGCAGCACTCCAGACGCACGCAGTCATTTTCCCGTCCCCTACCTGATTGTCTCCAGGTACATATACGTGTTCAGCATTGTGGACACAAATTGATGTAGTCGCTACATCTTGAGACAAACACGGCACCTGCAACCTGGTTGCCAACCTCATTGCTTCTTCCCAATCCCAACAATCTCATGTGGATCCTCGGTCAAACTATCGAGGAGACTGTCTCACCCTAGATACTCAACACCAGAACGGAACACCACCGTCTGCTATGCTTCTCAACATGAATCGTCCACCAAGCATTCCCTCTCATGGAGGGCCTCCAGCATCCTACCAGCCGTACCCAACACCTCCCGGGCCTCTCTCACGCTCAGAGGGCGAGTATCACCGTTCAAGAGAGGTCAATGAAAGTCAGAGCAACACACAGCGACTTCCAAGTCTCCGCACGCTCCTGGAGCCTGAGCTACTCGACAACCCTTCTGATCATTTGTTACGACAGGCTGCACCTCAACACAGTCATAATGCTTCTCCGCAATATGGATCGTCCAGCCCCACTCTGAAGCGGCGACATGATTTCGATAGCTACGGACATGGTCAATACGAGCGTAACACAACAGTGCCTCAGATGTCATATGCACATCGGCCGCCACTACCCCTTGTTCATACCGAACAGCAATCCACGACTCCTTCAACGCCAGGTTCCGCACTCAGTACTGGCTCACTGGATCACCAACGCCATGGAAGCTCTCAGTCTTTGCACGACAATGCAGCTGGCAATGCATTCCGTCAATCGTCATCAGCCTCCGAGTCGATGACCACACTACCAAGTCGTCCAATGTACGACGAGGCGGAAGACCCGTCCAGGCCAGTCAGGAGACGTATTGATGCACTCTCACGCGCCCCTATTCGTGCATCGAGGTGCATCGCGCAACGCGAAATGCCAGGCGAAGGTCTCTGCTACATCTACGAAGATGGGACGTACTGCAGAGCCATCATAGATGGCGAACCAGTCAATCCATCATGGGGGATCACGAAAGCAGGCAAGCCACGCAAACGACTAGCGCAGGCATGCTTGACCTGTCGAGAGAAGAAGATCAAGTGTGAGCCAGGTTATCCTAAGTGCCATCAATGCGCAAAGTCTCAAAGGGTATGCAGAGGGTAAGTTGTTTGACACTGTTATTCTGCGCAACCTTGAATGAATGAACGATGCTAACTGTCAGCAGGGGTTTGAACCAGCCAAATCAACCAAGTACACGCAATGGGTCGACCGAAGTATCACCTTCAGCTCCAGCTGCCGCAACACTCAGAAGCTTTGCGTCAGAGGCGATGAGTCCGTCAGTAAGCTCAGAAAAAGTCAATCGCCTTGCAGACCTGCGAGAGAACCTGCGAACTGCCGATGCTCGGCATGATGGAGCTACGCTGAAGCCTCGAGACCATCTGCCACCACCCCCAATCACAGGCGCTCGGGACATGTCTGTTCATTCTTATGACTCTGACTGGAGCAGCTCTGTGAACCACCGAGAGCATCACGAATCAAGCGCTGGCCTGTACCAAGACCATATGGCACTACAATGGGAGCAAGACCCTAGCGAACTGGATCCCAGAGTAACATTACACATCCTGGAATTGTACTTCCTTCATGCTGGGCGCGCAACTTATGGTATGTTCCCTCGCAAAGCGTTCATGTCATGGGCGCAGTCAGGCCGAGGGAAGTCACAGGATGACCGAATGCTTTTGTACTCAGTACTAGCAATGGGTTCGCTCTTCTCGCCCGATGTGGATAAAAGAGCACTCGGGAAGCGCTTCGCCGCCGTCGCAACATATGCCGCAGAGAAGCGATTTGGGAAGTTCAGTCTGCAGCTCTGTCAGAGCCGCCTGCTACTCGCACTCTATCACTTCGCGCAAGGCAAACCACAGGAGGCATGGGATTTCTGTGGTAGCGGTCTGCGTGCAATCAGTGCATTGAAGCTAAACACCGAGGAGGGAGTGAAGGAGATGGCCGATGGAGCGCCTGAGTTGGAGTACGGATTCGATCGCCGAACCTTCGAAGAATGCTGTCGGCGTACCTTTTGGTCTGGGTTCCTGATGGATGTAAGTCTGGACGTGACGCGGCTAACTACCACCATTGACCTAATACAACAACAGCGTTACAACGGTTTCTTCGGTGGAACACTGTTCGTTGTCAGCATAGAAGACGCCTTTGTCCGTGTTCCATGTCTGGAGGCTACCTATGAATCTGGCACGCCCTGCGATACACCCCTTTTCGATTACCAACTCCTCAACCGCTTCGCTCCCAAGACCCCTGTTCTTGGTAACATGGCGTACCTGTGTCTCATATCAGCCCTTTGGGGCGATGTGCTTACCTTTACAGGGCGTGCAGCTCGCCGTCCAGACACCGGCTATGAACAACATTATGAACCTTTCTATACCAAGAGCTACGAGCGATTAGAGGGTTGGCACGCTATGCTACCTGCCAGTCTGCGATACTCCCCACAAAATCTCGAGAACAGCATCGCTGAAGGCAACGTTGGTACCTTCATGTCGCTGCATGCTCTCTACCACGCTACCATCATTCGACTCAACCGTCAGATTCGCGTAAGTGCGATGCCTGTCGACAAGATAAGTCGCAATATCGAACACGCATTCAAGAATGCATCGAACTTCTTGTCGATGATGCACAGTCTAGCCCTCATCAACCGGCAACGCCGCAACGGCACATCAGAGTGCTTCTTTTCGACACCATTCCCGGGTTACGCGCTTATGCTATCGATCGACGTTCTATCCTCTGCCGGAACCTCCACTACATTGTCCAATCTGATCGATACAGTGGGCACTACTATGTCATGTATTGATGAGCTAGCCACATTTTGGGCATCGGCACGCGCACAACAAAAGGCTGTCTCCAACCGCTTGAGGCAGCTCACCGACATCGCTATGGAACACAAACAGGATGCACACCATGGGCGTGCAGGGCGCTTCTGGAAGATCGGCGAGAGTCTCGATGTGGCATTCGGCAAGGACGACGCTATGTACAAGGCCAACGAGCAGGAGCTTTTCAACGTTGTGGGTCAGCTTACTGGACGCTAATGCGCATCCTAACACCTCCACAACCGAAAACAACAATTTGTCCATGTCAAAAAAAAGCATGCATCAACAACTGTACTATATACAACGTGGAGCGAAGCACTCCATCAACCATTAGCGGGATATGCATGAAGGAGTAGATACGACATGCCTCACATCGAGGCTTAATGATATAATGTGTACAATCACGAACTGCACACATGCACCAAAGCAGACATGGTCAAACTACGCATGCTTGGCGATGCTACCACATTGTGGTAGAAGATGAGAACACGGACATACAATTGCCGGCCAATACTTGCCGTAGCCCTAACGTCGAGGAGATCTCTCCGACAGGACGCACTACTTGCAACTGCTGCTGACCTCAACATATTTCTTTAGTGGCAACACATGCGCGGGTGATGCATGACCTTACAGTAGCACTTGGCACTTGAATTAGTGTTCGGGAGTTGATAGCCTGGTGTAGGCTGATGGCTTGCATGCAGCTATGCTGACCGACGATACGGTTAGGTTCATACGGTTCGGCAAGGACTTGCTCGGTTGGTAGGGGCAGTGCAAGTTGGTAGGGTGCTTAGTGAGCAGCCGTTTTTGGAGTAGGTCTGGGATGATAGTCACAACATGGTGTCATGAACGATATGCCATAGAACGCCAAAGTAAACAAAGTTAACATGTGGTACAGAAGTGCTTATGATGAGGTGCAGCGAATGCTCCCAGCGTGGTACATTTTAGACCTCCAAAAGGGATGCTTTCTGATTCGTGGAAGTGTCTTTTGACACATTGAACACATAGCGGCAAGAGACAGCCCTTGCCATGCTGTACTACTACATACAACTCGGCGTGGTGAAGCGGTCGAGTCACACAGCAGCGGAGCGGAAGCGCGGGACTACGCGTGCGGCAGCTGCACGCATGGTGTCATGGGGCAGTGGAGCCTCTGAACGGCCAGACAGTCCTGTACGACAAGCGACATGTGGGGGTGTGTAACACCGATATAAATGTTTTGTGATGGGTGTGGCAGTGACAGATGTTAATTTTTCTTGAAGGAAAGGCACGTCTATCTATCGTGATTGATCAAGAGGGCTGATCTCGGGAAGCTGCGAGTTGGGAAGTCACAGTTTTGACGGATTTTTTCTGACGTCAGGGATAGTTGTATTTGTCTTAAATGTGGGGATTCGACGGAAGAACTGAATACCGATTCGGATTCCAGAACGTAGATGGTCAGAAGGAGGTGCAACGGTATCCTGGGGTAGTGAATTATCATGCTGGCATTCGCAGCTAGAAGCCAAACAGTGAGAGAAAGGAGCGAGAAGGAAAGTTCCGTGTAGCGATGCAGTAGAAGTAGAAGTCTATACTGCCTACGCTATGCTCTGAAAACCAGGCTGCGAATGAATAGTTCGAGAGAGGAAGTCATAAAACACTATCTGCCGCTTACGGTAACAGCATGGACATAACTCACGTTGCAGCGTCTTGGCCGTCAGCGCTCAAAGTTGACTCTCTACCCCAAGGAACTTGAGTGTGTACATGAAGCATGACGACATGATGTTGGGCGAATAGGTATACAGAAGCTATCACAGGCCAAGCCGGCTACTCTGAGCCATTTTTCAGGAAGCATTGTTGAGGATTGGCATACAATGCAGTAGGTTGTGTGTAGCGACGCAATACATGCCAAAGTTACAGGCAGGTTTGCCACTAGCAGCAGGCACCCGTGACTGACACGATGAACCCGTGGAGCGCTTGCGCCTCAACCACGTAATGGATGAATCAATAGCAATGAATTGTGAATGCATTATAATGGACGTTCACTCAGACGGTGGGCCAACATGCACGCAGAATACCGGCAAGAGGGGCGCAAGGTCAAATGTCGAACCTCCTAGCAAGCATCAATAGATAGTAGGCAGCAGTATGGACACCAATAGCGTATATAATCTGCCTTCCCTAACGCCACAGCGCGTAGATACCTCTTGACATCAAGTCAGGGAACCCATGTCCCATCGACGGAACAGCGCGAGAAAATCTGGCCAACCGTTATGCATATCCCAGGTGGCGAATTTAGACCCGTGCCCTGTTGTCAACACTTGAGTGTTGCCGAAGTTTGACACATTGCTCGCAATCGCATAGCCTGATGTGACCGAAGAGTGCGAGATCTTCGTAGAAATCAGAGACAGAGTTGGCGGAACTATCTGACAACATCGAACTTGTATATTTGGCCTGTCCTTCCTAAGGTGACGACTGCTCAATGAAGTTGTGCGGGCTATTGCGTGCCGAGTGACTCGTCCTGCGCTTGTCTCTCTATGCGTGTCTGCATCATCTGACGTTGCCGATCTTGCCACTCTTCCTCAGTAAATCCACATAGCACCCCAAGAACAGACTCTGGAGGCTTGCCGGATTCATCCCTGAACAAAGTGTCTGCTGACGGCGCGTTCGAACCTGACTGTGGATTCTCAGGTGCTGTCGGCAGAAACAGAATGCAAGACGATCGGCTCGAAATACTGGGTGCCTCCTTGCTTGGCTTTATCTGTGTCTTTCCTTGTTAGTTGTGAACCATATTGAAAAGATTTGTGACTCACGCTAGGCACGCCACTGACTAAAGTGTGGCCAGTAGCAGATGATCCACGATTTCTGCTGTGATTGAGATGTTGAGCTTGTGCATTAGTCCCATTGTCTTCGGGTTCCGACACTGATTTGTAACTCTCATCAACCCCAATGGTAATCGAATGATCCTCGGAAACTGCTAGCGCTAGGTCCAGAGTATCATTCGCAGCGGATGTAAGCTGTAACTTCACGTACGAAGAGCTGGAAGTGCCTGGCAGGGTAGAGTGTCGCGTGATATTTGTGGTATTGGACGGTTCTTTCTCAAGTGCCGGCTCAGAGTCGGCGACCGTGACTGCATCTAGCCAGCGCTCTACAATAGTCTTGGGCCCAAGCTTTGCATGTGAGGCAAGGTTCAAGTGCTGGTTCAGGGCATTGACTGTGAGGTGTCCTTGACGTGGCTCTGGAGGAATGGGAAGCGGTTTTCCAGCAGCGGCAGCTTCGGAATGCTGATCTAAGAAGCCTCTCATCCTCTCACTCAACGCGTGTCTGACCGCGCTATACTCTGCTCTTCGTTGTGGGTCGTGCCATATGGTCTGTGGTTCACTCTCGAAACCACCCCTCAGTTCCGGATAATGCTCTGCTGCCTCTTGTTTGTTCTGACTCTTGCCACTGCCCCTATCGTCTGCAACAATCTCTTTCCCTTGCGTTGTTGCAGCTACTGAGGTGGCGGTAACTATAGGCTCAGGACACTAGCCCATGACCTTCTCCTTGCCCTTGCTACTATCCACAGTATCTGCTGAACCGGCGAAAGCTTGCTGGATTGGAGGGCGTGGCTTAGATGCAATGTCGAGCTCTGCAAATCTGGGGCGGACCTGAAAGATGTTGACACGCGCAGCGTTGAAGACCTGTTCGGAAGGTGGGATGGCAACAGCAAGATTGGTGTTCTCAGTAAGTCGTGTGATGAAGAACATGAATCTGCCGGTCTTGATCTGCATCTCAGCAAAGTTGGCACTTCCAGCTGGAATGTTCGTGTGCTTGGCCATGCTCTGCTTGTGCGTCTTGAGAATGCTGGATATGCGCTCAAAACGATCGTGGAATGGGTTATCCTCGCCGTCGCCCCGTGTTACGTGTGCAACTGTAAGGCAGGTTGTGCGCTCGTACAGGACGAGCTCTCTGGCATCAATGATCTCCGCTAGTTGTGACAAAAGAGCTTCGATGGTGCCTGCGTTCGGGATGAGGAAGTATATGATCTTCGTCCAAGCCTTGTACAAGCTCTGGTCCCAGATGCTTGTGGGAAAGAATTCGACCGTGTCGCTGAAGCCTTCACTGGCATCTCGAATGTAGTTTGAGCGCTCATGATACATAGCTTCCCGAAGACGTGCTTGTACCAGATCCATTTTGTGAATGAGACAAAAGACTTTTGCAGTGGGACTACACTCGTGAAGAGCACGGATGATGTTGGAGTAAGAGACGACGTCGGCTTGGAACTCGCGAGACTCGATGTCAAAGACGAAAATAAGTACGGCCACGGAGCCGAATACGTGGCTACGTGACTGTGTAAGGTAGTTCTCGACGAAGCCATCTTGACTATACACAGTCAACATCCAATCAGTGCACGGTCGTAGACATTGTTCACGTACCCTCCGCAATCCCACAGATTCAGCATGAGGTTGCCCATGAACTTGATGTTGCTATGCTCGACATCGATAGTAGCACCCAGTCTGCGGACATCTTTGGCAACGTAGTTGCTGAAGACAATGCTTCTCATCGACGACTTGCCCGCTCCGCTCTTGCCCATTAACAACACCTTGCGCTGCTTCTGACGCTTCTGGGAGTTCATCGTGAAGGAGCGTTTGATCGACGGCGCGGATACGGGTATCTGGGGTGAGCGTTGTAGACTACCCTAGCAGAAGGCTGAAAGCAAAAAGGTTCGAGAAATGGCGGGCGTGCGGCGTGGGTGAGCTCTGAAATGAAGGTGTTATCGGGGGACGTATCGTAAACGACTATCGTCGCGTGGGGTAAGTGATATACGCGTATGACTAGCAGAGAGTATGAAATTGCGTGAAACGAAGCCGCGGAGCTCAGGGCAACAAGCGCGTGCACACAACGATAGCTTTACAAGTGCGGTAAGTGTGCCTAAGAACGAAGCGTAGGAAGGAAGGAGCTATGGAGTTGGTGCGTCTAAATCCTTGGCATGTCAAGTGCTACTGATGGCGGGGCAGCGGCTGCAGAGCCGCAACCCCTGACCATCACGGGTGTTTGTACGAAAATGTGGAACAGACGAACGGGGGTGCAGTAGTGTTAGATGTGCTCGCATTACGTTGATTGATTATCGATTTCGCAGAATGCTGCGTTCTTGAAGCGCTTAGTATTCCTGGACCAAGGTCCTCACTATTTTACAGATCCGTTTTCCGTGCCCTAGATGTCTAACGTTCTAGACATATCCCGTGTAGAAGTGAAGAACATAGGAGATCGCAGCAAACGGCTAGCAAGCATGCCAATGAAGACTGACGCGTCGCTCAAGCCTTGAAACTAGAAAAGCCACCAGGTGCCGATCGTCGAGATCGTACATCATAAGTTTCCAAATGACTGCAGTCGAGCTACCGCCAATGGTAGTATAAATGGTCCAGATATACGACGTGTTTTTATTGCACGCCATCAAACCAAAAGAAGCGAAACAAAGTGGGAGAGGAATCTCAGGGTATCTCAGAAAACAGTTCCATCGGACAGAATCATAATAGGCGGCTCCTTCGTGTTTGGCCGCGACACTTCTGCGATTTCTCGACCCCCCTGCATTGAGTTAGTTGACAGTTCGTGAATGGAGATGATGTAGTAAAGCTTACCTTCCAGCTGCCGGCTTCCAACATCTGAGCCAAACTCAGCTTTTCACGCCCACTCAGTCCCAGTGAACTGTTCACTTCGACAAGAAGTTCGTCCAGAAGGCCAACCGTGACCGCGCGCCATTCGACTATTACGTCGTCATCTGCAGTAAACATGGGTACAACTTCCATGCTGGGCTGTCCTTTGACTTGGGCGTTCCGCTGATACTGCGTAACACCGCGCTTATGGTCATCAGGCTTCAGCGTCAGCAGTCCAGTGTCGATGAAAAGACCACCGTTGCGGTATTCGGGTAGTCCAGTCAGGAGTTCGGCGCCGGCAAAGTGAACGTTCATCAGCTTGGTCATTGGGACCATCAATGAGTAGGTGAGCCATTGTGTGAGCTTGTGGAAAGGCACAATGTTCTCCCAGGGGTGCGTAGGGTGAGAAGGCATTACGGAGCAAGGCCATGCGTCGCCCATAGGGATGCCATCGATCTGGGTTCGTGTTGCTGGCCAGATGGGTGTCAAACTATCCATCAGTGTGTTCCAGAGGGTGGGGAGTGGCACAATGGGAACTGATGAGGCCTGGGTGGTAGGGTGCGAGAGGAGGTAGTCTGTACTTGTTAGCTTGCGCCAAATCCTCGTGCATGGAGATCATGTACCAAGCATGTTTCCAGGTCGTGCTTCGAGGCCGAAGACTTCTTGGTTCTGCAGTGCCTCAGAGAGTCGAATAAGTAGGTTTGTTCGTCCCTCAAGGCCATCGATAGGATTCGACTCGTTGACTTGGAGACCGCGCGCCATGACGGTAAGGTCCAGCTTTCTCAAGCCAGCACTGTCGACCTGACAGGGCTCCTTGGGATTGCTGCTGAAAGCGCCAGCCTTGAACATCTCGAGGCTGGCCACGGCAAGACCTTCACTGCGTCTGTAGATCTTGCCTGACTCCTTGCTCTTGTACTGCCATTTCGTTCCAGCGCCGGCGTCGAGGAGAACAGACACAAGGAAGAGGTCGAGCAGACGGCGTGTGCGCTCAGAGTTGTCGACAGTAGACGGCCACGACGCCATTAGCTGGTCAATTCGCGGCCGGCCGCCGACCTCGAAGTGCTGCCAGCGGCCGTGGGGAGGAATTGAGGCGTAGTCGGGGGCGTAGTCTCTCTGTTAGGAAGGTCAGCACTGCTATTGTAGGCCCGAGTGAGGCTGCTATGCACCTTGACGATTGACACAACAAAGCTGGCGACGTCGCTGAACTTGCTCATGTCGACGGTAAAGTGCTTGAGCTGGTTCTTCTTCGCCTTCTCCAGCACGAGGCGCGAGCGGTCGCGCACGGCATAGATGCTCCTCAGGTAGCCGGCCGGGTCAAGGGTTGGGTCCGGGGCGCGTGGTAGAGGGACGTCTGGGAAGCTGGTGGGCCGCGAGCCGTTGGTGGTGGAGGGGCCAGGGGAGCGCAGAGAGCCATTGGACGAGTTCGGCTGGCTGCCGCCCGGCGAGATGGTGGGCTTGGAGCTCTTGCGGTTGAACAGACGCATGGCGGGCAGGTGCAGTCAACTATGAGGGCAGGCAGGCAGGTGCAGAGGGAAGAAGCAGTGCTGGCGGCGCTCCAGCAGTGGGAGATTTGGAACACAGGCACGGTCGCTCGAGGGCGCGCAGAAGCGATCCACAGCAGTTCAGAAGAACGAGCCCGGAATCAGTTGGTGCAGGTGGTGCGGCGGGCCGCTAAGCTGTCTGAGCGTGGTGGATGCCGGGCGGCTGCCGGGGGCTCCTAGGATCGTGTGGACAAAAGAAACTGGAACCGACTTCTGGTGTTGTCGATTATGCAAGGAGCCCGTGGGCAGATGCGCTGGGCATCCACTGCGACTGGCCTGACAGATGCCGTGGGGCGAGCGCTGCTGGGCTGCGTGGAGCTGCTGCAGGACATGGACAGACACAGACACAAGCTGCCAGCAGCAACAGTTCTGCAGCATCACGGCACTGGTAATCTCGCTCCCAGCGACGGCTCCACGCCCACGGCACGAGGCCCTCTCCTAGCCCATCGCACCGTAGGGGACGCGGTTGACCTGCAGAGCCACTCACTGGTCTCGCTGGTTCTGCAGCAGGCAATAAACACCCAAACTTCCTGCAGACGGCCAAAAGCAAGGAGCGCTGCTAGTCACGCAGCTTGTCAGAGTCAACCACTCGCTCCTGTGCAACAATGTGCCTCGATAGTGCCTGGCTGCCCACATGTAGTCTAACCTGCCGTGGTAGGAAGACAGGCGCCAGCGCTCGCTTCAGTATCCAGTCCTGACATCTGCTGTGCGCGCTCAACGGCACACAATTATCCCTGCTGCATCGTGAGACGTCTGCGCAAGGTCTATTCGGTCCTCCAGGAACACGAACACGCAACGTCGTTACAAACCTGGTCCGCATACTGCGAACTAGACACAGGACTGCAAACCATCTCGTTTGTCTCCATCTCGCGGAACCGCAGCAGAACCTCCTTGCGGTAAGCCCCGAGATGCCTCCAAGACCACCTAGGTACCGGTTCTCGCCCGCTTGCATGTTAGCACTATGCGGCGCAAACACTACCCCAAGGCCTTCAGCGCTACATGCACTCGATCAGCAGCTCACTTACTCGAAGATGTGCCTGTGTAGCAGTTGCATTTGTTCAAGCATTTCACAAACTCAAACAGCCTCATTCGCGAATGCGGACCCTGAAGTGCTGATCTCAACCTCTTTAATGCCCAAGACGCTCGAGACATCAGCACCACCGCGTTCACAGGGGTCAAGCCATCGCAGACGAATCCATGGCTGCGGGTTCGCCGGCTCGCGGGATTGCCCTTCCGTGAAGACCAGAGCGCCTGAAAAGGCCAACCGCCCGACAAAGCTCACCTGTCTATTGTACAATACGATTATTTCCGGTCTTGGACACCATATCGTACAAACGCATCGACCGCAGACACTTCTCCAGCATCACTTTTTTCCACGTCCACGGCACACAAACTCACTGCCGCAGCCCATCACCAACCCGCGCGGTCCATTGCGACTCATGTCTCGCCGGCCCGAGTCATTCAAACGAGGCACCACCGAGCCGAAGCACTCATCACAGTCCAGGGCTGCAGACCAGGCACCTCCTTGCCAACATGCCTGCCGTATGCTTGCAGCAGACCTTCAAAGTCGGGACAGTCCGCGTGCGCCAGACCGTGCCATGTCCGCGGTTCTTGACGCACGCATCGCGGGCTCACTGACCATATCTTAACTGAAGCTCCTCCGGACGCCGCCTCTAGCAGCCCCTGGCCTATATTTTCTAGCGCTACGGCAACCACGACACGCGCAAAATAACTTCCCGCACGGCAATTCGCTGCCCTGCCGTTTCTGCCTTCGGTCATTTTGATGTTGCCGTTCCTGTGTCCGTTCATTTCTGATCCAATGTTTACCGAGTTTGTTTACTGCTCGGCGCACTATGCACCACACATGCAACATGTGAATTCCCCCGCCCACTCGCTGCATCAGATCAGGCTGCAACCTCATTTGCACGCCCAATCCCAATTACGGCCTCACTCAGACTTGATATCCGCACCAATGACTATCCTTCGCCAGGCTCTGCATCGGGGAAATTTACATGCAGGCAATTATTCCGCATCACAACGTCCGATAATCAGCCTTCAGGGTCTCTGAGTCTATGAGAAGGTCTGCCGTGTCATGTAGCTCTATTCGGTTGCAGGTTCCCAGAAATTAATTGGAAATGACGGTATTGGCCCACTCACGACTCCACTGCACACGCGCGACCGACAACCGCTCGCGTTCGCTCCTATTTACAGTTTGTGAAGGGTACGGTAGGCTCTGAGATCGTCGCAGGTCACGAACTGAGGCTCGCGTGTCTGGGGCTGCGTGGCTGGATTTGCAGGGGTTGTGTCAGCTCACTACGAAGTAGACGTAAATCTAGATGGAGGAGCATCTGGTAGGTATTGATATGATCTTGTGGCTACACGATTATCCTTCTCCTTGAGAACCGACTCATGCGTCGCTGTGATGCTCAAATGCTGCCCACAGTAACGCCATAGTATTGACTGCCTTTACTGTTTTTTTACAACCGGCAAAGCAGTATGAAACGCCGATTCGCCTTTTTGCTATGCTGATCGCTAAGTTGTGTAATCCATAAGTCGGAATGAAAACAGAGCTATAGACTTCGTAGTGGTATCTTCTTGGTATGTGGTAAACCCATATGGTACAGTGTAAAAAGACGTAAGCGTAAGTGCGAAGGCTTAAGGGTCGCTCAATTGTTGATCAGCACCCAGCGCTTCTCCTTTTCTGTAGGACCGACCCTCGCGGCGACAGTGCTGAGTGTGTTGGTAATAGCTGCCTTGGGAAGCTTCGGAAAGGCTTTCTTTAGAGCTTCGATCATGCCAATCTTAGTGAGATCTTTGCCCTGAATCTCAGCCTTGAAGGCGGGAAGTTGATCGTCAGGAATCATCTTCCTCGGCGCCGCAGGTTTGGACGCAGTAGAGGACGCCGAGTTGGAGTTGAGAGTGTTCAGCAACCCATTCATCGTTCGCTGCGTCAACGGCACTCGCGGTGGCGGATTCATAAGGCCATGTGTGGAAGCGTTCTTATTTGCTGTCGCGGTCGTTGCGGCTACAATAGGTGCCGGTGGTGCCCAGTAGGCTATTGAGAACGGATCGATCGATTGAGGATACGGATCTACGACGTTGTTAGTGAGGAGTAAGTGAAACATGCATGTGGACTTACCCAGCAGGAACTCCATCTTGAACTCCTTGAACTCTGTGCAGATGGCATCGGAGCCATCGTTGAGTTTGGAGACACCGCTGGCATCCTCCCAACACAAGCCAGTGCTGACAGGCACCAGATCACCCGACAACATTCGCCGCTTGAGCTGCGGGTCCTCCTCGTCGTCTAGAAAACCATCCATATCATCATCTCCCTCCTCTTCAAGATCATCTTCGCCTTCAGAGTCAAGATCCTCACCCTCTTCAGGCTCTTCCCACTCAGCCTCGGAATCGTAGTCGTAGTTGGTGTCTTGACGAATTCGAGAGACTGCATTGCGAGCGAGTCGGCGCGCATCTGCGTCCGAATAGGATTTTGAGTAGGTACCGTAGTAAGGAGGACGAACATCTTCACCGAAGTGCAGATACTTCATAGGTATCGCCTTCAGCATGTCGAGTGGCTGCTGCTGATTGGCCTCATCGTCGTTGGTGAGGTCGCTAGGTCGATCGGACGAGCCATGGACTCGTTTGACGACCTCCGTTATGGTAGCGGTCTTCAGGCCTCGTCGTGCGCGCGCTGGAAGCGAGACCTTCAGGGTGTGCAGAGTCAGATGCTCCAAGCCGGCATGATCGTCCTTGGATAGCTGATCCAACCGTGCTCTTGCCGCGTTGAGCTTCTCGGTATCCTCCATAAATGCGTTCGCGGGCGCCAGGATAGCGTGTGACGGTAACGAGAAAGGAAGGAAACACCGATCGTAGTCTGACTGCCCGTTCTTTTGGATGGATCTCTGCGGAGAGGGGGGAATTGTGTTAGTAACAGCGCCAGGAGTGTCCCATGGTGATGATATATGTGGGGCAGTAGAGTCTGGGTTTGAGTCTACCGCGGAAGGTTCAGCACTGTTGGCAATGACTTTAGGCTTCACGAAGAAAGCATTGAGCTTCATCTGTGACTAGGAGCGAGTTAGCAGCGATCTGGCTTCAGCATATGTTGAACCTTACCCGCTCCTTCTTCGCTTTCTCCTCTTCCTTTTCGCGCTTCTCAGCTTCTTTCTTTGCCTTCTCTTCCTCTTTCTTTGCCTTCTCTTCCTCTTTCTTGGCTTTCTCCTCAGCCTTTGCTTTGCTCTCTGCCTCCTTTTGCGCAGCCTTTTGGGCCTTCTCGTCGGCCCTGAACTTAGCTTCAGCCTCCTTCTGTGCTGCTTTGTCTGCCTTGGTCTTGGCTTTGGCGTCCTTCTCGCGAGCCGCGTCGTCCTTCTCTTGCTGCGTCAGGGCCTTCCGTTTCTTCTTGGCTGGTTGCTGAGTATTACTTGAGCCAGGTGCTGTCTGTGTGGGAGTTTGGCTTGCGACGGTGCTGCTGGTCGGGGCAGCTCTGCTGGGAACGGTTGACGGCATTGGTGACGGTGTCTGAACATCGGACAGAACCGATAAAGGAGTCGATGCTTGTGACGAAATAGCCTTGAATGGTGTAGAGGGCTGAGGCTCGGCATCTTCGTCGCGCGGACGTTTGTAAGCAGTAGGTACAACGGGGGTTGGGTCCTCCATGGTGGATGTTAGGGTTGTGCGTTGGAACGATACAAGCGAACCAGAAGATCAATCGTGTACTGAAGTTAGAAGAGCGGGCAATAAAGCGTTGCGGTGAATGGATCGCGTCGATGGGCGAATGCGTCGTTGGAAGTGGGTAGACGCGCCGGAAAGCCACGACGCGTTGCGCGTAAGGGACGCGGTTCTTGGCAGGATGTTGCCTGCGCGCGATTTCCTGTCGTTTGCCGCAGTCTTGGGGCAAAATGTAGGCTGGTTGCCTGATTGGGACTGGTGCTTTCTCCACGAAAGAACATCAAACTTGACCAGCCCTGGAGGTACTCAAGAAACTCCAACTCTCACCATCCTCGTGCACAAGATATACAACAAAGCATCTGCGGTACCTGGGTTGCTTGACTTTGATCCTGCAATAACTGCTATCGACTGACCACCAGCATTACGTGCTTCCATGTACTGAACACCCACTGTCAAGAATCGGCAAACATGGACCTTGAAGATGTCGAAGACATGCTATTCATCACCCCAAGTTCGCAGGAATCGTTCGACAACCTGTGGGACGAAGACTTCTATGATGAGGAGACGCTTGACGTTGCTGACAACGAATACGAATCTGACGACGACCTGTTTGATGCTCCTCTAGATGTCACAGCAGACTCATGGCAGCTACTCAGCAGCAGCCCGCTACTCACGCCAGCAGACGCGTCCATAGCACTACAAGACGATATGGTAATGGGCGGCAGTGGTGACTGCTTGGGGAGTGTCGAAGTACTGTCTGTGGAAGTAGGCAAGAGAATGCCTCGCGACAGGTGCTGTGATGAGACTTCTTGGGCAAAGCATACACTGACCCCAAAACAGGCATTGGGTCATTGCTCGCCTTGAAGCCATGCTGGAGAGAATCGTCGATGGTCTCCTTGAGGGTAGTGAGAGACTCACACTCACCCTCAACAGTCGAGCAGGCATCTCTAGACGACAGCCAGTTGCGAAGATTAGCTTTGAAGCAGCACCTGCGCCGAAGGTTCGGCAAATCTCGTTTCCTGGCAGCAGTGCGCAAGAAGCGTTGAACTTCAGTTGAGCGACACACAAACATAGCCACTCCATCGCTGACCGGTCACAGCTATCCTACTGCGTATCATCGAGCTCGTCCATGGAGGCCTTGTCGACAACACTATTATGACCAAGCGGTAATCTCCTGTTAAGCCTCCAGTGGTTACTAAGCTAACCAGCGTGCTGCAGAGATATCTACTACAGACATCCAGACCTGTTCGTAAAGCAAGCAGTCGTTGATCGATATGTTGATGACCTAGCGTGCACATTAGGAATATCGAGGTCTAAGCTCAATGTTGTATGTTGCCATGTCCGTGGAACATCTCTCTTTACTGACACTAAAGACCGCTGCTGCCAAGGGGCTTGTTGCAGGATGCTTCACCATAAACCGTGAAGACGGTACACAGTTCGATGGCATGAATGGCAAAGAGGTATGGCTCTTGCAGGACACGCGCAGCCCGAACTCATAACATACAGGGCTTGCTCGTCCCAAAGATCGGAGAGAAGGATCGGTTAGATCTCACGCGAGTTCGCTGGATCCTCGTCATCGAAAAAGAAGTGTGTGTGGGCGCAATGCTGGCAACAAGTACTAAATATTGTAGGCCACATTTCGCTCGCTCCTTAGCGCGACACAATGGGAGAAGTTGGGCCTAGATGGGTTGGTCTTGACCGTAGTATATCCGATCTTCTCAACAAGTATCGTACTGACATCTCTGAAGGCAAAAGGATACCCTGACGTAGCTTCTCGAAGTTTCCTACGTCAGTTGACCGATCACGCACCACACGTACCAATATACGCCTTCGTAGACCTTGACCCTGACGGCATCGCTATTTTGTCGACGTACAAATATGGCTCGTACCGCCTCGCTCACGAAAACGTCGCACCTAAGGATACACCGGCATTAAGCCTGCCCAACCTACGCTGGCTCGGTGTAAAGAGGCACCACATCAGCCGAGTTCCGGTAAACGAAAGTGGTACAGATACGAGCGCAATGCCTGAACTTCAGGGCCTGATGAAGTTGACAGCACGCGACCGTACGAAGGCAACTCGAATGTTGGAGTGGAATCTCTGTTGTGAGACTGGGCCAGAGCAGGAATGGAGGCGTGAGTTGCAAACGATGCTCATGTTAAACGTCAAAGCTGAACTTCAAATCCTTGAGGAGCTGCCAGGAGGTGTGGTCTCTTTCTTGAGTACAAAACTTGGCCAGATGGAGGAGACAGAAATCGACGTGGTGGCGAATCCAGCATGCTCAGACGATGGCCTACTCTTTTAGCATAGCGCCTTCCATCCGCACAACGCAGGTCTGACCAGATGTAAATCTTTACAAATTGTGCTCAACAAGATGTGACAAGCACGCATGTTAGGTGTCTGGCCCACTCTGTCGCTTTTATCCAATGACCGCAACCGGGTGCTGTGGTAAGACAAAAGCATCTCGCCAAGGCTGGTTGCCCGCTTCGCCAGCGCATCCTCTCGATCACGACAGTCCACGTTCACAACTCAGACTGCGTTGCATAGCGGCCATGCATTGACTTGCAGCAGCTCCAGTAAAGCAAACCTACAATGTCCGAATCTTCGGCGAATATAAGATTGACTAGCAGCCCCTACGAGGCGCATTCGCACTCGCACCCTGCTGCCCATCTCCCGAACCACCATGCTGCTGGTGTGGCGGACTCGAACGCTCTCCCACCAGCATTGACACCGGCCACCACAACAAGGCAGTCGGTAGCATTGGGCGTCTTCTCGACGCTCTGGGCGCACAACTCTGCGTCTACCCACGAGACCGTGAACATCGCGATACCGTCCAACGCAACGTATGCCGACGCCCATGAGCAACATCACGATCTGGCGGCGAGTACAGGCTCAGTGCCCAGTACGACTACAACATTGACGAACACATTGCCACCGTTACAATCTGCTGCAATTCGTGCGCTCAATGCTCCCGCATTCCACGCCCCGAGTAAGCCTGCGAAATCCACATCTAGCAAAACAACCATCACAAGTCAGCCAGTCGTAGTGCGAACGTATTCAGGATCGCGTCATACTTCTAGGCCAGGCTCTGGCTTCAACACCCCGCGCTCTTTCGCCATGAACGGCAACTCGAATGCCTCTGCACTGTCCGCTGGGTTAGCGCGCCAGAACGAACAGCTGCCTGCCATTGAGGACTTCTCGTTCTCGGCGATCCTCCGTGCAGTTGACCCAGAAATAAGAGACGCCATCGATGCCATTGCTGAAATCTGTGCCCGGAGCCGAATGAGTCTGGCTAACGAATACGACGCACATCTCCCTCCACAAGGTGAGATAACAGGCACGGTGCCTGGCTGGGCTGCCAGCACAGGAGCTCTAGCAGGACGAGGGCGTTTGTCTCGAATTAGTCAAGGATGGACGGCTGCAGATAACACGTTGATGGCCGTACCCGAAGCAAGCAGCTCGAGCGAGAGACTGGCACAAGAAGGTAGAGGCACAACGGCTGGAGGCAAGAAGAAGAGGAGCCAGTCTGCATATGGCAGCTTGAAGAGCGTTATCAGTGGCGGTAGCAGTGGAAAGAGAAATTCAATTGACAACAACACCTTCGAGCAGCCTGAAGCTAGCAGCTCATGGCAAGAGGAACAGCAACGACCACAAGGACCGGCATGGACGATCAGGACCGCATCGCAGACCGAGGATCACCCAGCCATCACCCTCGACACTACACCACAAGCCTCCAAGCAGCTTGCATTCGATGCATCCGTGCTCCAGGACTTGCCGGAGACTGACAGCACATGGGGCCTGCTCCCGCGGACTGCTATATCCCAACAAAGACATCGCCGCAATTGGTCGACTGCCACATTCTCTGTCAGCCAATCTAGCTCAAAACCACGATCGAAGACAATCTCCTCGTTGGCATCATGGCTGCCATGGCCGCGTACAACCGCCCTGGACCATGGCACGCAGCAAGAGCTCACTAAAGCGGAAACACGTTTACGTGAGATGCTAACGTCTTCGCAGAACATTGGCAAAGGAAAAGCGACCGCGGGCGCTGTATGAGGCTTCGCTCATGTTGATTGTAGTTGTACTTGTTCGAACTACGTGTCTTGTGATGATACCCCAGGGCACAAAGGCACAGATACATCTTGGACTTGTACATGCATGGACTGCATGCACATCACGATTGACGAGGCTGTACTGTAGCATGGAATTACGATTAACGAGGTATGATTTATGATAAACCGATTCACTTGAGGTCGTTATAAGTCCTTGACTGCGTACTTGGCTGCTAGCCCTGAAGCCGCACTAACCGGAACGGGCAACGAGCATGCATCCCAATTCGACCTCGGAAGCTTGGTTGACGTTATCATTCATCATCCTCTCATGCATCTTCAGATGAACCATCACTGTGAGATCTATGAGCCCTTTTCCCGCAGTCGTTGTGCAATCATTTCAAGAGTCCAGAATTACGACCAGGATGAACGACCACTCAAGACCTACCTTGGCCAACCTGTGCGAGGATGTGCTGCTCATGATAAGCGACTTCCTTCGCCTACAATGTTCAGAGGGAGAAACTCCAACGAAGGTTCTATCAAGCGTCAATCGTCGGCTTCGAGACATCTTTAGCCCAGTCCTTTTCAAGTCGCTATATATCAACCGACCCTTGAGCCAGCTTAGCAATACACCACTAATCTTTCGATATGCGAAGAGTCTGAAGATCGATATGTTTGGATCTATGTGGTGGTGGTGCTCAGGAAAGTACGTGTCAAGCAAAGATGCCCTGGAGCTCTTTGCGTGCGTTCAGAAGATGCGGCAGCTAAAGAAATTGGAGGTGACGATGATGAAGAGGAACTTGGATGTATTTGTGAGCGCCTTTGAGGAAGTGGATGACGCGCAAACGTTCCTGCTACCAGACGTCGAGACATTGGTTGTCACTTCCGCCGCTGCATTTTTGGCTTCTCACTGCCCAGACCTCAAGCATCTTATTGTCGAAGATGCACCGTCTTGCATGATCGAGACCTACGTCGACGTACCTACACGACTAATCCCACTACATCCCCAACTGATCGGAGGCCAATGGACATGCCCGCAGCTCACGCATTTCGATACAACGGCGAACTGGTCTGCTGAAGAGATCGCGGCACTCGTACCGTCATTTCCACGGCTGCAACATCTGCATATGCGCAGCGACGCTTTCTGCTATCACGCATCCATCGCCGCCATCATGCAGCTCCTAGGCTGCAGTCTCAGGGACCTGAAGACCCTCAAACTCAACAAAGTGGACAACCTCGACATGGGCTTCCGAGCAGTCTGGAAGCGCAGTATTACAGCATGCGCTACTGAGGTACAACGACGACAATTGTGGTTGCAGACCGAAGCCCACAGAGTCGAAGCTGAGAACAATGTCGCGCGACTAGCATTTACGAGTATCGACCGACTGGAGGAATGCTGGCTCGGCGATAAACGTGTTGCACGTCGGTCAGCAGGCTGCAATGGCAAGGACAACCTAAGCTGGGTCTGGGAGCGGAGAAGAGAATATATTGACGTTTGTACCCAGGGCTCGGAGTGGGCGAACTATCGGGCAGAGAAAGAAGCGGTGGTGGTTTGCAGCGAGGTTTGCACGTGAGTCTCGGTGCCTGCAGGCTGCCCACTACGCTGCAACCCTCTTTCAATGGGTTCCGAACTTTGGAAACAGCAACACACTGGGTACCTCCTTATCGGAATACCTATATACACACTCCGTTCGCTCAAGTCTCGTATGTGCATCATACATTTTCGCCCTCTTTGAGGATCGAGAGGTATCCAAGTGGTCGTCGTGGTCACACATGTGAGGAGATTGCTTCGGATGAGGCGCTGAGGCGCCTTTCTTCGGGTAGTATCACGTCCTGGAGCGCCGTTGGGAGATTGACGACACATCCTTACACGATGCAAACAAGCTGATCTGTGCCATCTTCAACCATACAGCAGTGGACTAGGATCGAGTATGTTTGCAACAACTCAATGGGCTTCAAATCTTAGGCTATAAAGAGGCTCCCTGTGCCTCTTGAAGACACATCTGCCAAGTCTGAATGTACTCGAAGCACGATCATGTCCAAATACTTGCGAGTGCTTAACTTCGAAGATGGAACATATAAACACCACGACTACTGTAAAAGTAACAATAGAATAATTACCTACCCAAACGCCCATGCGCAGATGATATTCGCACCACTAGTTCCCTTTCCAATCTCAATGCCCCAATGACATACCCCCTCCCAATCCGTCCCTCTCCCTCCCTCAAACTTCCACCCAACCCGCTCACCATTCACAAGCATCCCCAAATACTCTCCGTCCCGCCTTCTACTCGCCTACTCCCGCATCATCTCACCTCAGACGTCACTGACATGCAGCAGCCAAGCCTGTACCGCGCCCAGGTCGCTCCCATGCAGGAACAGTGGGGCCGACGACGTAGCCGCGCTCAAGCGTCCAGCTGAGACCGTTAGACCCATGGACCATGTCTGACGTCGGATCACCAATGAGCGGGAGCTTTGATGTCATGGCATGGGGAGGAATGTGGACTGTTACTGTGGACATGTGTTACGAGGGGACCGAAAGGGCAGGTTTGGAGGCCGAGATGAAGTACGCGACGAGATGAGACACCACGAGAGTGGTGCGTTAGTAGTGCATTAGTGGTACGTTTAATGGTTCGCTGGATGCGGCACACGCGTTGGATGAAGGAGGCACGCTGCACGCAAGGCTGTTGGGCAGGAGGCTAGAGAAACAGGACGCCAAAAAGAATGGGGAAGTGCTGAACCAATGTAGGCAAGCAAGGCAATTTTGCGACACGTCCCGCTGCAGGGAAGCGCGTTGCGAGGCTGCGAGCAGGGAGTGAGAAGGATGCTGTGCCGTTGGGTTAGGGAAGTGGCCTGTTGCTGATGGCGCAAGAGATGTCATCTCACAGTCTTTGTGAAGAAACGAATATCGTCATCTTCAGAGTCTATCTCGATGCGCTCCCCATCATCTGAAGCAGTTCACCAAACCGGTCAATGTGCTGCGATATTCTGCGATGTTCTGCAATGTGCACAACCTCAATCTCAGTCTTATCAGATGCATCACGATGTACTCGCTCCAGGTGTCGGATATTCAATGCTTTGACGTCGGTTCTCCACGAAAGAAGCGGGGGCGTGACGCTCCGGTGGGGAGGAAGGATGCTGAGTGGGTGTGAGTGGTCACTGGGGACGTGTGGATCTACAGATTGACATGTTCTGCAAGCGCGGGACGAAAGCTACAAAGGTGGAGTTCGCCGTGGAGGGAGGATTCTAGGTCTGCTGATCTGGAAGGTCGAGACGACTCGTTGAGCTTCTGAGCATTGTACTGTGCATCGCAGTCCTGGAGCGCATCAGCTCACAAGGGGAGCGACGAAAGGGGGTAACTGTAAGAAGACTGTACAGTATGTATGAGCGTCACGAAGTTCCAGGCGCATTGCTACTACACACTGCCTGAGTCGAGATTCGTCGTGTGTCGCACAAAATATTGAATGACATCGTCCCCCGTATCACGGCCAGCTTGTGGTACCTGCGTCTGTTGATGCTCAGCTGAAGAGAACCTGCAATGTGAGGCCGAACGGGAAGACCTGCTGCCATCTATCGTCACTGTTGACGTTGTTCGGGCAAAACATGTCTCCTAGAGTAGAAAGGTGGACCCTTATGTGAGCGCAACGGCTGCTACCCTGCATGAGACGAACGGTCAGCTATACTGCGATGCAACTAGCGTATCGCAGATCGCTCCCATATCGAGTAGGTATGACGCTTAGTGGCGCCTTTTCCTCGAGGCACACGACAAGGGGCATTTTGGAAAGTCCCGCCTTGCGTGAGATTCCGCATTTTTTGGTCTTTGCCGCTGCGGTGTGGTCCTTGGAGTCCAATTGCTGAGGGCAGTCTGACGTCTGGCGCGTTGCGACTGTTGTTGGAACCGCGGCGCGAGATCCCAAAGTTTGATGGTGGCAGGAAGTGCGTCATACCTCATCACAAAGACAACGCTCTGCGAACAGCACTCGCAGCGCAGCAATGATGATAGCCTTACGACCAAGCAGGTGGTTACTGTAATTTCTTCGAAAGCCACTCCACTCAAAATGCCAATTTCGGTCTTATTCGAATCTGCTGCGAGCGAGACGGGCTGCCAACCAGAGTGCGTCCATGGATGTGTTGTTGGCTGGAAAACCGTGTGACGCCAATGAGCGCATAGTGCCTGTCCGAGGCCACCTGTCGATGGCCAGGCAATAACGGCCTGCGGTCTAGTGCATTCTGCGTCCGAGACCCTGAATGCATGCACGGTCAGGGGCCGTCACTGGTGACGCGGAGAATGGCGTCAAGATTTACACTCACAAACGTGATCCCAACGTGCTGAGTTGCCTCGAAATATGGCCTGTGGATCGTGTCAAGTTGATTGGATGCTTGTGGACCCGACTATGTTTTCGACAGAGGGCGCTCACGGAAGAAGTGGGACCCTGTAGATCTGTTACGGCAAGCCTCGAACTAGGGTGGCTCATTGTGTGCCGATAGTGGTGCTAATCTCTTACCATGTGCGGTCATGACCGGCAACGCTGAAAGGGAACCTGGCTCTGTTCCCGCTGCTACGTGAAATGGTGGCCTTGGGGAGAGGGGATTCTATATAACTGCAGTCTCTGGCACCTCGTCGAAACCGAAATCACCTCATATCAACAATTATATTCCAGCCTCGAACTCCCAACCTCATTTCTGCAAGCATCAACTTTGACTTTTAAACCCGGTCACCTCTCTACCACATCCATCACAATGTCTTCCGCTGGAGCTTCCCTTTATGTCACCGACAACTTCTCCGAGCCCGTGAGCGCTCAGCACAACTTTGTCAACAATTTTGACCTCGATCACCCCGAGGATGCCATGTCGGCTTACCAGAGGTACGTTTTGCTCCACCTATCTATCATAACCAGCATCTAACAATGAACAGGATCATGCACGAGCACACCAAGCGCCAGCTCAGCACTGCAACCAACTCTGCCCACCGACGAACAGGCATGGTTCAGTCTACAGATGCTAATCGTGCCGGCTCTGTCTCTTCCACCGACTCGTAATTTCGGTTGTGCATCGACGTTGCTTTCTTGCATGCAATTAGCGAAAGGTTGATCGGGCATTAACCTCTTCATTCGACTCTTCCAATACACATCCATCGACTTGATGGTTCACGGCATTTCAGAGGCGTTCCGGTTACAACGATATTCAGACGATGCATGGTGTTGGGTCACATTATAGGTGGATAGCTTTGAATCAAGCATCATGCGCAATTAGGCGCGATCTTCATTTCCTGTCCCAATGCTTATGTTTGCTGTGACCGTGACAATGACTTGTTCTGTACTCGTCCTTCTCTCGAACTTCCTCAATATTCGAGCTTTCTCTCAGATTTCCTCAAGGCCACTTCGGTCCTTCTCTCCATGAAGATCAGCATCGCCTTCCGCTCACAGACTTTCAATCTAAGTTGTATATCCTCACATGGCAATCCGCTCTCGCCAACCCATGGTCCACCTTCACTCCCGCTGCAGGGTCCGCGCCTCTCACCTCGCACTAATTTAGTGCATATCTACACCGCAGTCACAAAGTCCGCCCCCAAACGCGCTAAATATCTGCCAGTCAGTGCTTCCAGTAGTTGGGCATCGCCATTCCCACTGAAAATATCGGAAGTGACAACCGACCCATAAGATGTCGATACAGACCCTGCCAAGGTTCGGTACTCGAGTCATAACGGTCCTTGGGCCTTGTTCACAAGATCTTAGACCTTGCTTTAAAGCCGCACATCCAAGATCCTCAACCCCGGAGTCGGGCCTTTGTGGAGCGCTGGGTGTGGGCTTTGAAGTCTGCCAGTACCTGCATCTGCTGGCATAGTAACCGCGACGTGTGGCTTGGTCATGATGTATGTTTTGCGACTTCATTTGGAACATGTACACGTTTGCGCGCGCGAGGGGACCAGCTTCGAGGGAAAGTAGGTGAATAATTACCACGACATTACCACGCCATTACCGCAACAACCCTTCTCTAGGGCAGACTTCGTACACGTACTAATACAATACTACACCCAAAACGTAAGTGCGCAATGTTCCTGCTGGAAATCGTGACATCTCTCATTCACGTTACAATGTTTTCACGAAGCAACGCCGCGTACACGATTCATCATGGTACAAAACGCTCAAGCATCAATGATGGAATTCGCTGAGTCTTTGTGCTTCTCTACATTGGAATGACCGCACCTGCACACCACATCAAATCGCAATGCGATCACGAGAGCCATGACTCGACCACCATACTGTTTCGACATCACCGTCCCATAACAAAGCAACTTTGCACGTCATCAGTGCAGGCAATCAATGATCAGGCGAGAAGGTTCAAGTCAAAAATGACTTCAGTCAAATTATTCCATCAACGCTAACGACCGACTCGCAGGGCATATGCCTCCACCGCCCTAGTCTCTTCGTCCACTACAACTCCATCGTTACAATCTCATCGTCACACCTCCCTCCAACCGCCCAAGTTTCACCCCCTCACCCACCGCACTCTCATAGCGGATAATATGCGGTCTAAGCTCGACTCCCCGTCGTTGTCCTCACACTCCTAAACCGTGGTAGTTCCATACCCCTGCTGCGCCGGCGGCATGCCTCCATCAACTGGCGCAGGGTGCGCAACGACATTCTTCTGACCACCATTCTGCACCTTCTGACTGTACACGCCCGGCGCAAGACTGCCGTTGTACATGCCAGCCCGGATCTCGTCGCGCCGCTTGTAGTACACGTATTCGACATAGAAAGCGTGGATGTGGCCGGGGAAGTAGCTGTGAGTATGTCAGTACTTGTATGTTTACGCATTCGCGTGGTTAATAGATTGGTTTTGAACTAGGAGAATGCTGATGTAGGGAGGGTGACGCAGAAGAAAGAGGGGTTTGTGGTTGATATGCGTATAAAAAACGTACCCGAGGATTGTGAGCAGGATGTTGATAAGCAGGTCAGCGCCACAGCCGGCGACGAGGAAGACGCCTACAGGTGGGACTGGGAATTGTTAGTCTGTATGGGTGAGTTTTGGGGGAGGGTGCGTGTACGGAAGATTGTGATAAGGATGAGAAAAATTGTTTTGATCATTGTTGCGATTTGTGATTTATGATCTAGTTGCGGTATGCTATAGTGATGTTCGTCCAGTTCGAGATGTTGTGTTTGGCTGTGGTCCGTTTGGTCGTAATTGCGCGCGCAGGCGAAGCGAAGAATGCAAAGACGGGTATCGCGAGTATTATGAATTATAACTGAAAAGCTTGTGCTTGCGCATGTGGGACGACCCTGTGCTTATAACAATTCTTTGTCAGTAACGCCAGCGTTTGCTGCGCGAAAAGTGAGACGTCACTTCCCAGATCCAGGGCGTTTGATTGGGTAGCAGAGGCCTGCGCCACTGCGTCGCGGATGCTCGGCATTTCGCGTGGTGCATGGACACGCGTTGAGGGCAGGTCATCCGCGTTATCACCGGGTACGAGGGCGAGGCAGATTCGGTGAGCAGAAGAAAGGTCAAGTACTTGATACTATGTCTTTAATGCTGCAGTATGTTCTGTAGTTTGTATCCGACTCACAACTCCAACTTCCACTTGATGTTCTCGAACTCCTTCCTGCGCTGTAACCTCACCTTGAGCTCCTTTAATGGCCTCATAACAGAAATCGGTGTTCTCTTCGTATCTGGGGGCGGATTCCAATCAGTCCCGTCAATTGCTTCCATATCGAAAGCTAACAGCAACACTGCTGATAGACTGATGATTTCGCACTGGGCGAAGTGACGGCCAGGGCACATGTGTTTACCACCACCGAAGCTTCGAAAGGTCGCTGGATGCAAAGCATGGGCTTTGTCTTCAGGCACACTCCCATCGGGGTTCGTTTTTGATCCGTTGATGCTGTAGAGGAAGCGGTTGGGTTTGAATGACTCCACGTCTGGTCCCCATAGTTCTCTGTTCTGATGCAGAGCATTGCTGGCAGTTTGAACTAGAGTACCTTTTCGCACAAGGTATGTATCTGCTAGCATCGTATCTGCCGCGACCCATCGTGGGCTACCCATCGGAGCATAGAGGCGTAGAGTCTCGCGATAGACCGAATTCAAGAAGGGACAGGACTGCCTTAGGCACTCGAACGACAGCAACCCCGGACCTAAGAGAGCGTTCTTGCGAATCTCATAGCGGAGCCGAGATAATAACTCGGGACGACTGAAGACATTGCTCAGTAGCCAGAACGTGGTAATGCTGGCATTTACGTTTATTGCCAATCCCATAGAGACATCGAGTTTGCCTCGCTCTATCGTATCAGTGATGCCGTGCTGAAGATGCAGACTATTGCGATTCTGAAGAAAGTAGTGGGCTTCCCGATAGCCTTCTACTTCAATGTATTCTGCGAAGGCTTTGGCGCAGGTCATAAGGCCTTGGTATGCTTTGCGAGCCGTGATTCTGGGAAAGAAGCCCACCATTATAGGTATAATGCCACTCTCCCAATCCCAGAAACTATCCAGAAGGTCAGGATACTTTTCGAATGGATTTTTAGGACCAAAGAACGTTCTATTTGATGCGTCGCAGATCTTCTTACGAACGAAACGAAAAAGTTCCACTTCGGAGCCATCCTTGACATCGTTGACGAGCTGTCCAAGGTAGCCCAGTTGAATATCAGAGCCGTCCGTCAGAGTTTGCGGTGTCAAGATGCTGTGAGATTGCTTATATAGGCTGACTCCGCCGTCCTGTCCGCCGCTAGGATCCCTTAAGATCGAAGCCGTGCGCGGATTTAAGTCAACCATACGAGATGTGATCTCGCTAATCACTGGGTCGAGACTCAGAGTCGAGGGAGCCCTCTGAAGAGCTGAGCATAGCTCTGGTGAGGCTACCATGTACATGCGGCTGGTCCACATGGGTAACGTGAAAATGGGGTACCTATGTATCTCGCTATAGCTGTTCGTCAGTATCTCTCGCGTAGCCTTTAGCCGGTGTACTAACTGGAGCTCCTGAGCATATGTCGTTCCGCCTGTGAGCATGCCAATGATGTGTCCAACAAGAGGAATCTTTGGGTAGATGACAGGTGGTTCCCGTGGATCAACCTTGAAGCGAAGAGCATTTATGAGAAATATGGTCAGTGCTGTGGCAAGCCCAAAGGCTCCAAGGAGCGACGGCGACATGTATAACTCCATGTTGTCTGAAGGCGCCAAAGCGAAGATTGAACGTTCTGAAGAAGGAGCAATTGAGTATTTACGGAGACAAAAGTGAAACAATTGATTGACAAGAGGAATGGAGACAAACCATCTTGTCAGACGTGAGACGAGGCATACAACAAGAGGGGTAGATATCTTTGCACAACCCCAGATCCTGAAGTACATGAGCCCAAAGCGCCCCCAGAACGCCAATGCCATCCGTACCGATCGACATACAGCCGCAAGTTCGATGGCTGGCATTTCTGATTAATCACGATCGGTCCGGTTGACGGCCTCCAACACCAGACATCGCAAGTCCTGCACGCTCTCGAGAAGGGCCACGAAATCTGCTGTTGTGTATCCGTAAGCCAGGAGAGTAATAGCTGCTCGTTACATGGTAAAGCGCGCTCAGATGGCCAACGCTGATTTTTACATGTTGCTCTGGCGGGGTATCGTAAGTCACAAGGGTGCAGCATATGTAGCTCGTTTGTGACTTTGCGACATTGATGTTGGAGGTTACTTTGAAGGATCAGGAACGTGAAGTGAGGCGGGGGGTCCTGGTAGTCGCGTCTCCACACGTCCACCGCGCACGCGACGCCAGACGCCACCGGATTGGCCGGAAGACGGCGGTTCCTGACCATCACCAGGCTCCACTGTGACATCTTTGACGGTTGACGTGCTCTTTGAAGCTGTCAACCAAAGTCGTCTACTTACTCTCGGTCCTTCGCTCTCACTGTATTGCCTTGTCGTTAGAACCCTTTCGTTGTTGCCGAAATGCTTTCTCTCGCTTTTGTATTTCCTGCCCTGGCGACTGCCTACCTTGCTTACGCTCCTGCAGAAGGTCCGGGCGTGTTGCAAAATGGTGCTTTGCAGAACATTCTCAAGAACACGGATAAGACAGATAGATACAGATACCCAACTGACTTCACGCGTGGTATTGAGCCTGTAAGTCCCTGACCCAATCTTGCTCCAGCGAAAACTTACGCCACAACAGAAACCCTTCCACAGCCACAACGACTATTGGCGCGATGTCCCCTTCTACAGTGGCCTTGCAGCTGGTGCCATCTCGACAGAGGCAGATGTCTGGTTGATTGATGGTACACTCTATGTAGGTTTATGCAGGATCTTCACAACCCAAGTCTTTGCTCGCCTTTGCATCCATCGTTACGTGCAACGTGATCTACGCCAAATCGAACGCCCAAGACTCTTCGATCTTACGCGCTTCCCAGGAATCCGACCCCAAGAGATGTTACTAGTCACGACGTGCCATCTACCAGAGCACAGTCCATATACGCATCCTGAGTGAACCATAACTAACACGCCCCAGGTCGGTCATGAGCCCAGCGCTCTAACCAAGTCACGCACTTTTGAATCTCTCTACGTCAATCCCATTCTCGACACTCTCCACCGCATGAACCCTGAATCACCCTTCCTCCCAGATGGCTCATTCAATGGCGTATTCGATACTGCATCTTTCCAGACCCTGTACCTCTTCATCGACTTCAAAACCGCCGCAGACGAACTCTGGCCCGCCGTCCTACAAGCCCTAGAGCCCCTCCGCAACGGCTCCTGGCTCTCAACCTACGACGGCAAATCCTTCTCCTCGCGTGCCGTAACCGTCATCGGCACCGGCAACACGGAGCTCTCAGACGTGCGCAACTACCTGCCCCGGGATGTCTTTCTCGACGCACCGCTCGCCCAGCTCGGCGAGGCGAAGTACAAGGATCTCACATCCAACGAGGCCGTCATTGCGAGCACGAATTTCGCAGCGCAGTTTGGCGAGCTGAGGAAACCGGAGCTGAATGGGACGCAGTTGGAGAAGCTGAGGGAGCAGATTGGGGTGGCGCATCAGAAGGGCATCAAGGCGAGGTATTGGAATCAGCCGAACTGGCCGATTAGGACGAGGAATGCGGTTTGGAGGACGCTGTGGGAGGAGGGGATTGATTTGTTGAACGTGGATGACTTGAAGGCTGCTGCGGAGTTTTGGGAGGGCGTCTGATAGACGACAAGACCCAACCTGAGGCTGTGAGGTTCAGGAGGATTTTGTTCGAATCCACAACATGCTACATCGCAGTTCACCTGCTTACTTGTCTCGATAACAGACTTGGAAATGCGTGCTGCTGTGTACAATGATTGAAGTCAAGTCGAGGCGAGAACGATGTGACAGGGATGTGGGGGTTCCAGATGCACCCCTGTCAAGGGTTTCGGCGCCGCGCGACGCAGCACCATGACTGAGAGCGTGTTGCGAACAGCAGAGACACAAAAGTCCATAGACAGACATAGATATCGACACCTCCTCTTTAAAGAGTCCTAGGAATCACACAGACCAACAGCCACCGAAGCAATGACATAATTCTCGCACATTGCAATACCCCATGTCGGCCACCAGACACCCCCGAGACGCGCGCATCAATGTCATCCTCGCCCAGATCCCCCCGGAAATCGACAGAGAGCTTCGAGTTCCTGTCGCCGAACCTGCAGCAGAGCCAGTACCCCTTCCCGCAACATGACTGGACGAACCGGCCCAATTCGACGGGCGGGCGCTATCAGCCACGTCGCGGTTCCACGGCCAGCTCCATACATTCCGTTGGCGGCGTGCTGGACTCAGGCTTCAAGTCTAGCATGGGCGCGGTGAGAGAGCAGAGCAACAATGGTGGGGCAGCTTGGGGGTGTTCCGGGGAATAGGGAGGGAATGCTAACTGGGCACCAGCTATCTCGACGCTGCTCACGCCGCCCATTATGCGGACGGGCATGCTCCCCTACACCTCAGCGCAAGCAACCGCCGGTCACCGCCCGCCCTCCACTCGCGACATACCGCCCGTGACGCTTAGGAACATACCCCACGTCGAACCGTCCTCCTTCAACTCGTACCTGTCGCAAATAGGCAGTCTCTACGATGCGTTCCAGCGCGCCAAAGCCGAAGCCGAAGCCCAGCAGCCGCGGAAAGACTCGCTGAAGAAGGACGAGCGGCCAGAAAGCGTGGAGCGAGAGTCGACGACAAGCTCGCCAGCAGGCACGCCCAGCGGCACACCGAAGCCCAAGCGGCGCACAAGCGGCACCAGGCGTGGCACACCTGCCGTCACGCCGCTCTCGACGATACCCAATGTTTACTTCGAGGAGAACTTCCACCTCGAGAACCCGCGAACCTTCGACGTCGTGAGCGAGCGATCTGAGGTGGTACGGCCTGCAAGAACAGCAAGCAGCGACGATGTGAACAATGTCAGTGGGACATCAGAGGCGCCGCAGCCTTCTGGGAGGAAAGCTCTGGCGACGAACGCAATCTTGCAGGAGAAGCTGTCGTGGTACATGGACACGGTCGAGGTACACTTAATATCAGCAATCTCCACAGCATCGTCGTCGTTCTTTGCCGCGCTAGGATCGCTGCGGGAGCTGCAGACAGAGGCTGCAGAGTCGGTTGCACAGATCAAGGAGCTCAGGGAAGACCTTAAAACACTGGACGAACAGATGGCTGTTGGGGGTCTGAAAGTCGTAGACATGAAGAGGCGGCGGGAAAACCTGAGAAGATTGGCTGACGCTGTAGACCAGCTGCAGGCGGTCATCTACGGCGTGTCCTATTGCGATGAGTCTGTGGAGAAGGGCGAGCTCGAGACAGCCGCAGCTCGCCTGGAGATCATCGAAAGACTAATCACTGGCGTACTTGATACCTCGTGCTCGAACGTCACTTCGTGGCTAAACACACGACTGCCTCCAGTCATCATAGACCTGCGTGGCCTTCGAGCGCTGGATGGCGTTTTCGAGGGCATGGACGAGATGAAATTCCGCATAGGGAGAGGGTTCGAAGCGCGCTTCCTCGACACGCTGCTTGCTGATCTTCGTGATCATGTCAAAAACGTGCCGAGTCGTGGCACACTGGAGCGATGGGTTGCTGCATCGCACAAAGCGCGAGGTGCTCCAGGAGCAGCCAAACCGAAGTCAATGCCCGCGTACCTCAACACAAGTACAGAGTTTCGCTCAAAGTTACGAGCTAATCTACACGGACTGAACGATGCACAGTTCACAAACCAAGCTGCAGCAACGTTCAGAGAAGCCGTTGTCAAAGAGATGAAGATCATCATCCGCAGGTATCTGCCGAGTTCGACAGACGATGATGCCGAGTCAATGACTTCTGTGTCTACAAGAGGAGGCCGAGGACATAGTCAACAGGACAAAAATTCCATCTTGGCACGTAATCTGCGAGCTATGGATGCAGCAGACGCTGAAGACTTCTTCACAAACATATTCACAGATATTGGCGAGGCGTTGCGGCGACTCAGCACGCAGGTCAAGGTCCTACTCGACGTCACAAGCGGCGTCTCTACACCTCCAGCATCTGCAGGAGGCCTTCGATCACCACCAAGGAGTCCGTACATGGATAACATCGACAGTTACATGGGGGCGGGTGCTAACGGTCAACACGGGCCGGGCTCCAACGACTTACAAATAGAGCTCATGCAGGCCCTGGATTTGTCTAGTCTGCTTGGTCAGGCCGTCGACGCTGCCCAGACACAGATTACCAAACTCCTCAGAGTGCGCTCAGAAGCAACTGCAAATCTACCACTCGAACGCTTCCTGCGGTATTTCAAGCTTTGCAGGCTGTTCGCCGACGAATGCGAGGCCATCTCCGGCCGCTCAGGCTCAGCGCTCAAAGGCGCCGTTAATGACCACATCAGCAACTTCGTGCAAAAGTTCTCCGACCTCGAAAAACAAGAACTCGCAAAAGCCATGGATGTCGACCGCTGGGAACCCAAAGACTTCGATGCTTCTGACACCGAAGTCCTCGCCCGCATCCTAAAATCCATGGAAAGCGACCCGCCCACCTGGGCAGAAACCGGCGACATCCTCTCCCCCATCTTAGAACCCACCGCCACAAACGGCACAAACGGCACCACCGACACCTTACCAAAAGAAAAGAGCAAGAACACCACCCCCGCCATCGTCGACGAGGAGAAATACACCGTCTCGAACTCCTCCACATTCGTCCTGCGCGGCATAGAACGCCACCTCACCCTCCTGTCCCAAATCCCCAGCATGACCTCCGAAATCTCCTCCTCCCTGTGCGAATACATCAAGCTCTTCAATTCGCGCCTATGCCAGCTGATCCTCGGCGCGGGCGCAATGGCCACCGCGGGCCTCAAAAACATCAATACCAAGCACCTCGCCATCGCATCCCAGACGCTGTCCTTCATCATCGCCATTCTCCCGTACATCCGCGAGTGTGCGCGCCGCCGTCCAGCTGCACCGACCGCTGGGGGAAAGAGCGTGGGCATGGAGTTCGATAATACGAAGCGGCTGCTACAGGACCAGCAGGTCAGCATTCATGACAAGCTGACTGATATTCTGTCTGGCCGCGCAACAGTACATATGCGCGCGCTAAGGAAGGTGGAGTGGGATAGCGAGGCGGAGGCTAAGAGGGATGTATCTGCGGCCATGGAGAGTCTGACGAAGGATACGGTTACCATGCATAAAGTCATCAACAAGTATCTCAATGAAGTACAGGTCCGGATGATCATGGGTCCGGTGTTTGAATCGTACCGCGAGCAGGTAGGGAAGGTTATCAAGGAGGCGGGCGTCAAGACGCCGGGTGGGAAGGCGAGGTAAGCTGCTACTCCACGTACTCGTTGTTCCTTCGACAATTGATTGGACTGACACCTTGACAGACTTGTGCGCGAAGCAAAGCTTTTCGAGGCCAAGCTCGGTCCGATCGATGGCGTGGGCAATGTGGGCAAATTCCTTATGCAACTAGCAGAAGGCAAGCCCGTCGCGCAACCAGCTGCGGAACCGGAACCAAAGAAGAGTGAAGAGAAAGCGGGCGCAAGTGATGAGAGAGAAGAAGAGAAGGCAAAGGAAAGTACCGATGCGTCGTAAGAGCATTACCCAACCCGCTCACGAAAAGAACGTTTGTCAAACCTGATCCTACACTGCGCTGTGGCTAGAGCGGTCAGTGGTGACCGGAGGCCTTCATGTCTGTACGCTACGAGTAAGATGGCATCAAGCATGGCGTTTGGTGGTTTGTTTGGAGGACGCAATAGCATGCAAATGATGGTAATGCCGACCATCGACGATGTAGAAGCATGCAACTCTTCAAGAACAGAGTGTTTCCGGACAGTGATGGGTGGCCTTTCGAGAGATAAGAACGTGATTCCATACACGACCACCACACATCCTCTCAAAACTACTGTCTTGGTATGAGGGGATGCAGGCCTGCTCTGCAGCCGCCAAAACGTCGAAGATCAATGTGTGAAGCAATCCTCTTGTTGTGACTTGACAGCGATGGAAAGTTATGACAGTGATGGATCGCTCGCAACCTGCCTTCAAAAGTCGCTCAGACTGAGACTCATGTCTTTGCAATACAGATACGGGCTGGACAGGTTTGATGAATTGATGAATCGACCGAGTGATGAAGGGAAGAGATGAAGTGATGAAGCGCATGAGGTGCATGGTGGTGGATGTTGGGGTAATTGCATGAGGCGCGATTGGATTGTTGGTGTGAATAGCAATGAAAGTCGGACACGCGGAGCGCTTTGAAGAGCAAACTTTCAAGCAGAACGCACATTGAGAAGGTCTGCAGGGACGCCAAAGAAGCTTTACACTGATTGTTACTCGTCTGTAAGTTGCAAAGAATGGGAACTACGACAAGCTCAAACAATAAAAACTACCAGGTATTGCGCTGCACGGGAAGGCAGTGCCTTTCTAAATTGACCGGCTGTTTCGGCGTGTAGCATTTGGACGTTTTCCATACGTACTCTGCGCATCTCGCGGTAGCTGTCGCTCCGTCGGTCCAATTGTAGTGCGAGGTCCTGGTGTTGAAGTTGACGTCAGCTCCATGACCCATACTAGAATATCATGCATGCAGCACGCATTATTCCCCAGAATTACTCCGCAGCTACCGCCCTCAACGGCGTAGCCGATGATCGGTGCAGGGCGTTCTTACCATCCTTCGCTAAGACTCGCAGCGTCAGCCTGACTTGACCTTGAGTGAACAGCGGTCGTTACATGTGCTGGTGGCTGACCATGGCTTTTCGCAGAGCGCGCAACTAGTAAGTAAACGCTACCAACAGGAAGCGCCCGGCTTCGATGCTGCCGAGCGCAGCAAGCAAGATGGTGTGACGAGCTCGCAAAACGCTTGCATTTACCCATGGTGTGCTAACTATTCTTGGCTAGTGCTATGTAAGAAGCCAAGTGAGCAACGTCTTGGGATGCGGGGGCATGCTGGGGCTTGAAGGTGGAAAGCCTCAAGCCGGTGGTTTCTTGCATATCTTGATCGTTGGTCGGAGGAGCCTTGTAGGCGCTCTTTAAAAAAGTTGACCGGCGTGTGCGACACTGAAGCTTTGCTCACACAGAGAGACACAGCTGGTAACCTTGGTACTGGTGAGAAGTAAAAAGACAAGGTTGTCTTGCGTAGTCCTCTTGAAAGATGCGGTATGTAGTGGGAGATGATGTTGCACTGCTGATGCGAGCTTGGCCATCGGTGACTCCACGTAATTCAGTGATTGTTTGATCTGGGCAAGCCACCTTTGTCGCGAGGGGCACAAGGCGGACTTGGCACGCTGTGAAAGCTCATTTTTCGCTCGCAGACATATGCTGCTAGTCACACGATTGGAGTGTCGGAGATACTCCAAATGCTCCGAGGTCTTTGTTTGCTCGAATGTTCTGAAAGACTGCACCGCTACATGGGCACCTATCAGTCATTTGACTCCAGGATTTGAAGTTGCGTTGGTGAACCTTGCCTTCACTACGCATCAAGGGAACGAAGACAGAGCGCGACTTTTGCTCACGAATCTCCAGCTGAGACGTACTGTGGGGCAGCAGAGAGATCGCGCCACCAACGACATCGACCTGGGGATAAGAACATGGTGCTGACCCTTGTGTCGTTCGTCCTTCTTACTGGCCGGTCTCGCTGTAGCGCGTGATCCCAGCCTTGTAATGTGAGTGAGACCGTAGGCCAAGCCGGAAAAGCGTTGACAAAGGCAGAAAGCTAGCCTGTACGACGACCATTTGACTGCCTTCATGCAGCTGTCTGGTCCGAGCGCAAGCTCTCCGCAAAGCTTATAAACAATACCTCACCCAAGCTTTGCGCCGACTCGACCTAGAACCACCGAGATTCTTGACCTCAACTTTGGACTACCAGCCATGGCGGATCCCAAGGACACCGAGATCGAGTAAGCTCGCGCTGGCCCATTCTTCGCTTCGACATACTGACTCCCTCTAGACAAGTCACCGCCGGACACCATGAGCGCCGCAGCTCTTTGTTTGATGACGAACAAAGGCGCAAGGAAAGCATCAGCAGATTGACAGCCAACGTCGAGGGAGAGTACGTCGCCACTTCGTCCGCGTCAAAACAATTCGCTGATTGATGCAGAATCCGCAATCCTCTCACTGGTGTGCCCAAGGCTGAGCTTCTCTCTGATGTCTCTATTTTTGCCAAAGAGCATCAGTTGGAGGACATCGAGCCGCTTCTTATTAAGGGCGCGTTAGTCGCACAGTCACCAGCATTGTTCGAAGAGATCGAAGGACTTGACGAGGATGAACGTATTGCGCTCCGTGAGGAGGTTACGCACCGCTTCAAGCTACCCAAGATCCTCTACTACACCATTATCCTCAACTCCATCGCTGCAGCCATTCAGGGGTAAGTCCTTGTACTCAGACTGATCACAACAAGACACATAGCTGACTTCGCCCTCAGGTGGGATCAGACCGGATCGAACGGAGCCAACTTGACTTTTGCACAGTCATTCGGCATCCCAGATACGGGCCCTGAATGCACCGCAGACGGTAGTTGCGAGAGCAACTCGTGGACCATTGGTTTCGTCAACTCCTCTCCTTACATTGCCATCGCCCTTTTCACTGCCTGGCTCTCGGACCCCGTCAACGATTTCCTCGGTCGTCGCGGAACGATTTTCGTTGCTGCTGTCTTTTCGCTGCTCGCTCCTATCGGATCTGCATTGACTCAGAAATGGGGTCAGCTCGTGGCCTGTCGTATTATGCTTGGTATCGGAATGGGACTGAAGGAAGTGACTGTCCCAGTGTTCTCAGCTGAGGTTGTGCCAGCTCCCGTCCGCGGTGGACTGGTGATGTCCTGGCAGATCTGGACTGCGTTCGGCATCTTCCTCGGTTGCGTCGCCAACCTTTGCGTCATGAACACCGGTTCAATCTCGTGGCGACTGCAGCTGGGTTCAGCATTCATCCCGGCTGTGCCTCTCGTTCTGGGTATCTACTTCGTTCCGGAGTCGCCCCGCTGGCTTATGAAGAAGGGTCGATACGCTCAGGCGTACCATTCGTTCTTGCGTCTTCGAAACACTCCTATCCAGGCTGCTCGCGATCTCTACTACACACATTCTTTGCTCGCTCAAGAAGAGGTTCTTATCCGCGAAGCTGGTCTCAACCCGAAGAGCAACTTCTTCAAGCGCTTCGTGGAGCTCTTCACACTTCCTAGAGTGCGACGTGCCACTCAGGCATCCGGTATCGTCATGATCGGCCAACAGATGTGCGGAAGTAGGTATCCGTGAATCCAACAGAAACATTTGACACTGACTCCGCCTAGTCAACATCATCGCTTTCTACTCGTCCACTATCTTCAAGGAGGGTGGTGCGACTGAAAAGGAAGCTTTGCTCGCCTCGTTCGGATTCGGACTCGTCAACTTCCTGTTCGCTTGGCCGGCTGTCTGGACCATCGATACCTTCGGCCGTCGCGGACTGTTGCTGTTCACCTTCCCGAACATGTTCTGGACATTACTGGCGGCCGGTATGTGCTACTACATCCCCAGGGAGGACTCGGCACATCTCGGACTGATCGCGTTCTTTGTGTACCTCTTCTGTGCCTTCTGTAAGTGGCAAAAGCTCGCATCTTCGAGGCATGTTAATTGACTTGAAACAGACTCGCCAGGAGAAGGCCCTGTTCCGTTCACGTACTCCGCCGAAGTAGGTTCCATATACCAGTGCTTGAGTTTTACGCTAACCTTGACTTCAGGTCTTTCCGCTATCGCATCGTGAGGTCGGTATGTCGTGGGCGGTGGCTACGAACAACTTCTGGGGTGCAGTGTTATCGCTTACGCTTCCGCGTATGCTGAGGGTCATGAGGCCGCAGGGAGTGTTTGGCTTCTACGCCGGCTTGAACATTGTCGCTTTGATCATGATGTAAGTTCCGTATCAGACCTGATCCAGACATTGGCTAACGACTTATTAGTTTCCTTTGGATGCCAGAGACGTAAGTTATCGAGAACATACGAGTAATCCATGGAGCGTATACTGATAATCTGGACAGAAAGCAGCGAACGCTCGAGGAGCTCGACTACATCTTCGCCGTACCCACACGCACTCACATGAAGTACCAGGCTGGCAAGAACCTGCCTTGGTGGTTTAAGACCTATGTCCTCCGCCGAAAGGGTCTCGCAAAGCCGCAACTGTACAAGCTTGGCGATATATCTCAAGCCCCGAGCGTTACGGCGCAGATGAAGTACGCTTGGAACACTGGCGTCCTGCGCAAGAAGGGTGTGGCGAAGCCAGAGGCGCGGGACAAGCCTGTTGCTCCTCCGAGCGAGGCCTTTGCTGAGAAGCAGGTCTAGACGGTTTCTCCAGTTCGTCCAAGCTGCACTTCACTGCAACGTACATTGGAACTCTGCCGTACAAGATTGTGCCCTGGTACCTGCAGGCGTACGGAATTCGTCGCCTTCAGTCCGGATTGGAAGTTGATCGATGCCACGTTCCGAAGCCTCATAGGCACATGTTTGATACCTGGACGGAAGCTACATACTGTTAGCACATATAGTCTGTCCCTAATGAAATACGTACTACGTTGAGCTCCACTTTCATATTTGCAGCTTGGCGACGAACTTTGTGGTTCGGATATATTGCAACTGCCGCATCCTTATGAGCTCTTTCGAATTGCAGGCTGCTTGAATGCCTCCGGGGCTGTGGGTGTGTTCGCAGTTGTGTTGTGTTAGACAAAGTGTGGAGCCAGAAGATGTTTCGTCGGGTGCTCGTTGTTTTGATCCCACCAATGTGCCTTCCTCAAGCTTCAACTGGATCTTCGTTCCATCATCAACACGCCTATCCATGGCACATTCCGGCAGTGCTATAGCCCCCATATCGTATCCGTCATGGCGACCGTATTGTTTTAGTTACTGTGATCTACTCTCAGACATACACTACCTTTTCAGCTCAGCGCGTCGATTGGTCGGAAGGCACTCATGCTGGAGAACCTCGTACAAGCCTCATCCTTCGCTGCTCCATCTCGTAAACATCGTGGAGTGCTTCACATGCACGCGTCGCGCGACACTTGCGCCATCGACGCTTGCCAATGAGATGCCGCGGATTGGCCTCGGTTTCCGTGGACCCCTGCAATGTCAACGGCCATGGCAGCCCCATGGAGTAGAAGTTGCGGATATTGGGGGAAGATAAGGCGATACAGGGCTGACAGAGGCCTGGATCTGACAATATAAGGAGCCTGGGACCCAGACCGTAGGATCTGAAGACGTCTGACAACTTTGTTGGTGTTCGTGTGCTTGGCTTCTTCGCGTCTTTGTTCACGATTTGTCTTTCGCATTGAATAGCCGCGCAGAGTAGCAGCATGGCGGTCTTTGATCTGAAGAAGAACCTCGTCTTTGTAGGTGTCTGAGCTTTGAGGGCAAGAATAGCAGATTGGCTGACTCTTCACAGTACGGCGCGTACCACCGTGAACCTGTACGATCACCCAGTCCACACCAGCTTGCTATCACTAACACCAAGCCTATAAGACCAATGTCGCAATCCACATAGGCTGTGTTCCCATCCTGCTAGCCACTGGTTTCCTCTTTGTATGCCGCACACGTCCTACCCCATCTGGCCCCAGCTCACACCTACGCAGGGCACAAACACACCATCCCTCCGCACCCCAGCACTCTTGAACCGCTTGAACCTCCCGTTCAACCTCGGAACCCTCGCCTCCCTCACCTACTCAACCCTTTACCTCATCCTCTCGCCCAACATCGCCGGCGCATCGATCACCCCTTTCATCGTAGGCGCCGCCGCGCTAGCCAACAAGCTTACGACCAAGTATAACCGCACGAAGGTCAACAGCGTCGCCATCGCCGTTCACATTGTAAGCTGGATACTGCAATTCATTGGCCACGGAAAGTACGAGGGCAGAAAGCCGGCGCTGTTGGATAACCTAGTGCAAGCGCTGTTTTTGGCGCCGCTGTTTGTGTGGTACGAGGTGCTGTTTAAGTTAGGGTTTTATAAGGGGTTGAAAAGAGATGTGGAGGCTTCGATTGAATTGGAGGTTGCGAAGCTTGGGAAGGTGAAGGCGAAAAAGTAAACATGTTGCGGGACTTGGAGATAAGAAAGGGTGGTCGAAGGAGAGTAAATGCGGTCATGATTTGAGTGTATCTCATGGAATCGAACGAGTCAACGACTTCGCTTGATGCACAGAGATTGTGGGTCAGTTTTGAGAAAAGAGTCGGATAATGGATGTCGTTAGGCTAGCGCCTCCACACTGCAAATATCTGCCTCTCACCCCATATCGACTCTCGAAACTTTGTGCAATCTCCTCAAAGTGCTATTTCAAGTCGAGCTGCTCAATGTTGTCTGCAATATATTATGCATAGTTTTAGAATCTACCATCGATCACATCTCTTCCCAACCATCGGTTGGATATCTTCGATAGTATAGTGGTCAGTATTTCTGCTTGTCATTCTTCGGAACAGCTCGCAGGAGGCCGGGGTTCGATTCCCCGTCGGAGAGATACGAATCTTTTTGCCTCTCTGCACGCATCGCAAGGGTCGCGTGGGCGCGGTAGAGTTTTCTGGCGAAAAGCTAGATTTTTGCTGGTGGAACGTGCGCTGATCACTAGTGGCATCCCCAAATTGGCTGCATCTTGCTATACTTGTATCGCAATCGCCCTTGTGTGCTTTGCCGGACATCTGTTTTACGTTGTACGAGCTGGTGAATGTGGCAAGAGCAGGATGTGAAGTCTGTCTCCTGTGGCGACTGCTGCAATTTTGTGCCATCAGCGTAATCAGCATATGGCGAACGCGTGGAGACAGATGGAGGAGAACATTTGGGTATTGAGAGTGTGTGGATGCTTTTCGTTCATCGTCAGTTGCACTTGCCGTTGTCGATACGACCTTGCAGTGCTTGACAAGTGCGCCCAACCTTGCAAATCTCTTCGTGTCGTTCAACAGCCGCTCTGCCTATCCAAGAGCATTGACTTGGACACCTGAAACCGCTGTACTTTGCCGGAGTCTATACTGACTGCTGATGGCACGTCATGCGCAGCAGAACGTGAATTCGCGTCATTCCATCTGCAGTTGGAGGAAGCTCGATAGGAAAAGATTGGTGGCGGGCGTCGTGCGTTCTTGGTCGACCTATCTATTTCTTGCCCTTCTTCTTGTTTCCCTCTTCTTTGTTGTCTTTCAAAAAGCCTCCCAGTACTAAGGCCTCTCTTGCCGCAGTATTGATGAGCCTGAAGCGGTCTGGACCGAGATGTACGCCGCCATACCACCGTGTGACGACAACCATGACGTTCCACACGTCCATCAATTGCATCAGATGCAACATACGGCTGCCGGCGGCAGTTTCGCCATCGTCGTCGCAGTCCTGGAAGACGGTATCGTTTGGCCCCTTGATTCGCCAGGATGTCATGTTGTGTGTTGCTTTGGCGGCCTTCTTATCTGTTGCTAATAAGTGCGCAACATACTCCTTGGCCTGTTTTGGCGATGAGACTGGAGCAACGCGGGCAAGGAAGACCGATTTCTTCTCACTGATGGGCTCTCCAACTATCCATGGTGGCTCGGGTCCAATGTCAGCAGTCGATCTTTGTGGGGCGTACAATATCTCCTCCTCTTGTATTTGCTCTTCTATCTGATCGTTCAGATGAAAGTTTCCTTGCTCTCCCGCCTTTTCCAAAGCTTCTCGCGTATCTTCAAGGAGATCATATATGCAGGCTTCTCCTGGTCGATACACTTGCGCAAGCACATCCCTCACCACATCCACTGCTCGACTTCCCATACCTTTTGGCACATCGTCGCCGACGCTTTGAGTCCCAAGAACCGAGGGCGGGGCATCTGGATAATCTGCAGGGAATTCGATGCGAAGGACTATTGAAGGGAAAGACGGCAACCGAAGACTAAACAACCTGGCACTTGTATCGATCGGTGACAGTGTTCCCTCGTCAAAGATGGCGTTGATCGAAGTCAGCTCGTCCTCAATAGCATCGGACGAAGACATGGTTTGGACGCTTTGATGGACTTGGCGGCGTGACGTTGAGACGGGAAGGCAGGCTAGCGCGAGAACCAAAAACAATGAACAGCGCGTCTCATCCTTCCTTCACCAGGCACGCCATCATTCAGCAACACCGCAGTCGCCGCGCTACCATCTGAAAAAGATGGCGCAAAACGATGATGCAAAGCGCGCGACAACTGTCATTACCATTGCGCAACTCAAGTTCAGGCAAAGCCTTAAGAAGGAAGAGCCTGAAACCCGTCTGCCACCCGTCTCTGTGGAAGCCTGTTCGCAACTCTTCAGCGCCATTGATGCTGTTCTTGCGCAGAACACGCCCATGAACATCCAGGTATCTGATTGCAATACCACTATCGGTCGTTGGTCGTGAGCAGACTAATCGAAGTCCTTAGAAATGCACAGAGTGGATTGTCAAGCACATAGCTCCCTCCAGGATCCGCATTGCAGTGCTCGGAGACTACCTGGTATCAGTCTCCAAGTCAGTCGTCGTAGAAACAATGCCAGCAGCGGCAAAGAAGGCTGTGCGCAATCGACTAGACCTTCTTTTGGTCGTCAATGATGCGCTTCACACTGACAAGTACCACCGTAACAGTACCGCAAAGCACGGCTTGCTTGGCACCGAGTTTACATCCCATCTTGCTGAGCTTGTCGAGCTGGCAGCATCATGCGCTGTGGAGAAGGACTCGCAGGTGGAGAAGAAGCTGAGGGCTATCATCAACTACTGGGCTGTCAACAAGCTTGTTAGTCAGGATCTACTGAAGAGCCTGAGGGAACGGGCAGACGAGATCTTCTTGCAAGCCCAAGGTGGCACCCCTATCCGCAAACGCAACTACCTTCTGCCAGAGTATCACGGCGACCAGACAGCACCATGGTACGAGCTACCAGCATCGTACATGCTCGATCAGATGGTCAAACAGCCAAACCGACCTCTTGACCCGTACCGCATCAAGGTCGCTCGATTCGACAAGAAGCCCGTCTCGACCCACGTTCGCAAGCTGCTCGACAACTACTTCGAGAACATCGACCTCAAACACACACCGACCGGCGATAACCCAACGGGCGAAACAAAGAAGTACAACTTGTGGCTGGATCCAATGGGACAATTGGTCAAGCGTAATAAGGAGACTGGCGAGACGAGAACCGTATCTAACGGCTACGGATGGTCTACGAAGTTTTGCCAGGACATGCAGAAGGACGGTGTGCCTGAAAGCATCAAGACTTTGAGGGACGATGCTGAGCGGATGGAAGCTGCGCCAGAAAGGCAGCGCGACCGACGGCGCTATTCGCGCTCGCCCAGACGGCGCCGACGGTCATCGTCCGTATCTTCTCATGGGCGGGGCAGGGATCGGCGTAGCCGAAGTGGCAGCTACGCCTCAAGATCATCTTACGACAGTCGCTCGCGGTCACGCAGTCGTCACCACGACCGTCGACGTCGATCACAACGGGACGAGGAGAGAGGCCGCAACGATCGTGACAGAAGGTTCGATGACCGCGACAACGATAGCAGACGACCGCCACCAAGGCCATTAGACAGAGGCCAACCGCAGTCTAGTGGGCAATGGAATGGGCAGCAAGCACCAAACCGCAACACTCAGGGCAGTCCTGGCAACAACCAGTTCCCGCAAAACGCTCACCAGAACTTTACACCCAACTTTTCGCAAGCCCCGCAGCCGCCATTCAATGCGCCGCCATTTCCACCACAGCCACCGATGCCGAACCAATTCCCTGGGCAGTTTTCCATGCAGCCCTTCCCTCCGCCGCCCCCACCAATGCCTTTCCAAGCACCTGGCGGGTTTCCTGGGGGCATTCCACCACCTCCACCACCCAACTTCAGCGGACCGTTCCCTCCACCACTACCGAACATTGCTGTGATGCCAAACAACCCATACAACTTTAATAATCAATGGAATAGTTTCCAGCAAGCGAACAATCCAGGGTTCAATCAGCAGCAAAATCAGAATCAAGGGTATAACCAGAACCAGAACCAGGGCCAAGGTGGCTTCCAAGGTGGACGTGGTGGGTATGGAGGAAATCAAGGTGGTGGGAACTACAATAACAGAGGTGGTTATGGTGGTCGTGGACAGCGAGGCGGGAGGTGGAATTAGGACTGCACCGTGCCTGGTCTACCACAACTACTTCTCATGGCCCTTGGATAGTAAAACAATGATTAGAAGTGTACTTGCTCCCAACAAGATCCGATTGTACGCTGCATGGCTCAAGTGTGTTTGCTTACCTTTACTTCGATCGACCGCAACTTGACTTGCTCATCTCTAGCGCCAGGACATGAACTGGACACTTCACCTCACTTTGAGCTCGAAGCCTGGTATTTCCTCTATCTTCACTATTTTCTCAACTATCTATTTGGTATTTGCTCTTGATTGATCGCAATTGAGCATACTCGAGGACTCGACGGCATCGACGCGACGCGCACGGTACGCGTTGATTGGTTGATGGTACGTCAGTAGCTCGGTCGATGATGGTCCCGCAACAGCTTCCCAGAGCTCCAACACTCTAACAACACCAAGCACTCGACACCACGCAAGCTTCTTACTGACCATGGCCTCGACCACCAGTTTCGGGAATATTCTTTGCGCGCCTGTCGTGTAATGGCGCCTCCGAAACGAAAGCGCAAGCCGACCAGAACTACATCGAACAAGCGGTCAAAATATACACAGCCGGACACAGACTACAGCGATAGCAGCAGCTGCGAAGAGGAAGGAACTGCGAACGGTAGTCAAGAAGAGTGGGAAGCACTGCGCATACTCAAGCAAACTGGCCAAGGATTTGGACTCAAGTACCTTGTCGAATGGAAAGGCGTTGATCCTACAACTGGGAAGCAGTGGGAACCTACCTGGGAGAGGGCAAGCAACGCGAGTGAAAGACTGCGCGCATCCTGGAAGAGAGAGCAGGCACGGCAGGCCCAAGAGAAGGAAAGGGCGGCTGCCACAGCTAAGAGTAGTACGCAACAACGAAGTGCTCCAGAAGCATCGCCGGCGCAAGCAACGCAGACTCGAGCCAGAAACAGGCGCATCATCCAGAGCCCCGAGACGTTAGCATCAGCATCCGCGATAAAGTCCCCAGCAGAGACCAGTCAAAGTGTAGTAGCAGCACCAAGCAGTGCAACGATAGACATTGGCGCACCCATACCTGCCTGGACGTCTCCGCAAGTCAACATTGACGTGCGCGGTGATAGTTTCAACTGCAGCGAGTACGGGCTCCACGCTGAGATACCAGAGTCGCAGCCTTCACCAGCCAAAAGCATCACTGAGGACACGGACCTAGATAGCTCACAGCTGTTTACGTCGCAACGTGCCTTCCGTGCTTCTGGCATTGTACCAGATACACAGAGCTCTGCTGGTAGCTTGAGCTACATTCCGGTCACACAGGAAGAGCTAGAATCGAGCCTGCATTCGGATTCAAGTGACGAGTCCACTGAGGAGCACATCGTGGGGTACTCGGTCAGTGAATTCTATGCGTGGTCGTTTGGTTGTTCGCTAATCGATGTGAAGGGTCTCCTCGACACAGACGCAGCACCAACGCTTAGTGCACGCGCTCAATCGCCTGCAACGTCCATTGCCGAAACAGTCGCAGACACCACCCAAGACTTGCACAGTCAGCGTCAACTCGAAAGCCAGCAGGAGCAGCCAGAGATTCCTGACACGCTTGAGTCACCCGTAACATCTGACAAGACCGATCAAACAGGCACTCAGGACGATTCAGCGAGCAGCCGCCATACTGAACCTGCTGTAACAGACTCGCACAGTTCAGAAGACCAGCACGAGGCGCAGTCTCTAGAAGAGGTTGCTTTCGTCGAGAGCACTACACAGTTTGAGCACGAAACTTCTGCCCGAGATCTCCAGCCACCAACACAGGAGCCAGGCGAGCATAGCGTAGCCACAGAAGAACAGCCGGAATCTGTGGAGCATAACGCGCAGCCTATCACAAGCGTAGCGGAGTCAGAGCTTCTTGCTATTGCAGATACACCCCAGATCTCTCAGCTCACATCTACAGCCCGGGAAGGTGTAACCGACGAGGAGCAGCTGAGCCCTGCGCATCGACTCGAGACTGCGATCTCCTTAACTGAGCGTTCTGTTCTGGAAGAGAACGCACAGTTTCCCTTCCATTCACAGTACCCAGCTTTCTTCGATCCTCGATCTGCCACGAAGTTCACCCAACAGGCTTTGATAGAACCTCCAAGAACCTGTAGCACACACGAAGTCCTAGGCGCACGGCTTAGCGAAGATTCTCCAGGCGCTCATCAGGAAAGCGGCGCTTTCAACGACAGCGAGGAACGCAGTACCATAGACGAGATCAGCCAACCGCTTGGGCACGAACAATCACATACATCACCCCAGAGACATTCTGTGTCTCAATTGTCGCACACTCAGACCAACGACGGAAACCTCGAAGACGCAGCTAGCAGAGATATCGAGGAGATCGTTGATCAAGTCGACGTTATTGTGGTTTCCCAGCCACCATCTACCGAGCAATCGGCCGGTTCACGCGAACACAACGCCCAGTTCGTACCTTCTAGTGCATACCTGAGCACTCAAGAGGACGTCACTGAAAGCATACGTGCTACTGTAGAGATTGACCCGGGTGAAGCGCCTCGATCAAAGCATAGTAGCCCCTGTTCGCGGCACGACTCATCACAGGAGACTCCAGAGCGCCAGCTGCAGTCAGTAGAGCACAGTTCTTCACCAATCTCCCACCCGCCAAGCTATTCGCTGAGGACATTAGACTCGAACGTTCCACTTAGGCCGGCCACACCGACTCTTCGTTCCTCGTTGTCTAAGATGGCGGAAAGCACAACGGAGAGTACGGCAGCAAGAGCTGCGCGACGACTCGAAGAATTACAAGCGGCCAATAGAGCTGCAAACCCATACACTCCACGAAAGCGCATTAGGGCTTCACAACCTTCCTCAGTTGCCTCCACGGCACCAGTGGCAAGTGCATCACCGTTACAGTCCAACAGAGTGCCTGCTCCGCCGACTATCAATATCTCAGCAGAGGGTACGAGATCACCTTCGACGGTACCCGACCGATCACCTGCTCCACCTGCACGGACATCGTTACGAACTGTCGCTTTTGCGAATGCTAAGGACAAAGCCACGGAGTCTTGGTTGGAGAACCCTCTAGCTGCGACTTCGACGAATACGGATGCTGGACCAACACAAGAGAAAGCTGAACTCGCCGCTGCAGTTGCGACCACACCCAGTAGGCCTATAGAGTCTCCCAGGGTGTCTCCAGATGACAATATTGACGAGATGAATGATGTTGACCAGAACAATGATTATGACGACGATGAAAGTATATACAACGATGATTTGCAGCTTGAAAACGATGAATACATTGTACCACTTTTCATCGAGGGACGACAGAGAGATACCTACATCGAATACATCAAGCGGAAAACCGACCTACTCAATGCAGTTCTGGGCGCAGCGGCGAAGGCAATGGATCCAGCTCCTGAGAAAACCGACGAAGCGGAACAAGTCATTACATACTTGAGAGCTGTAGAGACACATCCAGATCTTACGTATGCTGAAGCAGAGTCTACGACAGGCTTTGAAATGCGGTCGGCAACGGATGTTCAACACGGAGCCCAATTTGGTATCGATAACTCCGTTAAGTTCAAGTTTCTGAGAGAACTGTTCAATAACTTGCGAGACAAGGACATGCACATCATTCTTCTTCTGGACCAAGATAGCAATGCGCTATTCAACATCTTGAGGACTTTCTTTGCTGCTGCAGCCCACAACTACAACATGCCGACCAAGGGATACCAGTCAAATGCATCCAATGATGCTCTCACGATCACCATCTTCCCGAACACTGCGTCTCCTATCATAAGGCCCGCCGATCTCATCATCTGTCTGGACGGCGTACAGAGTGCTGCGCAAATACGGCGAAGTAATTGGGCTATGGCGTCAAGAAGGACCATACCCGTGCTTCATTTGGTAATCTCACAGACGATTGGTCATATTGAGCGCTACATCCTACCAAACTTAGAAAGGAGACTGCACATCGAAACTATCTTAGCAGGGCTCGGCCAGATTGAGCAACGCAGCGAGATTGGAAACCCGGTCGATATAGACACGCCAAGTGCTGCAGAAGCGGCCAAACTGATTGCGTCTTGGCTAGTACTCGAGGATGATCAAGAAAGCACAGAGTGGCCGTTGCCTTCAATTGGAAGTGCAAGAAGCTTCTTGGACTATGATGCAACACAACAGTCCGTGAGGTCTGCAACTTCGTCTCCAGCCCCTGAACGCACAAAGCGTCCTTTGGTAAGTGTCGCGACAACAACATTGCGGATGGCAGTCACTAATGCGAGTGATGCAGGAAGCAGATGACTCTGACACAGCAAAGCGTGTGCGGTACACTCCACAGCTACGTGTAACACCAGATTCCAGTGCAATTCACGAACATGAGGTCACGCGCGTAAGCGACTCGATGCCCGGGTCCGCAGCTACGGAGACTGCACGTCTTGCAGCGTGTCTCGACAGAGCTAATTCTGAGCTTCTTCGAGCCCAGAAAGAACATCGCGAGGAGCAAATCATGTGGAACAGGCAGCAGACCGAGCACGAAAACCGACAACAGGAGTACCGCAAGCTATTCAACGAGAAAGCAGAAGTCGATCGCGTCCTTGAAAGCATGGCCAGAAATCACGACAAGCTGCGCACCCAAGTCGAGGTTCAAGCCACCGAGCAAAGAACCCTCCGCGAAGAACTCGAAGCCCAACGGAATCTCAGCCTCGCGTCCACCAACGAGAAGGACGTCGAAATCACTCGCCTACGGAAGGAACTCGAAGCCGCCAACATTGAACGAAACAAAGTCCTCAAGTCCGCCAAGTCCACCGAACAAACCCTCGAATACACCAAAGAGCAATATCGCGACGCCTCAAACACCGCTGGTCAGTTACAAACCGACCTCACATCCCTCAAGACACAAAACGCGAAACTTGCACACCAAGCATCAGGCGAAGTCGCCAAGCTCAAGCAGCTCCATCTTGATAGGAGCCACAAGACCTTGATGCAGCAAAACACGGTTCTCAAGAACGAAAACACCCTGCTAAAGATGACGTTGAAGGCGAAAGAAGAAGAGCTCGTCCGAGCGAAAAACAACAGCGGGCGAGCCGCATACGGGACGCGAGGCCAGTCCACAACACCCCAGCCAAAAACTCGGTCTCGCGCCGCAAGTCCGGAGCGAGGGTCAAGAGCGCCGAGAGGAGGTGGAAGGATTTCGAATTTGGTGGCGGAAGAGAGGTAGGACCTCGTTCGTGACCTCGAAGATAGGGAGAAGGCGCGAAGGAGGAGCGGTTCTAGGAGATTCAGAAATACAGGTGACCCGGGACGCAAGTGGGCGTCAGGGGCAGGAAATGCTGACGCCAAATGTGAGTGAGGACGAGGGTGAAGATGAGGAGTACCGAGTGCGAAGGCCGGGGAGACACCATGCAAGGAGGAAGGAGAGGGTAGGGGTGATGTGTACGTGATGTTTTGCTTTGGATGGGTTGTATTTGCACTGGATGCTGTGTGATATGGCTCTATGGAGCTTGGAGTGCAGAGACAGTGGGGGAGAGTGAGTTTGCACAGAGAGGTATCCATTCATTCGTATTGCCAAAGTCTCAGTCTCTCCTTCCACATGTTTCCTCCCACCATTTCCCGCAATTCCCATCCAACCGAACCACCTCCCCCACCTTCACTCAAGTCCCACTAACTCCTCACCCAACCTTCCCATTCCTCACTACCCAAAAGCAATCTTCATCCTCCGCGCATGCATAGCCCTCCGCTTCGCCTCCGCCGTTCTCGCCTTCGGCTGTTCAACACTCGTCTCTCGAATCACCGCAGGTACCGTGGGTACGGGTGGTGTGTTCTGCGGCTCTGATGGTGTGTTTGGCGGCGGTAACTGGACTGAAGCCTGCTGATTTGGTTCGTTTGGTGGCAGTGGTGGCGGGCTAGAAGGGTGTGGTGGTGCGGGAGTTGCTGATGAGGGGACGAGGGACTGAGGTAGGAGTCGATGAGTCAGTTCTTGATGCTGTAATGTTTCGGCTTTGGGATTTTCTGTGGCCGTGTCGAGGATGGCGGAGGGCTTGGGTGAGTTATGAGATTGTGCCTGGGAGGCTGCTAGCGAGTCATTTACTTCGGTTGGTGGCAATGTTGGTGGTGGAGGCGGCGGCGGACGTTGAGGTTGTTTTGGTGACTCCATTGCGTGTACGTCAGAGTCAGTGCCGTGTATATGTGACGGTGGCACAACAGTCACATTGCCGTCGATAAACAGTTCGGAGTGATGTCGGTTTGGCGAAGTCGTTGGTGAAGATCCAACTGATATATTGTCTTTCACCGCTGGAGGTAAAGGTTTGCGTGTAATCGCAAAGACTCGACTAGGCGATACTGTGCGCTCAGTCTGTCGAAGACTAGATGAGACAAGAGGGGGATTGCTCGGCAGTGAAGGTGGCAATGGGAAACTTGAGACCAATGTGAGGTCTTCTTCGGATTGTGCGGTTTCGGAGACCGTTGCAGGGCTATTTGGCTGTGATGGTGGTAACGGGAAACCTGAGGCCAACGTAGTGTTGTCCTGTGAGTGTGCGGTTTCGGAAATCGTTGGAGGGCTATTAGGCTCTGATGGTGGAAGTGGGCAGTTTGCGGCTGTAGTGGTATTATCTTGGGCGGCTGAAGGATCCCTTACTGCTTTGTCTGCCATGCTGGGGTTCTTGCAATCCTCCCTGACGTTTGGAAAGCTTACCAGCATCTTCATCATCTCCTGACGCGACGCAATCGATCCCGTGGTCGAAGACACTGTGGGTGAGCGAGTTAAAGTGGTCCCTGTGAATTGATCACTCGCGGCGGTTTGCACAATCCATTCTCTCAGATCATCTACGAGGGATGACTGGCCCTGATACAGAGGTAACTCTGAGGGTAACGAATGGTGCCTTAGGTGTGGTCTTTGTACATGGACCGGACGCGGACGATAGCGCTTGGCTAGAACTGGCATTTTGATTGACGCTGTTGTAGAGGCGATAGACTGAGTTCGTTCGATGATTCTGTCCACAACAGCATTTAAAGAGGAAGGAGCATGGGCAGACCTTCGGTCGGCTTGGTCGTGTACTACGTCCTCTTGAGTACCATTGCGATCTGAAAGTTTATCTGATGATACTTGTGATGTGTCAGGCTTCGTGTGTTCTTGCTCGCCTTGTGAAGGATTATTCAGAGGATGGAACGGCGCATCCACGGTTGCTGGAGGATAAACTCTTGTGTCGTTGTATGAGTGCGATTTTCGAGGCCTTGAAGCTTTGAAAATCTCTTGAGTGCCAGAACGGATAAGATCATCCGGTGTGCTTCCAGGTAGCTCAGCTGGTGAAGCTTCAGGGAGGTTCACTGGCATGGCGTTAGTGGCGCTGATCTACTGCATTCGACACAAAGACTACCTACCTTCAAATGTGTCGCGCGACTCAGAAGCTATGACACTCAATGATGATAGGTTCTTTGAGCTCGATCGCCGTGAGTAAGGCCCGCGGACAATGTCGCTGTCAGATCGAAGCCATGGTCGAACAGGAGCCTCGAAGATAGGATCCGGCACAGATCCTCCCAAGCCAACGCATTGCTCGACAGTCTGCATGACTTGTATCGCCCCCAACAAGATCTGATGACTATTGGCTAATGTTTGTTGTTTAGAGGCGAGGCGTTTCTGGTGACTCAATATGTACTCGAACTTGCGCTTCATCTTTGACATCTCGTCATCGTCTCGGCTGCTGCGTACAGATTCTATGTGGCTTCCAATATCGACCAATGCCGTACGAATGTCTGACAGAATCTTATCAATCCAGGCTTTTCTATCTGGCCACGCGGCAAGGAAATTGGTGACAGTCGGAGACAGGTACAGTCGCGACGCTTCAGTAAGGTCCTGCCTTGTGCGCCAGATCAGGCTTGCGAAGAGTTCTGCCTCAGCGGAACGTTTGTTTGATGCAAAGACAAACTCGGCGTAGTCGAAAACCGTAGCGGTAGGATTGATGACATTGGACGTGGCGTCCGAAGATATGCTTTTTTGGTCGACAGAGCTTTTGCTGGCAGATACACTGGTATCCTGACTTGCCCGTTGTTCCTTGCGATGAAGTTGTGCCGATGTCCTCTCTTCGCCACTGGTTTGCCCTAAGGTATGCAAGTTGCTGTGATGCAAGGTCTCAGGCAAGTGCAAGTTCACGCATGTTATCATCTTGTTCGAAGTCCTGCTGGTGTGCGGTTGAGCTCTGCTTGCGAAAATGAAGACAGCAGCCCCGTAATATTGAATGAAAACAATAGAGGAGGATCGACTTGAGACACGAATAGGACAACCCGCATGTGGTCTGCAGGGGTCTGAACTAGGTTCGATGTTGGTGTAATTCAATCAGTCGCAAAGGATTTGTGTTTAATCCAAGGCGTAGACCATGGAAGTTCAAGACTGTGATGGGGCCAAAGACATGTGGTGCGCCCGGAAATTAGCGACTGTTGCATGTGTTCGGGTATACTATAAGTGGCCAGGATTCTGGTAGTGCAACCCATCTGCAGTGCGGGAGGGCGCAGTATTCGCAAGGTAAGCGCCGGGTTTGACAAGCTGTGCCCCACTTAGATGAATGTGTCAAAAGTTTCGGCGCAAAGCTCCCTATTCACAGGCACTGATGACTTCGCTTAAGCTTGTCAGCAACTATGTGAAACACGACATTGACTCCTGATGGGGGCCGAATGCATCTTGTGAGGTTGAGTCTACGGAAAGGAGACTTATTTGGTGGTCACGCCTAGTTGTGGTATTATTCTGTCCTTACTGTCTTCAATGTGCTTGGCCTGAGAGACATGTTTCCAAGCTGACTGAGGCTTAGCCTTCATGCGAGTGCTACTTCCGTAGGGGGCGTGTGGCTTTACCTAGCCTTCCAGCCTTCTGACCACAGCCTCGCTGAAGGATCTGGGTGGTCTGATAGGCTCCCCGACCTCGTTTGTCACCTGCACGAGAGCGGGAAAGATGCAGAGTTCGCCAGACTTGACGCCCTGCTCCTCCTTCCAATCAAAGTCCCACGAGCTCGGCTGAGAGAAAAGTGTAAAAGCAAAAATTGCAGACCGTTTGAGGATCTCCTCCAAGTTGCGCTTGCGTTCCTCATTGTTCATGCGCAGATCGGCAAACGGCTGAAGTGTGTTTTCCAGAACATGTGTCAGCGAACGAATGGCTGCATTTCGAGGATCTGAGGATGTGAATGCATCTTGGACGTATGTGGAATGCATCAACTCTGCAGTCGTGGCTCGCCAGCGTGCTGCTTTCACGGTGTGAGCTGGAAATATCAGCTTTGAACGCGACAACAATGAAGAAGAGCACCTCACCTTTAGATCCGTATTTTGCGTCCGAAATCTCGCGCATTGGGGCGCAGAACTCGGGTGGCAGTAGGCTTTCTGCAGGGTTTCCATAACTCTGTAGCCTTGTGATGATGGCAAAAGCAATGCAGAACCTCAAAGCCACTTCCCTAGTCGCTGAGTTGTCAAGCAAGGTGCTTAGAGTTCCGGTGGAGATGGGCAGGTTTCGTCCTAGAGCGACGATGTCGTCGAGGTCTATGAGTCCTGGGTTCACAGGTTTGCTGTGATAATAGCTTTGAACGTGGTTCTTGATCAGGTTGCCGATCTTCGAGATTTCTCCAGATATAGCCTGATCCTCCAGTGGTTGAGGAAGCCCAGTACCAGTACTCAGATCAAGCGGGCTTTCACCCCCCAATGGCCTCGTATGTACCATGGGCCCTTTCTCGGGAGGCATGAGTGCTATGGCGCTTGTTTCGTGATGCCGAAGGCGACTCGCCCTGCGTCTACCCCAACAAAACCATGCAATAAGACCAGCAATTAGGACGCCAGCGACAAGGCAGCCAATGGCAACTCCCGCAACAGCGCCTCCAGATATTCCATTTCCAGTGGGCTGTGGGGTACTTGTCTGTTTCGAATTTGTTGTCGACGATGGCAGAGCATTTGATACAGAAGCATCGGTTATGCTGCTCGCGAGGGTGGCTCCGGACAGAGTAGCAGAGTTCGTAGACGGAACAGTGGTTGATGAAACAACTGCAGAGATCGCGACGTGCTGATGGGAAATCGTTATGGGACTCGGATCCTCCAGTTTTTGAGTCCACCATTCGAGATCAGAAGCTACAGAATTCCACAAGAGGTTCACTATGCTGGCTGCTGCAGCACCTCCAGCAACAATACCAGTCGCTGAATTTGGAGAGAGAGTCGCTGGGCTGGAAAGATTGTACAATAATTCATTTGTCTTCTCAGCCTTGGTATAGAATGTAAGGTTTTGGAAAGGGACTGTGAGTGGTACGAAGCCCACAGAAGTAGCATCCGTCGGCGGGAATGGCGTAGTTGTTGCCATCTCTGTCTACCAAGGTCAAGAGAAGATGAAGAGATATAATCCGCGGGAAGAGGGCGCATTTTGTCAAAAGAGGGACCGATGCTTATGGCTCACAATGGATGCGAGCGCAGTACCGATAGGGAGGTTCTGCGTTACCGATCAGCCTCTTGTAAGCAATTTTGTCTATAGCGAGCTTCATGCAGTGTGGTCTGAGCCTTCGTCCTTCACCCCGCTCTTGTAGCGGGCTCAACCAGTTGAAACATACTGTAGGATCGCAAGCAACTGAAAATGCAATAGCGCTGACAGGCTCCAACATGCTGCAGCCCCCAAAAGCAACCAAAAACAACGCGTGGTAAGATTGGTCTGGGATTTTTAGGGGCGTTCCGCGGTGATTGCTGTGCCGCAAGGCTGTGACCAGAAGATGGATACTTGCATATCATCCTGTCTTAAGAAGTTCGGCCTTCCGGCGCTTCGTGAACACCAGAAACCCTGGTCGGTTGGCATTTTCGAATAATACGCAAGATGAGTGCTGCTCTGAAGCCGCACATGGTGATTGGTATTGACCTGGGAATGACATGTAAGTGTTGCACGGAGGAGAGGTTGGAAGGCACGAGGCACGGCCCGCAGTTTTGGCGTTAGCGTCCTTTTTAGGACTAGATCAAACCCTATGTTTGCACGTGCAACAGACCTTCATCCTTCCATCTCACCTCACATCGCGATGACTAAACTCTAATCTCAACGCAGGTACCGGAGTATCATATGCAAACCTTTCTATCGGTAGTGAGACCGTTCGCTGGGTGCAAAAATGGCCAGGTCGCTTTCAGGCCAACGAAAACAAAGTCCCAACTGTTGTGGTCTATCCAAGCGGTAGCGACGAACCGTCATCATGGGGATTCCTCTCAGAAACCGCAGCGGAGACTACCTCCGAGGATAAAGAGTACAAAGAGTGGTTCAAAACATGCCTTGATGCAGATAAGTTACGACAGAAGCAGATTGAGGACCCTGAAGGTGCACCAGCCAGCCTGCAAGAAGTCGAAAGATGGTACTGTGACTACCTCCGGAAGCTGTACGACTACTTGAAGTTTAAGTTAGGCGGAGAGTTGTCCGGAGTGACATGGAAGGACGCACGGGTTGAGTTCATCTTCAGTGTGCCCACGACGTGGGCTCCTGTACCTACCGTGGAGAACTTCAAACGTATAGTGTGCGACGCAGGCTTCGGTTCTCAGACCAAACATAGCGTCAGAATCGGCCTTACCGAAGCGGAAGCTGCTGCTGTTCATGTATCAATTGAGGCACCCGGAATCTTCCACGAGAACGATATACTGCTGGTATGCGACGCCGGTGGCGGGACAACAGACTTGAGTGTCTTGCGCGTTACTGGAACAGTCAATCAGACTATCAATCTGCAGCAGTTAGATGTGGTATTTGGTGAGACAATAGGAAGTGCAGCCATCGACTACGAGTTCGAGCAGCTTGTTACGCAGCGCTTGACTGCTGCCCACAACACAGTTCCATTACCGATCGAACCAGCCGATGCAGCTTGGGAGATGATGAAGAGCAAGGATTTTCAAGCTGTCAAGTGCGAGTATGGCGCACCGGACGACACACCTATCTTCAGCATTGGTATCCCACGTGTACCATACACATACAACAACTATGCTCCCGAAGCACGCATCCGCAACGGAGAGGTGATGTTTGATCGGCATGATCTGCAGCGTCTGTTTGACAAGCAGATCGCGAAACTTTTCAAACTCATCGATACCCAACTCGAAATCCTGCAACAGAAGCTTCCGCACCAGCAAGTCGCACACCTTGTCCTGTCAGGTGGATTGGGAAACAGTGCGTACGTGCAAGCCCAGCTCCGCCAGCACTACCAAGACACAGCCATTCCGAATGCGCAATCTATCTCTGTCCGCATAGCACCAGATCCTCAGCTTGCCGTGTGCAAAGGCCTTGTCGCGGATCGCATCCGCAAGCTGCTTACATCGCACTCTGTACTCGGGTGGCGATGCTGTAGAGCTTCCTACGGCACAGCATGCAAAATCATGTACGACAAGCGCAATCCAGAGCATCAAGGGAAGCAACTAGTCAAGGATGCGTTGAATGGAAAGATGTACATCACGCAAGCGATAGCATGGTTTGTCAAAAAAGGCGAGCCGGTCAGCGTCGACAATCCTATCGTCCATCGGTTCGTCAAGAACGTCAGTCCCGGGGATCCAAGGCGAGCATTTCCAACAAGCGTCATCGAGAGTAACCTTGAAGCCGCCCAACTGCCGGAGCAGATGAACGAACGTGAGTACAGGTCTATCATCAGCCCAATACTGCACACTGACATCTTCAGACACACGCCTCCTCTGCGAGATATCCTCCGACCTCTCCGTTGCCGACGAGAAGAAATTTGTCGCTAAGAACGCCCACTTCTGGTCCCTCAAAAAGCACTACCTACGCATCGAGTACTCCATCCGTGTCATCATCGGCCCAGCAGACATACGCTTCGAGCTCTGGTTTGATGACCAGAAACTCAGCCGCGACGAGTCTATCACCGTCGAATGGACGCCGGCAGCTCCGCCAGCATCTGAGCACTTTGACCCGGCGACGTATGGCAGGGTTGAGCTGCCGGATACTCCGCTTATGAGTATGAGTAGCGGACCCGAGAACGGAAGTACCGATAGTAGGTTGAATGGGAAGACCACGAGAACAGAGACGAATATCGTAAGGAGGGAGAGAGACGAGAATGGAGAAGAGAAGAAAAAGAGAGGAATGAGTGGATTACTAGGCAAGGCGACAGGAGGGAGATGGTCGCTCTCAGCATAAAGACGTCTCGCGTGTTACTGTCAACATCACCTTCATTGCATCGCAATCCAGCGGAGACTTTGCAACATTTAATGCACACCATTTGCTGGCCTTTCTTCGGGCACTGTAGAGTAGTCATTGCCAAACCATTGTCCAAGCCACTCCAAGCCGCACTAATTACATCATCGGCAAATTTTCAGCCGCAACACCACGAAGTCCGAGCGCACCGATGCCCGTCCGCGGGTGCCGAGGACTAAAACTCTGGTCTGATGCAATGGGTTGGGTCAAACATAAGGGTTCTTGACTGTAGCCACGAAAAGTAGCAATTCACCTACATCAGCCACATCTCAAAACCATCAGCATAAGTGAACCTTCAATACTTCCGCACTGGAAATGAAGACATCAACACGAACCATCCAAAGCAACCTCAAGAGCCTGAGATTACTGACTTTCACTTCACCGTCACACTTCCGCACACCACCATTTCAAGTCTCCAAGATGTCAGCAACAGCAACAACAACTACAACAACACAAGGCCTCACTTCCTCCCCATCACAACCAAAACCCAGACTACCAGTCCACGTCCAACACTCCGTCTCCCCAAATGCCATACCCGGCGCCACTTCAACACTCATCGACGCATTCATCTCCGACCCTGTAACAGCGTACATGCTGAACCACCTGCCTTCTTCCGCCCGCTTAGCCGCATTACAGAAATTTTTCTTCTTATCAAGCAATGCAGCTATAAAGGCAGGCGGAGAACTTTGGTCCGCCAGCACCACACCCCCAACCACCTCTTCCACACCAGACTTCCAAGCCGCGGCGGCAATATTCCCACCTGGCAAATCGCTGGACGATCTTGGGGCGAATTCTCTGCTCGGCCTTTTGCTATCAGGCGGTTTGGCGCCAGCACTATGGAGCATGGGTCCCTCACGCTTCGCATCCCGCATCAACGCATACACCGCCGCCACAACACCCGCCAAGGAATCCACATTCCCGAACGGCGAAGACTATTTCTACATCCAACTCATCGGCGCCTCCTCCGCGCACCGTGGGAAGGGCCTCGCACCAGCTCTGATCCGGCATCTCCAGGACCGAGCAAGGAACGAAGGGAAGCCGATTTATCTCGAGGCGAGTAATGAGGGCGCAAGGAGGGTGTATGAGAAACTGGGTTTTGAGGAGGTCGGGGAGGTGATTTGGTTGGGGAAGGGGGAGTGTGGGAAGGATGGAGAGGTGGCGAGTGGGGAGGAGGCGGGCGGTGTGCCTATGTGGCCGATGGTGTGGTGGCCAGAGGGATATGTTGGGGGGAAGGCGTAGAAGGTTAATCGGTACGTGATTCAGAGGGTTTCGAAGCATTGCGTGGAGTTTTGCGTCCGTGGATGGGCGTTTCGCTAGGTGAGACTAAGATTGTCATGCATAAGATGCAGTGGCTGCTTGAATCAGAGTCTGGGGTAGATTGGGCAGGGAGTTGAGTATTTGGTGGGATTCAAAAGTACCATCAGCGTTTCTTCATTTGGGTATATATCTTACACTGATGCCTTTGTAGCTATCAGACTATATCCTGCGTTCTATCCCTTTTCAACACCGAACATTGGTAGCAATAGATTCTCAAATATCGCGTGGGCACAACGTCTGCAACATCAAGGGCAATCGGCCAGACCTGTGTGCCTTGTTGGCTTGCAGTGGACCCGCAGAGTGCGGCTTGTCATTCTTGACTCGACGATGAGTGGCTGTGTCTGATCTGTGGTCTTGATCTTTGAGTATGTTCAACTTGGAAGTCAAATAGTGAGACTTCTAATTCAGGGAATTGCTCAGAGCATGCCTGCAGCAGCCAGATCGCGGTAGACCTTTTCAGGCATGACGTTGCCTTCTGTATCCTCCATCTCGACGACGTTCTCTGCTGCCGTCTTCTCCCTCTTCTTGTCTTTCTGGATCTTCTTCCATAGCGTCTCGGCTTCTTGAATGCTCGTAATCTCGCGGAATAGTGTCGTATTAGTAATACCCAGACACTTGAGACCGTGGATGTGGCGAGGCTCGTTGAAGTGCTTGTCGAAAGCGCGCCGCCCCATGTAGACGAAATTACCACAGATCTCGCAAGGGAACTCGACGCCCAATCCATGAAGCTTGTAGAGCCAGAAAGGGATTGGCTTGCCGTCCCAGGCAAGAGGCAGCTTAAGAGGGTTGTAGATCTTGTCTTCGCCGTCCGATTCGTCATCGTCCTCCTTCGCACCCTCTGCTGGCTGCTCAGAGTACAGCTGTTCCAACTCTTGCTGTCTTTCCCGTTCTGTCATGCCCTGCTTTCGCTCAACATTGACCTTAGTATCACCGCGCTCGGTCTGCATGGCTGCGGCCAGCTTCTTGATTTTGAACTCTCGCTCGGCAACGGCTCGCTCCTTGAACCGTTGGATGTCTGATGATGCGCCGTTTGTCTGTGCTGGTGCACTGGTGTTTTCGCTCGCTTGTACGGCCTTCTTGTGTTTCTTTCCTGTCAAATGCGCCTCAAAGACTGTCTCTTTTGTGAAGCCCTTCTGGCAGGCAGCGCACCAGATGCCCTCGCCCGGCGCGTCCCCATTTGTCGGCGCGGAGGACAGCGCGTTCTTCTCCCACCCTGGAATCTGGTCCTTCTCCCACATTTCTTCGAACTCCTTGTCGAAACCGGCGAATAGCTTATCAAGGTTCTCTAGGGGCTTCGTTCGGCGCATGAAGCTCTCGAGGTACTCTTGCAGCGCTTTCAAATACTGGAAATAAGGCTCCGACTTCTTCTGATCGCGTCGAATGCTGCTTTGTGGCCCAGTAAAGACATCGAATAGATCAAGGTACTGTAGATAGGTTAGGCGGCGCGCGTGTTGGTGAACAGACAAGTTCAAGTACTGTTCATGAAGCGTGGTCAGATCGAAGAATCGACCAAAGCCTTCCTCTCCAGTGAACATGGAGTCGATGGCTGCGATCGACTGTGCTTGATCTTCGGGCGACCGCTTCTTGTATGCCTTCTCGAGGTTCTCGACGGGCTCGTTGGGGTATCGGCGGTGGAAGTCCTTGACGTTGGCAATCTCCTTCATGAACGACTCCATAGGGTCGCCGTGCGTGAGGTTGCGCACCTCCTCGTCCTTGCCTTCTTCATCTTCGTATATGGCCAGTAACCGGCCGGACTGTGTTTCTATCTGTTCAAGGAATCGCGCAATGTCGTGATCACGTGCTAGACGGTCGCGGATCTGTTTGTGATTCGTTAGGGAAGTACGAGAAGGTGCAGCTGTATTCCTTACGTGTGGAGGATCTTCGAGAAGACGCTCTGCAACGGCATCTTCGAGGCGCTCCAGGTCCTCGTGGATCTGTCGCTGTTCGTCGAGAAGCATGTTTGTAGTCGCCTGTTTTGGATGTGAGTCTTCTGTGTAGGAGCAGTCAGGTGATCGTAGGTGCAGTACCTTCAGCGGCGTGGATGTTGGCGCATTCGAGGTGGAGCGCGCCCACCCAGATAAATCGAAAAGCGCGCTAGCAAGGTTTCGCCGAAGCTCCGTCTCCGCAGACTCTCCACCAAACTTTCTTGCGCATCGTCTCGACAACCTCACATCACCACCACCCAAATAACACGAATACGACCGAAAACATGGCGGATGGAATCGATCGAAATGCCGACGACAAGATGGAGTTCTCCACCTCCAAGGAGGTCACGGTGGCGCCGACCTTCGAGGCCATGCACCTGAAGGAGAACCTGCTGCGCGGTATCTACGCCTACGGCTACGAGTCGCCCTCTGCTGTCCAGTCACGTGCGATTGTTCAGGTGTGCAAAGGTCGCGACACCATTGCGCAGGCACAGTCCGGAACGGGAAAGACTGCGACCTTCTCTATCTCCATTCTCCAGGTTATCGATACAGCAGTGCGCGAGACACAGGGTACGTGATGATTCATAATATTGTAGGTTGAAGCTCACATGTGATAGCACTCGTTCTCTCGCCCACTCGCGAACTTGCGACCCAGATTCAGTCGGTCATCATGGGTCTTGGCGACTACATGAACGTGCAGTGCCACGCCTGCATTGGAGGCACAAATGTTGGCGAGGATATCCGCAAGCTCGACTACGGCCAGCATGTCGTTTCTGGAACACCTGGACGTGTCGCTGATATGATCCGTCGCCGCAACCTGCGCACTCGCAACATCAAGATGCTGGTCCTCGATGAGGCTGACGAGCTCCTCAATCGTGGTTTCCGCGAACAGATCTACGATGTATACCGCTACCTGCCTCCCGCGACACAGGTCGTCGTCGTCTCTGCCACTCTCCCCTACGATGTTTTGGAGATGACTACAAAGTTCATGACCGACCCCGTTCGCATCCTTGTCAAGCGTGACGAGTTGACTTTGGAAGGCCTGAAGCAGTACTTCATCGCCATCGAGAAGGAGGAGTGGAAGTTCGACACGCTCTGCGATCTCTACGACACACTCACCATCACACAAGCCGTCATCTTCTGCAACACGCGCCGCAAGGTCGACTGGCTGACTGACAAGATGCGCGAGGCCAACTTCACTGTCTCGTCTATGCACGGAGATATGCCACAGAGAGAGCGTGACAGCATTATGCAGGATTTCCGCCAGGCGAACTCGCGCGTGCTGATCTCGACCGATGTCTGGGCTCGTGGTATCGATGTTCAGCAGGTTTCGTTGGTTATCAACTACGATCTGCCGAGCAACCGTGAAAACTACATTCACAGGATCGGTCGTTCTGGTCGATTCGGACGCAAGGGTGTGGCGATCAACTTCGTGACCCAGGACGATGTTCGTATCCTCCGTGACATCGAGTGTAAGTTGGAAACCTCCCGCCAAGTGAAACACCACTAATCGTGCTCAGTGTACTACTCAACCCAAATTGACGAGATGCCCATGAACGTTGCGGATCTTTTGGCCTAAGCTCAAGACCGTACTTTATTTGAGGTGATCAGCCTGTAGCGCAACATGATCTTGACACGGCGTTGAAGGTGTTCGAAAAGTTTGGACGAAGAAGCAAGTGCTGCTTCGCGGAATTGAGGGTGGAGGAAAGGGCTCTATAGCCATTTAGTAAGTTGACACGCTTTCGGGGATCCTTAATCCGGCTGACCCTGATGCCTTGAGCAGTACCAAATTGACATCACGATCTACGAAGACGACATTCGGTTCAGCAAACTACTTCTTCATCATGTACTGACGCTAGGTTGCAACCACAATACTGAAGGCTGCCTGTTTACGGCACGTAATGAACCTGTATCAGCGGGTTCACTCCTCTTACAGGCCTCGCATCCCGCATCATTCCTTCGAACCGACTATTTCGCCCAATCTCAACCGCTGCATGATCGCCCCATAGCTCCTTGGGGTGTCTCTTCTCGGCCGCTGCATCTGACTCTGCAAGTGCGCGATCTTCAGAAAGCTCATGCCTTGGCTTCGACGGCTTCGACGACTTCAACTTGCGGCGACGACGAAGGACAAGCAGCATGCCCGCTAGGCCCAGAATAACGCACGAAACTCCTGCGACGGTGGATCCAACGATAACTCCAGTATGCACCTTTGGCTCCGGTGTTGCACTCGCACTTTTGGTCGCAGATGGCCCGGTCGCTGTTGGCTTCATGGATGTCACTCTTGTGCTGGAAGAAGTTGGCGGCAGACATCCATCGATCGAGTAATATACCCATGACGAGTCATAGCAAGTCGCGAGATGGCCGACGATCTTCATTTCGCTCGAGCACGGCAATGGACCTGCGTTGGCGCCGTACAATGTCACTGCAGACTTCAGCTTGGCTCGATGATAACCTTCAACACTACACACCTGCGCAACCTTGATCCAGCTCCTGGATCTGAAAGCTCTGCCCCTTCGTCACGTTCAGCGGTTTGCAGAGTCCATCCGGGTAGCCGTTGACGGTGTCGAGTGCGCGCCATGATCGTGTGCACTTGGCGTCAGTGAACGACGTGATGTCTGACGCACATGTGGTGGCGATCAGGAAGAGAAGGACGAGGAGCGAGAGGGTGATTGCTCGCATTGTAGGGCCTGGAAAGGCAGGTAACGAAGAATAAGCTCAAGATTTCGGTTCGTTGCATGTGAATGGGCGCTGTTGGAGTACTTGTAAGGCCCTCCGCATAAGAGCATCGGAGAGAGCGACTCCATTGCGGTATAGAAAGCGGAGAAGGTCGCGACGTGACGGCCAAGTCAAATCCGTATATCCAAATACGAGCGCCATTCTTCTCTGCGGGGTATTGGCCATCGGCATCTGGGTAAAGCTGAAGACAAGACAAACCGCAATGGAGAGGAATGTCTGCAGCCGACTCTCATTCTCCCAAGTCCGTTACATGTTCATTTCCGTTCACTCTTCTTCGGTATCGCAGAGCCAGGAACCGAGAAGTGGTTCACGCCTTCAACAAATTTCCCACCCTCCATCTCTACTTGGGTTCTCACTATAATCTGTTCATATGCGGCTTCGTGTGGTGGCAGACTGCTCGCAGAGAGTGGTGGGGGCTAAGCTTGTGTGTGAGGCAGCGGAAGTGGGTTGGCGTGAAGACCACATCATTAAGCAGCGGAGTGCGGTCACATTCGGCAATCGCGGATCTTGCGCTGACGAGGGTACGAATGAAGTTGAGGATCGAGTCGCTCGGACATCCAGTAGTGGTTTGTGATCACTGTATAATCCACAAAGTCCGTCAGTCACAACGCCCACATTTCAGAAAGAGATGTGCCCCTGGTGGTCCTGTGTCACCTGCCGCTACGCGAGGATGCTATTTGTTTGAACATACGCCACATGTTGCATTTCCGACGACCTGGTGAGTGCAAATTATCATGGATTAATCACCGCCAGCTTTGTTGTGAGGAAGGCTCGCGCTTGCAGACCAAAAGAGATATTGGCCCCCGTAGGGACCAATCCCAGCACACATCGGTATTACGCAGCTCGACTGGCACAGCCACAGCTACCGAAGTCCGTGGATCTGCGCTTTCGTGGTGCTATGTGAATATGGGATGTCCACAAATCTTGTCTGCTTCACAGATTCATGGAAAGAGAACAACGAATAACAAATCCTTTCCGCGCAACTTATGGAAGCATGTCATGATCTTGTCCCATCGCTCTGGCACGTAGCGGCTGTGGTCTCAGCTGTTCCTTGTTCAGGTGGCTTCTAGGCATAGCGTCAGAGCTCTCAAAGAATGTTCAACTTGTGAAAGATGAGCGACGGTTTCGAATTGTTTTGAGCTACTCGCCACCTGCCCAAATTTTGCCCGAAACGCAAACGAATCTCAGTTCAAGTTCCCATACCAGCACTCACCAAAGAACATACACTATATACAGACTGGCTTTGAAGGCACTCGCCACTTCTCGCTCTGCTTCATGAACCCCGAAAGGCACATATGCAGCATCCGTATTCCCTTAACTTTCCTCGAATGATCTGACAGCCTCCAAAGCTTGATTTTGAGGAAACGTGGAGACGCGCGGGGTACATATCGATCACTCGTCCTCGCCGACTTCGTATGTTGTCTCGATCCGAAATGTCTTCATATGCTGGTGGCCGCTCATAGTAACGCCGTCAGTGTCCATGAAGGGCTTCATCAGCTGTTGCCTGCCTACTATGGCTGCGTTGTTGTGCTTCCCAGTGTCATTTGCCGCAATCCAACCTCCATCTCTGTGCTGACCTTGAGTGACTCCACGTAAGCCATGTCATTTTTGAATGCCAACTCTTGCGGGTAGAAAATCACATGCCTGATCTCACTGAGATGCGAGTCCGTAATCTTCATCACATAGACCCAGAAGCGGTAGTGGCGTTTTCGTCCCACTCTTGCTTCGCTTGACGACATGTAAGTGCAAGGTTGCGTGCACTTTGCCCGTCCTTCACATCGTCTTCATCCTCGAAGGAGGAAAGGTCATGTACTCGTAGATCAGGTCGCGTATAATGCGTAGTAGGTGAGTAAATGGGTCGCGACGAGCTGTCGAGCTGGCGCGAAGACGCTTGCGTCCTTCTGAGTCACTCTGTGGGAGACCAACGGCGGTCAGCACCAGCCAGTGCTTACGCTTGAGGCTAGCCTTATCAAAGGTATGATCAGTGTGCTCGGTGTAGTCCGCCTCTGCCTTCGAGTCGTCGGTATCCATCCAATCAACATCTCCAGGAACGTGAAAGTATAGATTGGTCATCGATGCTCTGATCTTGCTGCAAAGAAGTCTGATGGTTCTATGCAGTTGAAAGAACGGTGTAGGGTTGTGTGGATGGCTGAAGGGGTGAAAAATAGAGAAGAAGAAAGCCTCTGCTAGTGATTATGATATATAGATACTCTGAGGATCTGAGCAACCCCGGGTCGGGTTCTGTCCGTCTAACGGACTCGACTTTTACTGCTCATCAATGTCCCTCCAATACGTCATAAGACAGATTTGTTCAACTATACTGATCCCGACAGTCGACCTGCTACGCAACGAGTAAGACTTGCCTGGAAACACAAACTTACTGAGGTTGATCATGTTCCCAGTACAATGCATCTAAACTTCTTGTAACCCTGCGTTACTTCTTGAACACCAGCTGCACTGTCTGAGAGCTGCTGTTAGAGAATCTGACCTGCACAACCGTACCGGCACCGCGGAAGTTGCGCAGTCCGTACCCTTTGTCTCGAGAACACTGCCTCATAGTCTTGCCACTTTTCAGGTTTCTCATTCTTGGAGGATGCTGTAACCAATTAACTTTGAGAAGTGGAGGTTGGTCGAACACAATATGACTGTGCGAGGTCGTTATAACCGCACTATGAGCTTCGCAAATTGCATGACAAAGAACCATTCCGGGTCAACTCCTCCTTGTCTGAGTCAATGGTTTGGGGCAGAGGGTATATGCGGATTGATAAGAATTCGGGCAAAAGGGGGAAGAACGTTCACAGGTTCTCTCGCCAAGGGTAATGACAACGCACTGGTAGCCAACGCAAAGGACTGAGGTTGAATGCCACTGCCATTGTGTGAGCATAAATAAAGCTCGGTGTGACTGGGACAAGCTGGAAACGCGTCTGAAGCCGTTGTGAATGTACAAGTGCCGCATAGTGCTGTCTTGCGATGACTGCGTAGTGATGATCGACTTCGTTCTTGACGATACGGCACAGAAGACGCAGGCTGCGTACCGTAGCCGTGTCTGGAAACCTTTTTGGCGAGGTGACAGAACCAGGTATGATGTAAAGGGTGGCCTTGTGAGGAAGAAGACGGCCGTAAATAATAAGTCGGAGTGTTGACGTGAGTGCAAGCAGAGGGCTAGCCATTGTCTGCTCGAGGAGGATGGAAAGGTAGGGGATGAGTGATCAATCAACCCATCGAATCTTATACCTCGGGAAGTGGAAATGTCCGAGGTTTGCTGCACTAACTGTACAGGCTTGAGAAGTGATTGTTCGCCCGTGACTGAAATATATATCCCTTGACGGAAGACAATTGCAACTCCAGACGAGTGTATTGATTGAACAAATTGAGAGGGGTATGTCGCTTTCCAACGCCTGAAAACCAACGACGCCAATGTAAAGACCGAAAATGTCCTTGCCCGCAGGTCGTTCCTACTCGATCTTCACTCGCTCCGAAAATTGCCTCAGTTAGACCAAAACCACCCTCCCTTCTTCTGACCTTTCTGGCTTATACTATCCGGCGAGTGTGCATTCTGCATTACCTTCCATGGATCCCCTGTATAGTGAACATCGTCGCCACGCTGTGTGTGAACAGTCTCAGAGCTCTGCTCGCTACCGTCTGTGAAACGCTTCTTCAGGATGAGCTTTGTAGTAACGGTCCCGTCAGGTGCAGTCGTACGCTCGGTAGTCGTCAGTGTAGAGAGTATGGTCGAATTGCCCTCAAGTCCTAATGTCGAAGGGGAGGATGACGGTGTGAGCAGTCGCTCATAAGCGTCTAGCTCAGTCTCTGTATTCTGTCTCGCTTCTGATGGTGAAAGTTGCCCCCTAGAGAACTCGGTCTGCTGAGGTTTCGGTGTTGGTGGATCGTCGTGCTGATCCTCGTGGTCGTGCGCATACTCGTAACTCGGCTCGTCACTTGTATCGTGAGCCTGCTGTGGAAAAGGTGTTTGCTTTTGTGCTGACTCCTGACGTGCCATAAGTAGTCGCTCTCTGTTCTGCTGTTCGAGCTGCAACAGTTCTTTTTGATAGTCTCGCAAGGCATAGAGGCCCATTTGGTCAAAGTCCGTGTTTTGCGCGTCTGACAGCAATGGGTGCTCCTGTGTCGTACGCATGAGATCTTCAAACGCATTGCGCCACAAGCTTCCCATATGTTTTGTTCGTTCGTCTGCTTCCAGTGCTGATGGAGAGTATGGATCTTCCAATATCTTCGTCTCGTCTGACTTCGGTGCGTCTGCTGGCGGCGGCCACTGCCATGACCACGACCGTGACCATACTCGAGGTTGGGCGTCTTCGTGTCGATTTGTGTCGTCGTACCGAGCGGCCCAGTGCCTGCGCAGCTCTTCAATCTCTTCACCAAAGACTTTACTTGCGTCTTCTTCTAGTCTTGTGAACATGCGTTCGATTTCGCTGCCAGCTCTCCTCGCACGACTCTCTAGCCATCTTTCAAACTCATTGTCATCTGAATCCTCTTCCCGTGTTGGTTCTGGCCAGTCCCAACTGTCTGACCATTGCTGCCCCTTCTTATTGCCTACTTTCTCCACCAGCTGCTTCTGCTGTTCGACGTTATGATTCGAGTCTTCATCATCTCTCAGTATAGCTCTCCTTAGTTCACCAGCCTGCTGCTCCAACATCATGAGCTGTTCACTCTTCCTCAATACCGCTTGGACATCACCAGCACGGTACGATTCTGTACCCTCATGACGGAGCTTCTCTGTATGGGCATCTAAAGCTTGCAGCTCCTCGCACTTTTGAGGATCTGCTTTACCGAACAGGCACTGTTCCCGTGCGTGATGGGCGTTGTTGTAGTTGGCGATCTGGGCGGGAAGCGTGAAGACGGTGTTGAGCAGCGATGAGACTTGTGAGTCGGCGTAGCGGCGAAAGGCGATGAAGGGATTGTCTTCTGGTCGACTCGAATCTCGCCGGGGATTGTTATTGTTGTTGTTCGCCATGTTGGATATGTGAGTGTTGATGGTTTGCGGGGTTGGAGCGGTGATGCCTAGAGGCGCTTCGGTTACGATAAGATAAGGTACGCGCCTGCCATTCACATATTGACGCGTCATGATAACCATCACTCCTTCATCCTCAGGCCTGTCGCACAAAATCAGTTTGACTGAGTGTGTACGGATCTAAAATGAATCCAGCCGCGCGGACCAAACCAAGCGCCATTCAACATGTGGCTTACATAGAGCTGTGCGACAAAAGCCACAAAAACCGCATTACACAATGTCTTTCATCACGATTACCAGTGTAAGCCTCGAGACAAATTGCAAACAGAAAGCTCAAATGTGGAGCTGGACGATGAAGGACATTGTTCAAAGCTCAGCTGGCATTGACTGATGGCCTTTGTTGCTAACGTATTGATGACTTCGAAGCAGCAGTGTCGATTCATGTTCATGTAGGGTACTAGATCTTTGCGACTATCGCAGCACATGTTCATCACTCCCCACCATCGCATCATCATGGTATACCTGAAGACAGTCTTTGGCCGCATCCAGGCTGACATAGCCAAGATTGGTACAGAAAAGGCCAGAAAAAGGGTAGCTACATACATTGAGGCAATTTATTCACTTGAGCTCAAGGGCAAACTTTACTTCTACGAACAAGACCAAGATGGAATCCCGATAAGAAGAATTGACACGAATTTTGCAGGGCAAGGGCGCTTCGAACCCACGTTACTTATCCGCAACATCCTCGATGTTTTAGCATGGAGGAATATCAGTAGACCAGGTGGCACCTGGCAGCCGTGGACGCGAGCTGATCTACTTGGATGTAAGACCATGAACGAGGTGTGCGCGGAATGCGACCTTAACAGCAGGTATAACGACAGCACTCGTGACGATGGTTACCTCGTCTGGGTCGAGCGGATGTTCCAGCTCTGGCACGAAAACATAGATATACGTCTTGCTGAACACACAGGATATGGGCTATATGCAAGGAGATAGCTTCCTTCTGGCATCTTCATTGGGGAGTACACAGGCATACTTCTCCCCCATGACGATGAGCTACCGGACGATCAGACTGTGTATCAGTTTGACATTAATATTGGCAAACTCAAAACGGATCCAAATTCTCCGTAGCCAATATGCTGGGTCGATGCGACCAAGAAGGGGTCTATCTTTCGTTTCATGGCACATTCGTGCGAACCGAATGCTAAGGTAACCCAGGCGCGAGTCGGTACACATAATCGCGTTCTAGCAGTCCGTACTATTCGACTTATCTTGACTGACGAACCAATAACCATAGACTATGGGGAGGAGCGGTTCACAGGTGAGCAATGGTGATTTGGTGACACGCAGGACTGCGGAAATTCACCTGGATCAGGAAACGGCGACGTTGGTGGTGACAGCGGGAGCGCGTATGAGGAATAAGAGGTATGATGCACGTGTGGTCTTTCCCAATGTCCGAATATCATGATGTCCATTACTCTATCCTTCTAACTCCCGTATGAGCGCCGATGCACCCCAACAAATCTCTCAAGACTGCCTGTTATCGTGTTAGCCCAGACGTTATTTTGCTTGCCAATCATACTTACCTGCCACAAAATTTAGATATGTCGTTCAGCCGGTGCTGCAGGTGCAGCCCTTCCTCAACGCTGGTTCTGTGGACGGCCATGGGACACAGAGACTTCGACATTGTCGTCCGTTGACGCCGCAGTTGTCTTTAGAGCAAGGTCCAGTATACCCTTGAGGCGTTGGGTCCGGCAGTGCGGTGGCGAAGCCTACGATGAACGATGTGATGAGGATGGTGAAGCGCATGTTGAGTTAGTCGGATGGCGGTTGTCGAGAGTGGTTGTGTTTAGGTGCTGAGGGATAAAGAGATATGTATGCGTTATTAGCGTTTTGTAGAATGTAGTGGGTATACGATATTGAAGATGAGTGTCTTTCTCGACGATAGCAACGTTAGTCAATATATACCGACCTCGAGCTCCGTGTGACGTCTCGCGTCCTACGGTCCACAAGCCCACAATAGCAATGCTGCTGTGACCCTGTTCAACCAATAAGCAAGCAACGCCTAGGAACAATAACCGCAACACCAAGAACTCTCAAGAGATATCAGCCAGGTATACCCACGATCCGTCGGTACTTCGCCTCGGAATGACGCATTGAGAGTGGCCGAGTGCTGGGCGTGCATGGGACGAAAACAAACTTGAGGCTGAATCGAAACCTGAGTAAGGCTTATCGTTCCACTTGAAACCCTGGCTCTGGCACGGAGCCTCAAGCTGTCAGAAACATGTCAGAAACATCAAATATAGCATTGTTTTGGCACTCCCAAGTGAGATGGTATCTTTGTTGTTGTAATGTGTTCGGACTTGGCTGCTTGGCTTGCCCAGAGACGCACGCGGCCTTGCGTAGATCGTCGGTGATCACATGGGTCCATTGGGCGATTTTGGGTCCACTCTTGAATTGCTGGCGGTGAGGAACATGGGGTTCAAGTTGGACGGAATGCCACAAGGGAAGGAAAGCTGAGGATGACTTGACTAAGATTATGCGTTGAACAAAACTCGCTGGTGTAAGGAACATGGGCAAAGACAATGTGCGGGAAGATCAGAGGCGATGACGGAGTTTCCTTTCGGATATGACGGATTTGTAAAGACGCAATGCAGCGTTTTGCTGCAAGAGTCGGATCGAAAGTGCACCCCGGAGATAGTCAGACTTCTGACTTCACGGAGGTACTTGAACGCTTAGGTGCGTTCTGCAAGTGCTGTATGAACAGGAAGTCAAGTGATGCTGCGACAATTATATTCTACGATCAAAAGGATTGCCATCCTTTGAAGTAACAGAGACTTTAAAAACAGTGTCCGCAATAGAGAAGTTGAAGGGCAGACATCAGGACATTTGCGAGCTAGAGGTTTTGTAAGTGACGTCACCCACGCTAGTCCGCAGACGCGACGCGTGTTGACCATCGCGACTTTCGAAACTATCAACCCTTAACCATCATCCATCCATCTCTTGTTGGCTCTGCAATCTCTAATAAAGACTGTCTCAGGTCCGGTTCCCGGGTCTCGTAACGTACGATCTCTTTATATCGCGCAATGCCCGTCACTACAATCTTTTTCCTTCACTTCATCCATCCTACGTGTACCCCGAACTCACATGGGCGCCGTTGGCGTGATGAGTTTTCTAAATGATGTTTCCAGATCCAAATACCAGGGTCTGGCCCACTTTCTCACTCTCTTTGGGTTCGGACACTGTGTAAATACTCTTTCGCTGCTTCCCTGTCACAGCCACTTTTAGGCTCAGTTCTCGATTGGTTAAGCCTTGGCTCAAGTGAAGGGTTTTATGGCTATCTTCAGGGTTAGATTTGTTCTTTCTTTGATCTCACGTTCTTCACTCTCGACCTGTGATTACCTCTTTAGTTCGTAAGGGTCCATCCGTGCGATTGGCTCACGACCACCCCCACATCAAGCGCATTCGCCAGAACTATCTTATCTTACCTTATTCCTTCTGGAACATTTACGGACATTCTATTGACCCTTTCGACTGTGTAGACCGAGCGTTCGGCCAATAATGTGCCATCGTTTCGTGATGATGCGACCTAGCCATCGAGGTGCTCAATTGGACGAGCGCACAACGACGAGGTCGAGAACATAAATGACAGCAAGGTGCTACAGTTGACATAAAAACTGCTTAAGCATCATTTCTTAACAGTTTGTAAAATCGTTTCAAACCTCAAAACCACAATGGCACTCTCGAAGCGAAGAAAAACCGGTGGCTCGAACGCAAAGCCTCAAGATAAGAAAGCCAAAGCAGGACCACTTCCCGTCACAGTTCTCTCTGGATTTTTGGTAGGTTACTTCCACGCCAAAGTTATCAGGATCTGACATATGGAAGGGAAGTGGAAAGACGACTCTTCTTCGTCACATTCTCCAGTCGCCGGACCATGGATTTCGCATTGCCGTTATAGTGAACGACATGGCGTCTGTCAACGTAGATGCCAACCTAATCACACGATCGACAGACTCGCGCGGCAAGAAAGATAGTGGGGAGATTCGAGTCAAGGAAAAGGTCATTCAAATGCAGAACGGTTGCATCTGTTGCACACTCCGATCTGACCTACTCACTGAGCTGGCACGGCTGGCATGGAGCGACGCTGGCTTCGACCACGTTGTAATCGAGAGCTCTGGTATCAGTGAACCGCAGCAAGTGGCGGAGACGTTCACTACTGAGCTCACGGAAGCGATGATCGATGCTGAAGGTATGGAGACTGAAGAAAAGGAGATCTTTGCCAAAGTGTGGGTACCTTCCGGCTGTCTAAGGTATGATGCCCACTGACACTGTTTGTAGTGCAAAGCTCGGTGGCCTGAAGTCAATCGCTAGTGTCGACACCATGGTCACAGTCGTTGATGCCTTCCGTTTCTTCTCCGAGTTCGACACCGCCGAATTCCTCCAAGACCGCTTTGGCCGGGAAGAAATACCTGAAGAAGACCAGCGCACCATCTCCGATCTTTTCGCCGACCAGATCGAGTTCGCCAACGTGATCATTGTCAATAAGGTTGATGCAGTCAACAAGCAGACACTGGGCAGAGTCAAAGCCTACGTCAAGACACTCAACCCTACAGCGAAGATCATTGAGTCGAAGTTCTCTAAAGTCAACATCAAAGAGATGCTGCACACTGGTATCTTCAACTTCGCCGAAGCAGTCGCCAGTCCAGGCTGGCTGAGGAGTCTGCACGAGATGACCGTCATGGATGTCCAAGGCAGGAAGCGCGTAACACCCAAGCCAGAAACTTTTGAGTATGGCATCGGGAGCTTTGTCTACCGCGCTCGTCGTCCGTTCGACCCTCTCAAGCTATACCGCCTCATCGAGGGAAAGTTCATTCTGCTTCAAGAAGAGCCCGAAGACGCCGATGAAGATGAGGAAGACGACGATGCTTCAGACGATGGCGCAAGCAATGCAGACTCCGCCTCGGACGAGAACACCGCCTCAGCAGGTTCTAACTCAGACAAGATGGCCGATGACGAATATGACAAAACCCCAATGTCTGACAAAGAGATACTTGCCAACAAGAAAGCTTCTCCATACTTCTCCGGGCTCCACCGCAGCAAAGGCATCTTCTGGCTCGCTACACGCCCCTTCCAAATGGGCTCCTGGAGCACCGCAGGCGCAATGCTAACTATCGGCTCTGAAATGCCGTGGTTCTGCTGCGTGCCTGAAGAAGACTGGGGTGCGGACGCTGACACCGTCGCTGCTATCCGTAAGGACTTCGAAGGCGAGTGGGGCGATCGAAGACAGGAGTTGGTGTTCATTGGCGAGGGGCTTGATGTCGCGGGCTTGACGAAGATGCTGGATGCGTGTCTGTTGAGCAGAGCGGAGATGAGGAAGTGGGAGAAGATCATGTTTGATGGGAAGATAGATGAGGATGATAAGGAGGAGAGGTTGGCGGGGATGTGGGATGATGAGTATTGGGCTGAGTGGGCAAGGACGGAGGAGGAGGATCATGAGGGGCATCATCATCCTTGAGCGCTGAATATGGAACTGTACGTTTCTGGTCCCATGTTCTTTCAAAAGATTTACGATTTATTATGATCATCTATTGCACATACAACCCATGAAGTTCACCCACTCCGCCTTGAGTAGCACTTCTTGCCCTTGCACTTCAGATCGAAGTAGTTGATCACCAAATCATCCTGGTTAGGAATGTTATGATCCACTCCCTCAGCACTATACGCCTCAAACTTCCCACTCGTGCCATACTGATACCTCGTCCAGCCCGGCAACGGAGTATTCGGCGTAACTTTCGTAGGCTTATCACTGACCCCAAACACACTCGTCCATTCCTTAATCTCCTCCTGCAAATTCTGAGGATACAATATCGTATCGTTAGTCCCATGAAGGACCTGCAACTTTGGCCTGAACCCCTTGTACCCTGGGTACGCACTCTTAACAATCCTCGCCCACTCAGGCCCAGTCTTGATAATCTTGCCCGTCGCACAAGCATCGCTCCACACTCCATACCCATCACCCGCAAAACATCCAAACGCGACGCCGGCCCATGCACTACCTGCAGCGAAAACATCCGGGTAGCTTCCGAGCAGCACATTCGTCATCATAGCGCCGGAACTCGTGCCCGTAACAAACACTCGAGACGCGTCTGCATCGTACTTCTTGATCGCCCATCTCACCATCGACACAATGCCCAGCGCATCACCGCCGCCGTTGTGCGTGAGTGACTGCTTGCTCGAGACGTCCCAGCACTGGTCCGCAGCGTTGGGACTGTTAGGGTAGATGGAGATAAAGCCGTACGTGTCGCCTGCGGAGGCCCAAGAGCGGTAGTTGAAAACATCGTGTGCGGTGCCGTGGCACCAGTGCGGCGCGACGAGGATTGGAGCGTTCTTGGGAAGGTTTACGGGGACGTAGATGTAGCCGGTGACGTTGCGAGGATTGGGTCCAAAGTCGAAGATTTGGGTCAGGTTGGAAGTGAGAGAGTGGGCGGTGTTCGCTGCTGCGAGCAGCAGACCGAAGGATTTGAGGAGCATGATGGTGAATTGTTCTCTTGTGCGGTAGGATTACATGCTCGGCGCCGTGCTCTTATAGTCGCCGTCGACCGGGCGAGCGGCGAGAGCTAACGGCAGTGACATGATGGAGCCGTGATGTACGATAGCTCTTAGCGAGAAATGATATGCATTCGGCTGTACCTGAACGCAAATACACCGGTCCGTAGCTCGAAGAGGGATGGTCGGCAGCGGGATGAATGGTTGAAGATGCGTATCTATTGTCCCGATTGGCGTGGTGCTTGTTCGTCCTTGCCTGTTCGGGAACGGAAGAGGCGCTCCTGATGAACTTGCCCTTGCAATTATACCGGCTCCACACCGGTCTCCACAACGGTCTCTATCTCTTATGCGAACCATCTTCTCGAAAGTTCACGCTCTGCCTTTGAGAATCTTTCCTGGCCTTGGATACAACTTCGATGGCACTGGATCGATGAACATACATCCGTAAGCACTGCATGAGTGCGATGAACTTTTACTGGACACCCAACCAAACTCGAGTGCTCAAGTGTGCAAGAACATGTATTGACTTGGTGCCTACATGTCATTGTTGAGGCCTTGGCGACTGTCCAGCAGCCGTGAGAAGATCAGACGCACAAAGTGCGGAATCAAGAACGCCATTTCGGTTTCGTGTTCCTCGTCTTCGTATTAACCTTCCAGTGCTCGGTGTTTTGACCACCAATTCCCGCTCATCCAACTCAATTACCTCAGATAATTTCCAGAGACTCAGACGGCCTCCAGTCTCGTTCCATTGTCTTAACCTATCTTCACGCTCAATTGCTCATCCAAAAGGGCTCTTTTGCACGCTGTCCCTCTTCAACTGTGCCCTCTCTTTCTCCACCAAACACGCCGTCGCGCTCACATTGACCACGACACATCCCATGACCTCAGTCTCCCTGATCTGCATACCCACAACAGCGTTTGCACCCTTTTCGATCGCATCTTTCGTCATTCGCTCGATCGCTTGGTCCCGTGCTTGATACAGAAATTGCGTCAGTGGTTTCGCTTCGCCCCAGGAGCCTGTAATGCTGCTCGATAGTGACTTGAGGAACGACTTCGGGACTCGGTGGGTGAGAGATGCAGTTCCGTGGATGGCGCCAATGAGGCGGGTTGTAGTGTAGCCTGGTAAGTTTGGTGTTGTAGATGTGAGAATTACAGGTGTCAGGCTGCGTGGGATGTTGCCGATGGTATATGTTGGAATGGCTTGATTGAGTTGTGCGGGATCAGCGGTCCTCGAGCCAGCATGCCAACTCGGCATACGACTATGTTTGACTGGCATTGTTGAGTGGCGGTTGGTCAACATGGTAGATCTGTTTCGGTGACTCGGACTGCTGTGCGCTTGTTGCTATTGTATCTTCCGCTGAGTGGTGTTGGTAGTCGATGATTATGTTGAATGGACCGAATGTGAACAGGTAGTGCAAGAGGAGAGACTCGTCGATCAGCGCGACACGAGAATTATAATGCGTCGCGGTCATGATGTTGGTCGCGTGCTGAAACGTAGACAAGGCGATGCCGCGCCTCAGGCTGCTTTCCAAGACTTGCTTGAATATCTAAGCCACGAACAGGTGCAAATGCGCCGCCCAACTCCGTGCTTCACCTGCATGTTCCTGACCCACCGTTCGAATTTTGGCATTCCGAAGTGTATGGCGAATATGATAGTGCGGGCTGTTTCGCCGTCATGGTGTGTTTTGGCAAGTTGTCGCGCGCTGGGAATGCTGAAGCGAGGTTCTGTGACAGAAACCGTTACAGATGCCGCGACCGCTTCCGTCGACAACAATGACACATCGACGAAGTAGTTGCACCGCAATGTCGATTGCCTGCCACCGTATTCGATTAAGGCCCACGTGGTGCACGTGTGAAAGCTGACACGCCCTGCGCTTTGTCCGATCCCACGGTATCTTGTGGGACAATCAAGCTGTAGATCACTCTTTGGGAGTGAGCTCATACAACCTCTTAAGCTGCTGGAATCCAGATTGAAAGCACAGGACCTTGCTGTTTTCTTTCGCAAGTATATCCATGCAGCGCATGAGAGCATTCAACATCGCCTGCCGATATGTGAGTCCTGTACTTTCATCAATCAAGGAGCATGAAGACGATGCTTCCGGGGACAGTAGCAGCATGCAGGTCGTGAAAGCAGCAGCGAGAAAGTCCAGCATGTACGGCTGAGCCAGCAATTGTGTATGCGGCGAAATTGAAGACAGTTGATGATAGTGATTCAAGAGCGCGAGGTTGTGCTCGAAAGTCGAGTTGTACGATGCCGGAAACAGAACAGACGCATTGGGTCGCAACGCGTACTGACAATGTACGGCGAGGAGCGCACGTCGAAAGAAGATATCCAGAGTCAGACGTACAACTTCATCTTCAAGGAATACGGTAGATTCACGCATGAATTGCGTGATATCACTGTCGTAACTGAGCACTTCATCGTACGAAAAAATCTCGCCGTCGTGCGCATTGAGGCGGGATAGGAAGTGACAAATGATTGGCAGAGAACGTGGTATGATGGTATCCCAACAGTCCCGGGGATTAACGCAGGAGGTTGTCAGGTCGACAGTGCCTTGCGGTAGCATGCTCTGCTGACCAGTACGAAGCGACATCTGTGTGTCGAGGTAGACAATGAGAATCCAAAGACGACAGCGGAGAGCTCTTTCGCAGACGATAGCTGGTTCGTCATAACCAGGCATCCAATTTTTGTGTAGGACCATCATCATGGACAATCGAACAACGATGCCCATAACATTCCAGCAGGTATCGAGTGTCCAACAAGTCGCGGTCGTTGCTTGTTTGGCTACAACCATGAGGCATAGCGTGCTTATAGTAGTGGTTGTAGGGCGAGCCATGTACGTCGTCTTTGCCAAGCAAGCTTCGCTTGCGTACAAGAACTCTGCAGCAGCCGCGTTACTGTGACCTGTGGTGTTTGCTCCATATTCAATCGTGTATGCTCCAAGCCCGAGTACTGCAAGAAATTGGGCAAGCCAGCTCAGATCTATAGTCTCCGGTTGCTTCCAGAAGTCTTCCAACTTGGCGCGGAAAGCTGACTTGTCAAATACAGGCAATGAAGGGTGGAAGGATCGAAAGTAACCGGCCATCAGAGAGGCTACGTCTGCACGACAGTTCTGTATCAATTCGTGCACCTGCTGTAGTGATGCATAACGAGCTGATTCTGAACTGCCGAAAGGATAATTGCTTGGTAGTGCGAAGTCGGTGCAGCTGTGCCCCTCGATGTGCTGCTTCACAGCAATCGCAAAAGGAGTCAAATGAAGGCTAGAGAGCGATTCCATCTGTCAAGCGTTAGTCTGGAGGTACTTAATGATACAAGAGCTACGGCACAAAAGATGTAAAGCTAGGCTGATAGCACTCATATCTTTACGCAAGCGCATCTGGTATGCTAACATGCAGCATGGAGTACTCACACGGTCCAGGATAGCTCTATAATGAGTCGAGCCTCGTTTACGCAGATACCATGTCGCGACAACGAACTCAGGGTCCTCGTCTGTCAACGCGAAAGGGACTTCTTGGTGCTGCGGCTGCTCAGGTGCTTGCTCGTGGGATTGCTGAGGCAGCTTCGCTCTGTGCGTATACGTGCACGCCGCTTGAACTCCAGAATACGAGCATCGAGCACATGGCTGTTTTTGGTCACACTTGACTTTTAGGCGATGGCAACGACTACACGATAGGCATGTTCGATTTCGCTTCCTCACCCCTTGGTGCTGAACAATGGGCGTGGGAGGTGTAGTTGCTGATTTGGAGGTATTTGCTGACGTTAAATCGCTATAGCTTGATGGTGGGCTCTTTTTCTGGCCTTCTTCGTAGGTACATGGAATACCTCCACGCTCACAGCGCGTGCAGCTTGGTTTAGCTTTGTTGCATCGTCGCTTTGATTGGCGGCATCGAGTGCAGGTCGTTACTTCTCTAGTTTGTGGCATGTTGGTTTGTGTCCCATGTACAACTCTTTAAAGAGTAAAGAATAGGAGGCCCGGCGATAGTGATGCCAAGTGTGCGGGCGAGCAAGGTTTCTGGAGTAGAAGCAAGCGTGAACCTCGAAGGATGCGGGCCTGTTAACACCGATGCTACTTTAGCGTCGCCCTAGCGCCTTCCTGGATTAGGCCTCATCGCAGCTACCAATCCCAACCCTCGGTACAGCGACAACGAAGGTTCAAGAAAGACCAGACACCTCCCGAAGTATTCGTGGATTCTTTGAACATCGTAAATGAGCTGTGGTATATAATTGTTACAACGCCGTTCCAATGCTTCTGAGAAACGCCTCTTCTACTGACTAACCGGACTCTCAGCCCATGATGACCCGTCGCTTGGTGGACTGGCCATACCCAGACCGTAGCCCTGATTCACGTCGAATAGTGCATCATGCTCCATGGGTATAGCAAACATGCTGTCCCAGCCTTGCGCTATCATGAGATCTGGGAATGCAATGGCGGGCGTAGGGCTGTACTGCTGGTATGAGCTTATCGGCATCATGCCTACAGCCGCCATCGGTGGAGGTTGCATGGGCGGCTGCATAGGCTGCTGACCCACGTTCTGGGGCAGAGAGTAATCGGGGTAGTTGATGGGCGCTGTGTATACCTGCGCTTGCTGATGCGAGAAAGTTGTCGATATCGGAACGCCAGATGGCGTCGCCGAAACAGCCAGAGACGGTTGTGGCTGAGGATGAGATGACGGTGCCTGTTGGTGGGCAGCCTGGGGAGGGCTGACGGTACCAGTAGCTCGGATCATCTTCTCGTACCAATTCTGGATCTTGCGGGTACGCTGTTCATAGTAGTAGAATATGTCCTTTTGTTTGTTGCCATCTCCAGCTCTCCCGACCAACGCTCCAATTCGCAAAGCCAGATGTCGGAAGACATGGTCAATGTTCAGACGGTGCCGTAGTTCACGAGTTTGGGCTTCAACGTGTGGATTCCTGCTAACAATGGCAAATTTGGCCGCAAGTGTGACCCCAAAAGATAGCTGTATCCACTCGATATTGGTGAGAGCCATTTCTGACTTTGGAGGCAGCCACAGGTACAGATCAAGGAAGGACTTGGCGCCTTCCAATCCCTCACACAGAATATTCAGGTGTAGGTATGGAGACCGCTGCAAGTTACGCTCAAAGAATGCAACTTGGTAGAGGAACAGCTTTGCCGTATGAAACTGCATGAACAGCAGATCTAAAGTTTATGTCAGTCACGCCAAAGATCTGTGTATAGAAACACATACGACTATCACTGACATCAGAGCACAAATAGACTCTGAACTCTTCAAGTTCTGCCCGTACGCGCAGGTACGATGAGTGTGCTTCAGCATCCGAGTGATGGGCTGCTTTTGCGATCTGATCGATGTTTTCGATGATTCGCTGCAAGCGTATGACATGGTAGAGATCCTTATCCGTCCTGTACTCGGCCTTCTGTTGCAGGGCTAGACATCCTTCCTCGATAAATGGCGTACATGCGAACGTATTCATCTTGTCAAGCAACTTTGCAATGCTGCAAATCATTAGCTTTTGCTAACGCATGTTGAACGAATGCGACGCACGTGGATGCTATGTAGAAGATGCCTGCAGCTGCTCGCTGTGCGGCTGAGTCTGAATTGCCCTCGCCCACATATTGTTCTCTGGCTATAGGGTCTCGCTTGCTGCCTTCGTTCGGCTTCTGGTGTATCGGTTTGCGATCGAGGCGTAAGTCAACGGCTATCGATATAGCGAGCTGGAGATATTGAGAGTAATTCTTCGAACGTCCGTGGAATTGATTCCTGTTGGGGATCAGAGTCATATTCCTGCAACGTACGCGAAGTATATTACCAAGCCAGTGCGATCAAAAGACCTTGCAGGTATTGTAGGTCTAGACATTCGTCGCCGCCATACAGCACCTTATCGCTAACCATATACTTGAATCGATGGTACAGCTTGTCCTGCGTCTGGAGGTCGTGAAAGCAGGCTACCGAAATTATGGCTAGGAACAAGAACGGCTTCGCATGTCGTATATCGCCGGCGGTCGTATATGGAGGTATTATAACGAAGGGGAAGTGCGGCATCATGTCCGTCTTGTACATCTCCACCAGCGTATCAGCTCTCTCGATAGACACAACATCATCGTCAACAATGTCACCCTCACCAGCGACGGGTGGCGAGCTCTGACGAGCGGCAGTCGCGATGCCTTCAGGGAGAGGTTGCTGCACAACGGGGCCTTTCTGCTGCAGTTGTAGTAGATCCTTCACTTGCTGTTCGAGAGCGTGAATGCGGGAGTCGCGCTTGGCGGAGTTGTCGCGTCGCCGGGCTGGCCGGAATACGCAGTTCTTGCCCAGGCGGGCGCATCGGTCGCAAATATCCTGGCGCTGGGTGCGGTCGCATCGAATCTTCAGCGAGAAGCAGTTCTGACATGTCTTTGAGAGGAGCACAGCTGCAGCTCCGCCGCTAAAAGGTTCAGCTCCCGGCGGGGCTAGTGACATGATGTCTCCGGGCGCACAAGAGCAGCACTCAGGCTTCTCGCAATGCCCACAACGGGGTCGAACATCAAGAAGCCACTTCTCGTGACCTCGGTCTTCTGCAGGCAGAAGTGTTCAACAGCATGGAAGGATGATCAGGCCGCAGTTTAGGCGCGGTACCCGCCAAGCCGTGACGATCAGCTTCTCTGATTGGCGCTAAGGTGTGACTGCTGAGCTGCTATCCCAGAGTGTCGGATCGATAATTCTTTCAGGGCGGGAGAGACACGTCTTCAAAAAGATGGAAATCCTTCGGCGAATCTCTGAGTGGTTGACAGTAAATCAAATATTGAGGTTTGGCTGATAAAGACGCGATTAAGCCGGCGGACTGTGAAGCTACTCCGCGGCGTTGTGCTCACGATCCTCCATGCTGTGCGACGTGATCGGGGGAAGCAGCTGTGAGACCCACCTTATGTGTAAGGCAATCAGGCGTCCGGGCTGATCCGTTATAAAACAAGGTGAATCCCTCAAGTTGAAGGGATGGTCAGCAATCAGGGTAAGTCCCCTACCTTAGCCTGATGCGCGCCAAGTCAAGGCTGAACTTGTGGTCTTTGAGCCTAACTTCTGCTAGCCTGTTCAAGATGACATCTTCGTTGTGGGATGGTTGGGATACTGGAGACACTCGCTGTGTCGTATGTCGAGATTTCTGTGGCATTGTTGTTTTCTACTTGAGTTTCACTCAGTTGTGACTGCCACATCTGCTTGCCTCGTTGCTCCTTCCTCAACGTTGGGAGGTGGGGCATCAGTCCGGCTTTCGTACACTCTCCTTCCCTCAAACCATGTCTCCTCAATCTTCGCATTCAATAACTCTTCACCTTTCCACTCTGTGCAGATGACGGTGAAATCTGCCATCTTGCCAACCTCCAGACTTCCAATCCTCTTCTCAGCAAAGCATGACCAGGCAGCTCCACTGGTTGCAGCACTGACAGCCTGTGCCAGCTCCAGCCTGAAGTTGCCGTTTACAGGTGCATCACCGGCCTCAGGCTGTCTGGCCGATTTACGTGTTGTTGCAACGTACAGATTTGGCAGAGGTGCGTAAGGAGCAGTAGGTGAGTCAGACCCAATAGCCAACGCAGCACCATGGTCTGCAAACTCAGAGTATGCAAAAGCACGCTTCACGCGCTCCGGCCCAATAAGTTTTGGCCATGCACGTAAGATCGCCGGATCTGAATGTACGGGCTGGATGCTTGCTGTGATCCCTAGCTGCCCAAGCCTCTTCGCATCCTCTGGAGCCGTGAGCTCCAAGTGCTCGATGCGATGACGTTGTCCAGGTCTGCCATGTTTCTCAAGTACGTTGACGGCGGTTGTTACGGCCTGATCACCAATGGCGTGCAGAGCACATTGCAGACCGGCACCGGCAGCCTTCTTCACTACAGGATCGAGCATCTCTGGCGTCCAGATGGGTCCTTCGAAATGACCATTGTTGGTGTACGGCTTCGCCAGAGCTGCTGTACAAGCATCGATAACGCCATCGCAGATGATCTTGATGCCTACGACCCTGAGATCAGGATCTGTATCGTTGTTGAACTGACGGTTGAGCTCGATGGCACGCTCGACTTGCCTCAAACGATTTTCCTCGCCGTCACCAGGCAATATGCACCAATGAGCGGCGATTCGAAGTGGCAGCGAACCACCCTTGGCTTTCCTGAGTTCCAGAACAGCTTTCCAGGCATTCTCGTCCATGGCCATGTCGACGCAGCTGGTGCATCCTACAGCATGATATGCATCAACCGCCGCTTGCAATGCGGCAATTTTATCCTCCATTGGCAGAACCTCAGCTAGGTACGGCCATACGATCAACAGCACACACGCCTCGGCCAGCAAGCCTGATACTTTGCCGTGCTCGTCTCGTTCTATGATGCCGCCAGCCGGAGTCTCCATGTCTTGTACACCCATCTCTTTCAAAGCGGCACTGTTGCACCAGACCGAGTGGATGTCTTTGGAGTCGACATAGATGGGTCGAGGATCCAGGTCATCGAGCAAGCTCGCCTTTGCTTCACCATTGGTCATGCTATGCATCCAACCCATACACAGGATCCTCTCTTTGTGGGGATTTTCTTTGGCGTATTTCGAGATCCTGGATCGAATCTCCTCTAGGTCTTTCGATCCATCCAAGTTCACCTTGTGAAGCGATTGTCCCAGCATCAACAGATGCATATGTGCGTCGATGAAGCTTGGCAGGACATGTCGACCTTGAAGATCTTTGACTTCCACACCAGATTCTTGTTGGAACGACTTGATCTCTGGAGCATTGTCAGATCCAATGAATGCAATTTTCCCGTCTCGCACTACCATGCTCGATTGCCATTGTGCATCAGCAGCGGTATTGCCATCATGAAAGAGGCGGCCGTTGGTGAAGATTTGGGTATTGTTTAGAGCGCTCATGATTGTGGTGTTCCAGTTGTGGTGTCTTGAGCGAGGGGATCTAGTATCAGATCAAGATTCATCTGGTACCGGTATCGGAGATTCGAAGTGCTGCCGACCGATGGTAACCGTTGGAGCACGCCCTGCGCCCTACGCTGATACCTTCGCCGAGGAAGACCATCGTGAAGGTGTGGTCTTTGCATTTGCATTTTCGATTAGGTGAGGAGAGAGTATGTAACGTAGAAATGGGAGTATGATCAGATGGAGCCACCCCACTTTAGCTATCCTCGGTGAAGGTAGCCTAGCCAATCATCAAGCTTCGCGCTTATCACTCGGTATCCCACATGGTACTAAGTCTGCAACAGCTCCTATCGACTGAACCAGCATCGGACGTACAAACCACTTAACAATAATTGATTGAAACGCTCCAGAATGGCAGCACCACTAGTTGACACACCCCACGTGCAGGCTTCCACGACATACACCGAAGCTCGTGAGGGAGCAGCTGCATACCTACAATCACGACTTACGGCAAGAGCCCCTATTACAGACGAGGAGTTCGAGGTACCCATTATTGACGGATCGCCATCATTCTCTGGTACATTAGCTGAACGGCAAAGCGTTGCAAAACAGATCCGGAAGGCATGTACAACCTCGGGTTTCTTCTATATCACCAACCACGGCGTGCCTCGTACAGCGCGTGATGGCATCCTGCAACAGGCTGAACGCTTCATGCACGAACTGCGTTCTGAGCAGAAAGAGAAGTTACACACGAAAAGAAGTAAATTAGGACTTGGCTAGGAACCCAGCGAGTACACCTCGATCGCTGGTGATATAGAGACCAAAGAGGTGTTCAACTTTTCGTATGAAGCAGCCATGGACAAGTCGGGCGGGGATGGCAAATACGTTAACTTGGACGGGACGACAGAAAATGGGAACCTGTGGCCAAAGGAAGAAGACCTGCACGGCTTCTACGATGCGGTAAAGGAATACTATGGTGCAGTGAGTAGCATGATGGGGAATTGAAGTGATGCTTGCAGACTGATACATTATAGGTCCTCGGCCTGGCACGCCATCTCTTCCGCCTTTTCGCCCTATCTTTGAACCTGAAAGAGACCTATTTCGACCCCATGATCACGCATCCCGGTGGCATAGCCCGTCTTCTCTACTACCCACCACCCAAAAGCTCTCCCCCGCCAATCCCGTCATCTTCATCTGAAGAACAGATTGGTCTTGGCGCCCACTCAGACTACGAATGCTTCACTCTCCTACTCTCCTCCTCAGTGCCCGGTCTCGAGATCCTCAAACCCTCCGGACACTGGCACATCGCATCTCCACCACCTGAAGCGTTCATCGTCAACGTCGCGGACTTTTTGATGCGTTGGACGAACGGGATGTATAAGAGTACAGTGCATAGGGTTGTGAATAGGGGAACAGAGGCAAGGTACAGTGTGCCGTTCTTCTTCAGTGTGAATTACGATACACTGGTTGAGACTTTGCCAACCTGTCTTGCTGAAGGGGAGGAGAGCAAGTGGAAGCCGATTAGAGCTGGGGAGTACATTCTGGAGAGATTGAACGCTACGACGAAAGACGGTGTGGGGTTCTACGGCAATTCGAACATCGCCGATAGAGCATAGCATCTCAAGCACTGTAGCAAAAACTCGCACCCGCTACCTCTTCACTCAAGCCTTTCATCTTATCCCCTTGGTGTGCACCTAACCTTAACATCCTGCCCCCTCACCACCGGAGCTATTCCCGGACTCGGCCTCGCCCCATCCATTTCTGGGAAATTACCAGACACAACCTCCATATCATACCTCGCCAATAATATCGCCACAACCGCATTCACAGAACGCCTGGCGAAGAAGCGCCCTGGGCACATCGTAGACCCGCCACCCCATGGGCGGTACGATGTGCATTTCGCGAGCTTCGGGTTCAAGACAAACCGATCAGGCTGCAGAGTCAAGGGTGATGGACCCCAGACTGACTGTTCGTAGTGCAGGGCTGAGATGGGTAGCATGATTTTGCGGCCTGGGAGGAGGGTTTTGTTGCCAATGGTGCATGGGGAGATCACGCAGCGGGCGAGGGACGTTGAGACTGTGAGACGCAAGATTTCGTTGATGAGCGAGTCTAGTGCCGGACAGCGTTTGAGGAGGTATGTCTCGTCAATATGGTCGTTCTTTACGGCTGGGAGGACTTCTTCTCGGATTTTATACAGAAGAGTGGGGTTGTGCAAGAGGTGGGCGAGCAGCCAGAAAGCGAGTTTGTATGTGTTTCCTACCAAGCTAAGACGTGTCAGAAAGTGTATCGAGCTTGTTGGGTCATGTGGGTGACTTACGCCCAGTAGTGCAAGAACGTGAACTGTCCCATCTCTCTTTCCGTCAATCCAGCCTCTTGCAGCATATCCTCTAGCGCAACGACGAAATGGCTTGCGCCCGGGCGTTGGCTTCGAGGTAGCTTGTAGTATACCTCAAATGCGTCTACGATCGTTCCCTTGCAATTCAGCATGTCTTTCGCAAGAAAAGCGGGGAGTTGCATGATGAACTTCCAATTAGTGTACTCCCAGTTCACGAAAGCCGAGACCACGTCTGGTGCAATTTGACGGAGTATCGGGCCAAAGTAGACATCTGTGTCTTCAGCTATGAATGCTTTGACGCAGAGATCGAATAACGAGATGATGACAGAAGGTCCGGATCGTGACATGACAGCTGGGTGTGAATGGTCCGAAAAGTTCAAATGCTTGATAAGGCCCGGAATGAGCTTTTCTGTCATCAGAGCATCCAGTTTAGGGCCATTGTGCAGCTGTTGCTTATGATGTTCTTGTACCATCTCTGTAGGCGTCATATCGTGCCCGCTTTTTGCGTTGTATCGCGCTGATGTGTGAGTTTGGAACAGGGCTTTTCGAGCTTTCTCGGGCAGACCTGCCCGAGTGTACATGCCCATAGAGATTGGATCCAACGATAGGGTCTTAGTGTTGTTCCAGACTGCGTTGATGTCCTCTGCCGATGTTGCGACATGTATCTGTTCACCGGCGATGGTTATCGTGAAGGGTTCGTTCGTGTGCTGGAAGTACTTCACGCCTCGGCTGATGGTGCTGTTGAAGTCTCTGAAGATATTGAGGGCATGACCGATGAATGGGATCCAGTATGGTAGTTCTTTTGGCTCGGTGGGGTGGAACCGGGGGCGGATGGTGAATCGCCATAGCCTCCAGGAAAGTAACACAATCAATAACGTGCCTGCGATCTTGATCGCGACTAGGTCAAGTAAAAGAGCCATCTGCATGATTCACAGGTAGCAAAAGTGCAATCGGTGTTCGAGATCACAAAGGGGTCAAGTTTGGCAGCATCGGCGATACAAAGTGCGCCGTAATTGCTGACAGTAAGCAGAACGGCTGATCCATAGTAGCGGAACAGCTGTTAGCGCGAACATCTGCTGGCATTTAGCCCGATGCTTACGTCTTGACAGAACCATGCAGTCATTGTTAATGAAAGCGAGAATGAAGTATGATTCGCAGAGCTAGAAGCCTCAGTTAGATCGTCGTTATTATCCCGGGTAGGTCTGATGGCATAGATTAAGCACATGGATCGTGCGTAATCTCGTGCCCAAACAACGTTCCTAAAGATACGTAGGATGAGCTGTCTAAGGTGGTACTTTGTAGCTGATTAGGTGAAGGTGGAGTTGATAGGGCGACTTCTGGGGGTGGGGTATTGTCAATAGCTACAAGTATGAATGTCATGTGTAGTATTGTTACTATCTGAGCTGGAAACCACTGTGAGGACTAGGATGGATTAGGGCTAGTGCGGCAACAGATCCATGATGACATAGAGCAGTAGCGCTTGGTCAAAGCGTTGCGGCGAAAGCATGAGCGACTTGCGCAGTCTCCACCAACTTTTGTATTTCCATCGACCCCATTACGGGACGTCGCCTATAAAGACGGGACTGACCTTCTCACAGAGGAAAGCACCCCCATGCGACTTCCGAGGAAAACTTGAATAACCCATACGATAATAGCCCCAGAATTCGCTGATCCTGTAAAAGCGACAGCAAACCAGCCAACCACCTTGACGTACGCGACAACGACTAACGCCAGAAACAGGAATGCCAAAAGGAGCCGGATCTGTAGAACTAAACTCAACGGGAAATAACAAAACAATAAAACAACAATTCGGTTACACGGTCCTTTGCGTAACTGTTCAACATCACCCATGTAATGTCCACCGAATCCGACATGAATGGCGGTTCGTTGGAAAGTAAGGACGGCTCGCGCAGCACTCGAATATACCAGTGCTACGATGAAGAAGAGCCACGCGAGCGCAAGAGTCGGATCCGCTCGGCGCTGAATATCGTATTTTGGGGCAGCGTCCCGTTTTCGATGAATATCGCCGAGAAGGTAATAGACCCCCCAAACACCGCAAAATTGGTGATAGGGTCTAGGGACTTGTCGAGCCAAGATATTCCAGGTGGAACAGGACCAATTGGTTCTATAGGTGGGGTTTGTGGAGTTGTTGACCTGACGTGTCAGCCAAGCGATGACTTCAACTTAGAGATTCTGCGAACATTTCGGCTGGGTCTCGATAACCTGGTCCTCACATCATAGTGTACTGGTCCTGGCACGATTGCGATTAGCATTAAGCGCTTTCAAGATCTCGTCAAGCTTTTATGTATTGGGCAGCACCTTTGGTTGAGTGACAGTCCCTCTCAGCCGCACCTGAAATGTTAGAATCCTATAGCCAATTCTGTAGCTACTTCAAGCATTGTTCGCCTCGCGGCTTCTTGGTGGTTGTCTTGCCCAGAGGGGGCTGCATGAGAGCAAGCGAGCTGAGATGACTGCTGATGTTCAACGCTCGCTTCTCGCTTTCATCGCCATGCCATAGAACACAACAAGAAATAGTAGTGTTACTCACATGTCTAAGGTGTGTTCCAGGACATCCACACAGCTGATGATGGACTAGATTAGTAACATCAGAGGCTGGAACCAGATTTGTGTACTTCTTCATCATGTATCGTACACTCACTCATCTCCGAAGGGTAACGTGAAGTAACTAGGTCTGGTGTGGGATGGTGGGATTGCCAAGAATTCTTCCTCCTTTCGGTCAGTCGCCATCGACCAACCTGAAGGCATGCATGAACGGGGAACAACAACATACAAGAGCAAGGAAATCCACACCACCAACGCGGAAGAGTACATATACCATGTGTTCTCGAGTTTGCATGCATTTGTACTTTTGTAGCGTTATCAAGGTTATATACATAAGGTATGTAAACCTCTATGAACATAAGGCACTCTTCCTAGATGCAAGCAATGTGCATACCCTGGGTATATGGGCAATCTGTTGTTTGGTATTCCTGCCACGTGACGCATACTTCTTCACTCACTCCTCACCAGCGCCAACATGCTCGTGCTGGTCTCTTGCCTATATAATAGGCAACCCCCCCCCTCCCCGCTCTTAGATAGAACATGAATCTCACTCTTTCTCTCTGTTCAACACAATCTCCAAGAAGTCACAGCTACGGAAGCAGCAGTAGTCATCTCTCTTCGAAGCGCAATTTCATCCGATTGTGGATGCTTGCTATCCAAGCTTATTTGGCCTTCTTAACAATCTCTTCAACACCCTCATCTCCCTTCCCGCTCTGCAGATAAACGAGCGTGAACAAGCCCGTCAGTGTCAACCACACATTGCCCCAAACACCGATACCCATGCTGGTGTTGTAGTGGCTATCAAGCTTGTAGTGCTGGTACGCCCCAATGCCGGTTGTGATGTGGTGGAACACAGTCGCAGCAATGACAGCCTTTGCGTATGGTAGAGCCCCATTGCTCCTGTTCGACTTCAATGCTTTAGGTGCATCAGCACTGTGGATCGCTTTAGGGGCTGGGGACAGAGGGACGGCGTTGGTGAAGGAGACAAGGATCAGAGCGAGGGTGATGAGACACCAGCCATCGTTGCGGACGTTGTAGAGTTCGAGGTCATTTGCGGCAAGGTTGGCTTGGGAGGGAGGTCGGAACCCTGAGTGGTTAATACATGCTGGAGCTTCAATGACAACGATATACGTACAGCCGACGACCATCAATGGGTCGTAAACACGGCAGGCTCCTCGGAGACCATACCAGAACGCTGTGCCGTAGGCATAGGAGTGAAAGACCTTGACAGAGTTAGTAAGCTGTACTGCAATGTAAAGCTATGTGGTAGCTTCGAGATGGATCAGTTTCTTACTGCTGAATTAATTGAAGGCATGTTTGCTTAATTGATCAAGTCGCTGAAGCTATAGAACTCTCACATCTTGGGGACAAGGTACTTAAAGCTATGTACGTCACATTGTGTTGTGTGCGTAGCTCAGCATAAGCAAATATACGCGACGTCATAGTTAGCGTGAGATGAGCTGCTTTAGTGTTGCGGGCCTGCAGGTCCCAAGAGCTGGGGAATCATCGCGCGAACGCGATGTTATCTTTAGCATGATTGGACCCATTTATCTTCTCAGTGCGGGAAAGTCGGATCGGTTTTGTGATCTCGAAGGCGATGAACCTGATGGTTGGGACGCGGAGTTGCATGCCGGCACCTCCCCGCAACGCGTCAAACGTCATGCCGCTTGACAACCCCTACCATAACATCGACAACCTCCAACTAGCACACCCGTTGCCAAAACAGACAAGATATTTCGAAATTGTTCCGCGATGTGGTTGGATGAGATCGTTCCGGTAAGCGGAGAAGAGCTGGCTCATTCGCTGCTCCTCACACGACCCCCTATCGATTCTGTTATCGTTAATTCTACGAACACCCTACCGGAAAGCGCACGAAGGTGTTTTCGTGCTACCGTGATCAGACACGGCCTTTAGCAGCCACGGAACCAAGCTTCAACCATCTAGTAATGACAAGCGCCAGAAATCCTGCTGCCATGATCGCCGCTCCGGAGAACCAAACACCGCTAAAGTTGCGAACAGCATTCGTTTCATGACCCTTCAATGCACCGGAAAGAGGATTGCCGAGAAGGCCACCAAACGCAGCAACGAGGTATGCGAGCCCTAGCCGCATACCTATTTCGGTGTTGTCAGGAGACAAATCGGTGATGGTCGGTCCCGGAATGATAATGACACCGCCTGAGAGGAAGCCGTAGACAGTGCTGATGGCTATGAGTCCAGGGAGATTTTGTGCCAGTGGGAGCATGCACATGGTGATGATGCACGCAACGCTCAAAGGAAGAAGCGTGTTGACACCTCCATATCGATCGGCGACATAGTTTGGCACGAAACGACCAAAAATGTTCGCAGCATTCATGATACTGAGCAGGTTGAACGCCATGTCTTTAGACACACCAAGCCCAATCGCGTACTCCTGCACGAAGAAAAAGGGTACGAAGGAGGATGCCACAAATAGCGTGAAAGCGCAAACGAACGCTGAGTATGGCAGGTCTTTAAAGTGGTGGAAGCCGAAATCGGATCCCTTCGAACCATATTGACGTTGGAGCCGCATGACCAAGAAGGCGATCAGGTTGGTGAGCAAGATGACAAGTGCGAATGCACGAACAGTCCACGCAAAGCCAATGCGGATGAAGAGCGAGCGCATGGGCAGAGTATAGACGATGCCAGCTATTAGAGGTCAGCCTTTGGAGTTTGACCCAGAGTTACAGCATGAATTGCTCACCGACACTTGCACCAGTCGACGCAAGACCTGTTGCCAACATTCTTTTCTTCTCGAAGAACATAGCCAGGATCACCACAGGTATAATGGCAAGCAATCCACTGCCGACGCCCATACAGACGCCTTGAGCAAACAAAATTGCCCAGAAGCTCTTGAAGAACGAGGTCAAGATCAACCCAACCACCTCTAAGATCGTACCAGCGGCGATTAAGCTCTTGAGATACCCGCGGTCAAGCAAGACACCAGCAGGCAGGCAACCGACTGTAGTGAAGAAAAGCTGGATGGATCCAATCCAGGCAATGGAAGCCGCGTCTACACTAGGCATGAGGGTATTGACGTAGTATGTCTGGAATACACCGAAAGCGTTCGGCAAGCCCCTATGGATGTGAATGGATGTTCTGAAGTGAGCAGATGCCGCACATACCAGCTGTTTGCGAAGATGATGAAACCTCCCAGAACCTGCATCCAGGCCACATAGCCATGATCGATTGGGTAATCCTCGTTATCTTGCGCAGTGCGGGCGACTTCGTGTGCACGAATTTCTGATATCCATGATTCCGAGTTCTGGCGTTGCGCCAACAAAGGCTCTCTTTCATTTACCATTGTCGATGGTAGCTTTCAAGCAAGTAAGGCGCGCGATCTGGAAACGGGTAACGAAGTACCTTACATGCTTTCGTGGTGGATACGATCTGGGTAGCAAAAACTTGGGGATCGTCATTCCGCGGCGAAAGCAGGGTTCATACGTTTATGTGGGGAAAGCGCGATGAGGATTCGTGGAAAGGGGAAGGTTCACCCCACTTCCTCGGTAGCGAAGTCTGATGTCTCAAGGCTACGTCATCCGAATTCTCGTCTCAACATCCACAACACCCCATATCAGTCCTTGCCGAACTTCGGCTTCTCGAGCCTGGGCGCGATAACCATGCTACGCCAAATGCAGGTATCAATATTGTTTGACCACCGGTGAGCTAAGATGGGCACACCATTCCGCCAAACACTGTCCTACATATGCATGCAGCCCTTTCAGGCGCGACAAATATGAAGATCTTGGTCTTGGAGGAGCTGCATGTCGTGATGAGTCTTGCAGACTTTCTATCAAATCGAATTGCAACATGTTAGAGATAAGAGTTCTGACACTTTGAGGTACACTTACGAGATCAAGGCATATAAAAAGTGCAACACACAACGTCGGCCAACAAAAGTTGTAAGCCGTCTTCATTATGACTACCAACTCAGAGGGCCATCCAAGTACGACACAGAACCCCGACACTGCTCTTCAGGCTTTGCCTGCTCCTTTGAGTTCGCCTAGGGTCTCCATAGTAGATCACTACAATATCCCAGAAGATCAGGAGGAGAGTCTTACTACACTGCAACCCACAGCTGTCACTTCACCAGGAGCTCCTCCTACCACAGTTCCAAACGGACACAACCACCAAGGAGATGTAATTACTCAGATAGACGACCCTCTTCACATCCCTGCTGCTGGTGGAGGTTTGACAGATACACCTCCCGTGTCTTATGCCGAACAAAGTGGGTTTCCGCCTGCCGAGCCCAGTAAGTGCATGGTAAACGTATTCATTTGCCAAAATTGACAAGTTAATTGCAGGGCAGTACAATATTTTCAGGCGTAGTATTGCGTGGTTCAAGTCTCACCTCGACCCTGAACTCGTAACGGAGATCAGAATGCGTGCTTGTATTGCATCTTATCACCATAACGAGAAACCTTTGTTCGATGAGGAAATGACTTCAATCTGCTGCAATGACGCTATCGTCACATTGCAAAGTGGAAGGGAGTTGGCAAGCTTTGGCATATGGGTCAAGCACGGGGTGGCGAAGATACTGTTTCGTGGGGATCAATTGCTTAAGGTCTGTCGACAGAAGATGTTCGTGAACCTCAATGAGAATGCTCCACTGACCAGATCTGCAGAGACTGTGCAAACTTGAAAGCCTACCCCTCCTCGTAAGTTCACTGTCTTAACTTATCAGTCACAATACTGTTACTAACGAAGTGAAGCGTTGGCTTCGAACAGCGGACTTACAAGCAATGCTGAGGAATTCAGACATCAGCTTGTATTCATCATCACGCATCGACAAGATTGTCAGCATTCTCGTCCCGATCATCTTCTTTTGGCTACTCATTCTTCCGCTCATAGCTATCTACCGCCTGAACCACCCACATACCAGCAGCTCAACCGTCAAATCGATCGGTGTCCTTGCCGCCTTCGCAGTCATCTTCTCTGGTACTTTGTCCGTCGTTACGATGACTTAAGACACGAGTTTTTCGTGGCACCAGCCGGTTACTGTGCGATTCTACTTGTGTTCATCAGTGGGTCAGGAGACGAGAACAACTAGAGTAGATTACATCGATGTGCGGAAGACAAGAGGTCGTTCAATACTAGTCATGTTTCCGATGTCCCCAACGTTGTCAAAGAGCCACTACGCCTTTCGAGAAGAGCATTCTACCTACCGGTCTGACCGTCCAAGCCTTCTCGCACTTACTACATGTTCCTCCAATGTATGGACTGACGAGTTTCGATAGCGCCAGAAAGGAGACACTACTATTGGTTGGAGGTCCACTAACCTCACGGAGCGCCCGCAGCTGCGTCCTTGTGCTTGCCCTTGCGAGTCAAGGTTGGGCTGCGAACATATGGGTATTGTCGACGTGGACGAGAAATGACCTCGTGGCAGAAGACGCCGCGACGTCGAAACTGCCTTTGCGCTGACGATTGCATTGCAAACCAGGCCAGATTTACGATCTGAAAAGAAGCACATCGAGATGATATGAGCGCTGAGTCCTAGTCGAGCAAGGAGGAGCCTTGTGCAACGCGATGTTCGAGGCGAGATGTAAAATCTTGAGCTGTCGTTCCGCAGAGCTATTCAGACTCGAGCTAGCCCACGCGAAAATATCAGACCAGCAAACGCGAGAAATAACATATCTAGTCTCGTTGCAGCGGCAACAAAAAACCACATTGCACGTTGAGTCAGTTCAGAAATTGTCTGAGGTGTGCTGAATTCGAAGTTGTCCGGGATGCGTTGTCTCGTGGATTGGCGGTGGGACCCAGCGTTGCCCCACCAACCTTGGAACACGGCCCAATAACCACGCCAACGTCACAGCTGGAGGCACAGGTGCAGATTAGCTCCCATTGATATCGCATATCACATCCCGCTATCGATACTCCGAGTACCTCCTCTACGCATCCTCACCGCCGAGATCGCCTTTCACTTTACCATTTGATTTTTCGACTCCCACGACGCGTGCCACATCGACTGCTCGACGCGCTCGCTAGTAAACAGACGCATGTCGCTGTCGCTCGCCGGGTGAAGCGCGGTCCGTACCGCATCTGGGGCATAATAGCTGGGGCACAGTGAGATAAGGCAGCAAACATGGCCGGACAGACGCTGCCGACGCGGTTTCCGTGTTGGTGCAAAGCCGTGTACTCGTGGGGGGGCGAGGTGAGTTGGGACGGATTGCCCTTTGTTTGCCTGCAGCATCCCTGACCGCCATTTCACCAATACAGACAAAGCGCGATCTCGGCTTCATAGAAGGCGATCTGATCGAGGTCCTCAATGCCGGCGATGGATCCTGGTGGATGGGGCGGCTGAAGCGCGACAGGCGCATGGTTGGGCTGTTTCCAAGCAACTTCGTCGAGTTGCTCGGTGAAGACTACCAGCCATGGAGTGGGAGTCGCAATGGCAGCTCTGAGACGGTGTCGCGACAGAACAGCGCGCAGGCACAGGCAAAGCCAGTACCACAGAAGCAGAAGAGCATGTTCAGGAAGCCCTTCACGGCTTATGCAGCTGCAGGTGCCCCGAACCCGGCTGCAGCGGCGCGCGAGAGGCTGCGGGCGGGGGCAACGCCCCAGCCCGCGAAGACGACAAAACCGTTCTCGTCTATGAAGAGAGACTCGACTGAGAGCCGTGAGAGCGCCTCACCTGCACCAGCGCCAAGAGCGCCCTCCAACTTGCGCGCCGTATCGCCCCGTCCAGCTACAAAACGACCAGCGACTTCGCCTGCGAACGCGAATACCAACAGACACGGCTCTCATGCTCGCACAAACTCGCACCAGCCTCAGCCATCGTACCAAACACACGCCTCGAGAGCTGTGTCGCCGGCACCGCCGCCATCGAGACAGGGCTCGCATACGCGTGCATACCAACAACCCTCGAGGGCAGTCTCACCAGCACCGCCCAGAGCCGTTTCACCAGCGCCTCCACGACAGCAGTACCAGCCTCGAGCAGTGTCGCCAGCTCCTCCTCCGCAGCAGTACCGGGCATATGACAGAGGGCCTTCGCCATCGCCATACTCCCGTTCCATATCTCCCGCCCCGCCGTCCAGACACGGGTCATATGCTCGTGGGCATTCTCCTGCACCGCCAGCTCAGTATCAGTACCAGCAAAGAGCAGTCTCACCGGCACCACCGCCGCAACAACAGTATCACAGAGCAGTGTCTCCAGCACCACCAAGGCAGTATCAGCCAAGGGCAGTGTCTCCTGCACCACCATCGCAGTACCGCGCATACGACCGAGGGCCCTCGCCATCTCCATACCAACGAGCCACATCTCCTGCGCCATCTTTCCAAGATCGGTCTGTCTCTCGAGCAGTGTCACCCGCTCCATCGTTCCAGCAACACTCGCGTGCTGCATCTCCAGCACCTTCATTCCAGTACCGTGCATACGATCGCGGTCCGTCGCCGTCCCCATATCAACAACAGTTGGAGAGTCGAAGTCCATCACCCGCGCCGCCGCAGTTCCAAAACCAATACGATGACGAGGAAGAAGATGATGGCCCTCCTCCACCCCCACCGCCGCACCGTGTCGCATACGATCCGAATCGAGCAGTCTCACCAGCACCACCTCCACAGGACCGCTTTACCACCCCCGAACCGCCTTCTCGAAACCCCCAGAAGTTTACTCCTTCGCCCCTCACAAACGCTATGAACGACGTGATGTCCTCGCTGCAAGATATGGCTTCACCGGAAGCAGAGACACCCTCGAATCCTTGGTCTCCTGACGCATTCGACCAGGTTCACCAGGCTTCGGCGAGGATGGCTGGACTACAGACTGGTAACAGAAGTGGCAGCTGCATGGGCGAGGAGGATGACGATGGTCCTGTTCAAGGCCCGCCAGATGTGGATGATTACGTTAAGCGTATGGAAAGCCGCCTGCGACGAATGCATCAGATGGAGGCCAACAAGAAGAAGAAGGACGAGCTGTTCATGGGTGGCAAGAGTACGCCTCCTCCAGTGCCTGCTAAGAACTCGCCATATCAGAGGCCAGGGCCTTCGCCGGTCAAAGCTAGCGCAGACGTCGAACGCAAGGAGTCTAGGACACTGCGCCATCGCAAGTCTATACACGATCTTGGGAAGAATCTGGGTAGATCATTCACCAGCAAGACCAACTCCACAACCACGACCGAGAGCACTAATCGCAGCTTGATGTCCGGGTACTCTGCTACAGCCATGAGCTCCACTAGCGCTGGCAGCTACTACCGCAAGAAGTTTGCCAACGACAGGTCCCGAAGCGCGTTGGGAGACCGTTCAGCTGGCAAGGGCTTTGGATTTGACGATGGGCGACCAGAGACACCCTTCACTGGCGTTACATACCACTCAAGCCATGCCTCTCAATCTCGACCCAGTTCGAGCGACCAGCAACAGCAGTCAACCCAGCCCAGCACACCTGGCGCAGAGAACCCGGATCCTCTGGGTGGTCTGATGCAACCTAAGGCAAGACGAAGTGGTTTCTTCCGCAAGATGATCGACTCCGCGAAGACGCAGGCAGCCAATGCTCGCAGTACCATGGAGACTATCAGCAGACCAGCATCTCGCGCAGCCAGCCGTGCTGCAAGCCGTGCAGCTAGCAGGGCAGGTAATCGCATGGATACCGGCACTCCAGCAGGCTTTGCAGGTGGCTCGGCAGCTCATCAGCCAACACCCAGCAGAGATGGCGGACTTGGGACAACAGACTGGGTGCAAGTGCGCCGGGACGTCAATCGCTCCAACTCATTGAGCAAGAACGAGCGTATCGAGAGAGCAGAGCGCTGCCAGATGATGGACTACCCTGCTCTCAACCCTGTTGATATCCTCAACGACTCTGTTGAAGGCGATGAAGGTCTTGACGGTCTGCCAATCGCTGAGCCTATCGACTTTGCAGCATGCAACTTGGCTCATGTTGACAAGGGAACCCGCTTTATTAACAGTATCCCCATGGGGACGACATCGGCTGCACTAGCTCAAGGCTACGTCTGTCGGCCGTTCAGGAGCGATGTCCAGCGTCTGCGAGCCATCTTCACTTGGGTCAGCGAACGTATTACCTGGGAAGAGGACTTCGAGGGCGAAATGGACACCCGACACGTCCTTCAAAGCAAGCGGGGATGCTCGCAGGAGATTGCCATGGTGGTTGCTGAGATGTGCGCCTCTGTTGGACTCCACGCCGAGGTCGTTCGCGGTTACTTGAAAACCCCTGGAGAGCCTTTGGATCTAGAGAGTGTCGCACGACCAAACCACTCCTGGAACGCTGTCATCGTCGATGGTGAATGGCGTATGATGGATTGCTCGCTCGCAGGACCAACGAACCCCAAGCGTGCACACTTCTCGAGTGCTGGATCCCAGGTTGCTGAGAGCTGGTACTTCCTTGCTCGCCCACTCGAGATCTGCTATTCGCACGTTCCGCTCCTGCCTGAACAGCAGCATATTTGCCCGCCCCAGCCTCATGACATCCTCATGGCCCTTCCGTGTGCGACGCCCACTTACTTCAAGCATGGACTGAAGGTCGTCGACTTCGACACCAGCATGCTAAACCTTGACAATCTCGAGATGGCACATGTATACGTCAACGTTCCCGAGGATGTCGAGTGTGTCGCCGAAGTGGAAGCCAGAGCGTACTCGCAGGATGTGGATGGCGACTACTTTGAGAGCGGTGACTTCGTTCGCAAGCCAGCACTTGCACAGGCAGAGTGGGTTGGAGGCCAGAAGCGCTACACCGTCAAAGCGTTGCTGCCCGGAGACGAGGGCCACGGTGTGCTCAAGATCTTTGCCGGGCCTCGTGGACTTATGGTAGGTCTCATTCCCAAACCACAACAAGACCAGTACTAACTTCCCCCCCCCAGCACTCCAACAAGCAGAACCCGCACACCCTAGCCATCGGTCTTCCAATAACGCACACCGGCAGCAATCCTCCGTACTCGTTCTTGACGCTCCATCCAACACCCCACGCCCAGCGCCACGACCTGTACGTCGCACAACCGCAGTGCTCCAACCTCGTTCTCAACAACACGTTCGTCTTCTGTGTCCGCCAACACCCCTCCTCAACCACCCGCACCGAACCCGCCACACCCCTCACAGGCCGCGCATCACCCAACCCCTTCGCGCGCCCTGCATCAGCTATGAGCATGCAGTCCATCTCCGCCACGGGGAGCAACTACACCAACCCTTCTCAAGCTTCATCCGGATCCTCGGGTAGCAGTGCGATGAAGCCCGCCAAACTCGCCATCCAGACCCCGAGCGGTAAGATCATCAGACTGACAAGGAAGAGCGAACACGTCAGTGTGCTCAACGACGCCGACGGGACGGCGTGGGAGACGGTTATCAAGATTGGAGAGAAGGGGACTTGGAGGGGATTGGTGTTGGCGGATCGGAGCGCGAGGTGGTGCGTGTTTGCGCAGTGGGAGTGCGCGTAGGAAGCGGTTACCAAGCAGCGTTGGGGGTTTGAGTGACCTGACACCCTCCATGAGATGATGTTGTACGATGGTTGTATGGGGGGATGTCTACTTCTTGACCAAAAGCCTTGGTATACTTATTGATTGTAATGGGTTGGCGCTAGATGAGCGTTGCATGACTCTAGGATAGCATTGCATAGCCGGTGTTGGTCTGGGGATGGTGTAGTGTACGATACAATGAAGTCGCGCTCTGAATCATTGCTTTGTTTGGTGTTACCTCCTTGTAACTGTGAATTTTGAGCTTCCGGCCTTTATGGAGAGTCGGATCACTATATGGTGTCCCATCGGCGCGTTTGTGAAGCATTTTCTCAAAGACTACTGAGTGACTCCAGGGTGTGTGAGAGCCGCAAGGAAGGTGAGTCGCTGTCGCGGGCCACAATGAGTCGTACTTTCCTTATCGATAAATAAGACCACCAGCCCCACCAAACACTCATCATCCCACCACAACTTTTCAGCGTGGAGGCCTTCACACCATTCACACTCATCATGGACGCCCAAATTGCCGAGTGGCAGACCCGTGCGGAGGCGCTCAAGCCCCTCAACTTGAAGGCCATTGAGCCCAATCTGCAAGAGCTTGACGCCCACCTCACCCTCCGCTCGCACATTGTAGGCTACACGCTCACCGATGCCGACACCACCGTCTGGAAGACACTGCGCGAGAACCGCGTCGCACACGCTTTCGTCAAGCAGAACTTGATGCCCAACCTGTGCAGGTGGTTCAGATATATCGAGGAGGCATACCCCCAGTCTGTTGTGCTGGCTGAGAGGCCAAAGGAGGCTACCAAGGGCGGGAGGGGCAAGAAGGAGGGCGCGAATGATGATGCCAACTACGATATTGGTCTGCAGGATGTCGGTGATGGGACGGGGATTGTTACAAGGTTCCCCCCTGAGCCTTCGTAAGTACCTGCACAACGCGCCTAGCCGCTTGCTTCACAAGGTGATGTCTAATCCTAAGCAGAGGCTACCTCCACATCGGACACGCAAAGGCCGCCCTTCTGAACGACTACTTCGCCCACACCAAGTACAAGGGCAAGCTCATCCTCCGATTCGACGACACGAACCCCAGCAAGGAGAAGGAGGAGTTCCAGGACTCGATCGTTGAGGACTGCGCTCTTCTCGGTATCAAGCCCGACCAGGTGTCCTACACCAGTGACTGGTTTGACCAGCTCTACGAGAGGGCCGTCCAGGCCATCAAGGATGGTCTGGCCTACGCAGATGACACAGCGCAGGAAAAGATGCGCGCCGAGCGCATGGACGGCATTGCCAGCGAGCGCCGCAACATGAGCGTCGAGGAGACCTTGGCCAAGTTCGAGGAGATGAAGAAGGGTACCGAGGAGGGCACAAGGTGGTGCATCCGCGCGAAGATGTCGGTCGACAACCCGAACAAGGCCATGCGCGACCCCGTCATCTACCGATGCAACCCCGAGGACCACCACCGTACCGGCTCCAAGTGGAAGATGTACCCCACATACGACTTCTGTTGCCCCATCGTCGATTCGCTCGAGGGCGTCACACACGCTCTGCGTACCACTGAGTACAACGACCGTGATGCTCAGTACCAGTGGTTCATCACCGAGCTCAAGCTCCGCAAGGTTCACAACTGGGGTTTCGCACGTCTGAACTTCGTCCGCACCGTCTTGTCGAAGCGCAAGCTGACCAAGATCGTCGATGCTGGCTACGTTTGGGGCTGGGACGACCCGCGCATGCCCACGGTCCGTGGTGTCCGCCGCCGCGGTGCTGTCATCCCTGCTCTCCAGGAGTTCATCTTGAAGCAGGGTCCTTCCAAGAACATTGTCAACCTCGACTGGTACTCCTTCTGGGCCACCAACAAGAAGCACATCGAGCCCACCGCCGCGCGCTACATCGCCATCGACGAAGACGCCAAGGTCCCCGTTACCGTCGTCGGTGCACGCGAGGGCGTCCTCAGCGAGGACAAGCCGAAGCACGCCAAGTACGACCTCGGCACTAAGAAGGTCGTCTTCAGCAAGGACATCCTTATGGAGCAGGCCGACGCCCAGTCGTTCGCCCAAGACGAGGAGATCACGCTGATGAACTGGGGTAACGCCATCGTCCGCAAGATCTCGCACTCCATCAACCCCCTCTCCAAGGACGGCTTCAAGACTGTCACCGGCCTTGAGCTCGAGCTACACTTGCAGGGCGACGTCAAGAAGACCTCGAAGAAGGTTACTTGGCTGTCCAAGGACCAGGAGCTCATCCCCATCGAGTTGGTGGACTTCGACTACCTCATTTCCAAGGATAAGCTTGAGCCTGAGGATACACTCGAGGATTTCCTTAATAAGAAGACGGAGACTAGGGTCAAGGCTGTTGCGGACTGCAACGCTGCCGAATTGAAGGTGGATGATATTATTCAGTTTGATCGCAAGGGCTTCTTCAGGATCGACAAGGCTTTCGCACACGGCCAGCCGATTGTTGCGTTCCAGGTGCCCACTGGTAAGGCGAAATAGATGGATCACGAGTAGACGCACGTACAGTCGCACAACCCAGTCAAATGAGACCAAGATAAAGACACATCAAATCACTGTCAGGGTGCAACCCCTTTCTTACAATTCTGTGTAGCAAAGCCCCCCAGTATGTGCTACAAGCCATCTATTCCCAATTTTTCCCCAAGTCCCAGTCACAGTCCGCAAACGAAGTCAACCTCGGGCACCAAACATACTCAAGGAAGGCCGAGCCTGAACGTGGTACGAGATCTATTTCCTGCGAACCGCACCGCGCAAGCCGTCTAGGCGATGCAGTACCAGCTCCGACTCTCCACGATGTCGGTCAACTGGCTGGTCTTGCCTGACCAGCTGATCTTGCCCACGCAATTCTCCCACCTGTTGTGATGTTAGCGTTGGCGTTTGAAGTGTGGAGGTGACGATCCAGAGTCAAGCTCTGCGAAAGCAGAGGGACGGGCGTTGCAAGATTGGAGTGTGAAAGAGAGAGGAGACGGTGGAGAGAAGAGGAGACGGTGGAGAGAAGAGGAGACGGTGGAGAGAAGAGGAG